CGGGTGGGAAAACGGCGTTAATCGCCGTTTTGGAAAACAACCGTGATGGAGGAAAAGCGAGATTTAACGACACGCGTGCACGGTGTAAGTCACGTAATGCCTGGTGCCTGCTCGAGTCATCATGGCGTGAAACATGACCATTACCTGGGCTCACTGGTAGCGCCCATGAATTACAGAACTTGAACCCGGTGCTTTCCCGTTCCCCGGATTGATTTCCCGGGTGGATTTATCGACGACTTCCCGATGTACGGAAAGATCGGCCATTATCGTAGGAATGCATTATGCCTGCGTAATTGGAGACCGCCGGTGGCCGAAACGGTCTACATCAAAGGATGGTTCCGCTCCGGACCAACCTCCGGCATTAGCGTCCGCTCCACCGAGTAATGGCAGCAGGGTCATAGACTTATCGCTCCCTAGGCAATTTGCATAACGTCATTTAAGGTCGATGCATGCCTTCTTTCCCGGCGAGCATCCAGGAGGGATGCCCTAGGAGTCGAGGCCGCGATCTGCCTCTTCTAGCCTCCGTTCGGCTTTATGGCGCCGCGTTTTTACGGTCCAATTTAGTTATCCGGGATAGGGGGAATTTATCCCCCGAATGGCCGGGATTTATTCCGGGAATAGGCTCCTCGGTAAGCTCTCCGTATTTGCGCAAATCGGACATTATTATCCAGGCCGGCATCGAGCCGACCGGTCGTATCCGCGCCTCCACTGCCGGAACGACCTCCACCTAGAGTTCTATACGCGGTAAGTTACCTCAGGCACGATGAGAAATTCCCTATAACTTATCCGTCACTTCTACATTACTTTTTCTTATAGAGAAATAATGAGAATCTACGTTATTACGAGCGAGCGAGCGAGAGCTCCCGATTAAGTACAGAGAAACACCGGAAAGGGGAATTTCCATTGTACTATCTCTGCAGCCAATAGAAACCTCCCATTATGGATCAAATCCCATGAAATCTCACCTGTACATATACGTGAATATTTTCAGCTGTAAGTAAATAACACCGCATATAATAAATATTCCCTAATAGTATTATTGAAATGCGTTGAACAGGAATATTCTTTAAACGAAGAGACCTTAACTATAAACAAGAAAATTAACGTTCTCATAAATTCACGATATTCTCGGTGACGTACGGTATGTTTCGGGATTACCTTCTCCAATTTTATGTCCGCGAGAATTTTCGGACTTTACGTCGACTCCGGCCGTGAACGCGGTGTAATTTTTGCAGTTTAATCGCTCCTTGGATTTACGATTCACGCCTTTTGAGGCCGGCAAAGGCTTTTTGTTTCGCCATTCCGGAAGAACAGAACCCGTGATCGAGTTCTCAGCAGGACGAAGTGCATCCGGGGACTTTACGGCCCCGCTTTTTTACGGCCCAATTTAGGGACCCAAGGACCCGATCTCGGGGCTCGCCTTGGGATCGTTTCCTTGGGGATCGTCTCCTTTTCCGGCGAAGGCCAACCCGGAAGATGGCTCCGGTTCGCTTCTGGGAGAATCCATGGCCCTGGCCGATCCCACCGCGAGTCGCCGATCAATCTTCATCCCGGGATGCTCGCGTGGGCGCAGCTTCGAGGAGAGACCGCTAATGCTCCTTAAAGACATCCTGCTATCCCGGGGGAGCGCCGATCGTACACGGAAAGGGCCCTGTCAATTAGACTCTCCTCGGCGGCTCTCCCGGGAATCGGGCCATCCGCCACCCGAGGAAGACGAAACGCCACCTCGGTGGCTGCCGACCCCTTTCCTGGTCGGCCTAACGGGCCCTGGGAGCCGATGGTCCTGTTACCGGCCTGGAAAGTAATCGACTTTGCGAGATCCTATCGGCCCCCCGAGATATTAAATGGAACGCGACATCTATCGAAAACCCGTCGGAGACTTCCCATGGTTCGATCATAAATTCCCTTTTTGGTTACCGCCGGCCAAAAATGAAATTCGGTTTTGACCTTACAAAACCGAACTATACTCTTTAATTCCCTAATACTCCAATACTCTAAATCCTTCGACTCGGAGACTATCATATGATACACCGAGGAGAAGTGAGTACACGGTGCGCAATGTCCTGTTACACCCACGCCACGTGAGGTGTATGGTAACGAACAGGTGTGGAGACGTCTCTCTGACGATACGAACAGTTCGACAGATGGAGATGTTCCCCCCTCGTCGTGGATAAGCATAAATAATTAAATCACGCCGGTACCTCTGTATGAATATTTTATTTCCACTCTTGACCCGATGAGTATCTCCGGGGAGGTGTTTGCACGTAATTGTCATTTGCCAAAAGCATTCTAGGGGTCCGACCATTAATAAATAATTAAATCTCGCCGATATGAATTTTTGACTCGGTGAGCATCTCTTGTAGGTATTCGCACGTAATTCTCATTTGCCAAAAGCATTCTAGGGGTCCGACCTATTAATAAATAATTAAATCTGGCCGATATGAATTTTTGACTCGGTGAGCATCTCTTGTAGGTGTTTGCACGTAATTGTCATTTGCCAAAAACATTCGAAGGGTCCGACCATTAATAAATAATTAAATCTTGCCAATATGTCTGTATGAATTTTTTCACTCGATGCACATTTCCGTATAGGTGTTCGCACGTAATTCTTATTGCCCAAAAGCATTCTAGGAGTCCGACCATTAATAAATAATTAAATCTCGCCGATATGTCTGTATGAATTTTTTGACTCGGTGAGCACCTCCGGGTAGGTGTTCGCACGTAATTGTCATTTGCCAAAAGCATGCTGGAGGCCCGGCCCGAGGGAACTCCTGAGCTCGACCCGACCGGTTGGTCGGGACGCGGAACCGGGACGGCGGCGGGACGTGTCTTCCTCGCCCACGGTCCCCGTCGGGTTAAGAGTTAGTTCCCAGCTGAAGGTAATCATATTCCGCGTTCCACGGTAATGGTCAACGAACACAGCCTCCGGGCCGTAACGGCACCGAGGCGCACCGACACCCCCGTTCCGGACCCGGGCGGGCCGACATCTCGACGGTCTCCGCCGAACGATTATTAGGTAACAGTAATTGTTTCCATATGCCGTTGCCGAGTCTCGGCCTGAACGAATCTCTCACCGGTCCCAGATCAGGCCCAACTGCAGAGTGTGCCGCGGATCTTATTATCGGTCACTGACATAGTTACGGATAGGTATACCTTCATGCGTTCACCCTTGTAACAGAATATTATACAGAATATAAGTGTAAGCAACAACAACATACTTCCTACAAATACACCCGCTGCAATATTATATTCAACGTAAACCATTATATCACGGTAGTGCGACTAGGTTCGCATTTTAACCCTTCGCCGGCATAATTTAATCAATACGTATCATCGGCGATTTAGAATTATTCCTTTTTGTACATCGGTATAGAGTTAACAAGTCATTAAATATGAATTAACAAGCGACTGCAGGTGATATTAAAAATGATCGAGAGTGGGATCGAATTGAAAAGTGGGACTCTCATATTTTCTTTTTCATGGTTATTTACCGTTTACATTCATTTCCGTGTCTCAGTATTGTTGTGCTCAGAACAAGCATTACCGATCATCGTGGGATGAGTTAAGAATAATTTTGATAATTCCCTTTAATTTCGGGATTTTTTCTTCTAGCGTGCCGATTTTTATGGTATAACGCTCGCTTGCCATTTTTACGGACACCCCGATTTCCTGATCCAGATAATTTTCGGGTGATTCTACTTTAACGATGATTCCAAATCATCTCGAAAGATGAGTGCTCAGAGTGGAATCTGCCTTCGCACCTGTGGGCCCTACCAAGGACCCTACGCAACTTTCGCACCTAGCGGCGCGGCGCGGCGGTCTTACGTCATTGCGTATTCACCGTGCGGCCCATTCAACAGGGGAATTCGGTGAATGGGCGCATAGTACGTCGGTGTGGGCGTCGTACACCTTGTACTCCCGAGCCGTCGGCGCACGCACACGTGCGAACAAGTGCGCGGGAGTACAGGCGAGTACGCGCGAGTGCGTGCGAGTGCGTGCGGCACACCCGGGCCGCGCCGTGAATGGCAATGCCTCCCAGGGGGAGGCAAGGGGGGGACCCAATACGCCCTACGAAATTATCACCGCAGATATCCTCGTAATACCAAATTTCCATTCAATTTTCACATTTCCACCCAAATTACCAGCTCGAGCTCTCTCGGGCGAACTAACGTCAACCGCATGAAAAATGATATTCAATTACGCGAAACAGATCTTCAGACCTCCTATCTTATACTCCCACGGCCTGACTGAATTATAAAATCGATTATCGACGGAATAATTTTCGCCGAAGCTATTATAAAAGTATCAGTTTGGTGACGAGTCGAATTCAAGGTAGACTAATTTCTTTTTTCTTATTTTTTTTTTAAGGAATTTAGTAAATCTCGAAATGAGAGCGTCACTTTTTTCAGAATATCACTTAGGAGTAGGCCCTACGTGATCAGCTGATTTGTTGCAACCTTCCCCGAAGGTTTTGTGTGTGTGTGTGTGTGTATAATAGAATTAAATCGCGCGTGTATAAGTAAGACGATGAAACGAAAAATCCAGGGTTTCGGAAAGGGAAAATCAGTCCGTGGCATTCGATCGGGTATCTGTGCAACCTGCACAGGAGGGAATTGTGAACGCAGCTTAAACCTCCGGTGGCAGGAGTCGTGCGAATAGGAACGCATTCCCACGCACCCACGCCTCGCGAGATCCGCAATGCGCGTGGGCGGGCGAATCGTCGGGTCTGGTATTCCCTGCAGGCGAGAATCTCGAAATCTCCCGCGGGATCGGAAACCGAGGTACCCGGTTCTCTAATACGCGGCGTCCTTCGCAGGAGGTCCTTCCGGTTCCGGGATCAGGGCACCGGGTGACTTGGTGGCCTCTTTCCTTAAACGCTTGACCGTTGACGTTGAATCGTTGCCGTGCAATTCTATGATTTAAGTGTCTAATCAAAGTTTGACCAAGAGATGAGTGGGGTAAGATTACGTGGTTTGACCATGAATTACGATCTGTTCCAGGAGGCGAAGGGTGCCGACATGTCGGCGTTAGGGGCCGGGCTCTGCCGAACAGGCATGGCCCTGACCATGATACTCGTCCTGGCCATTCCCACGTCGGACTCTGGTAAGTTCCCCCAACTGAGGGATTTTCTTACAAATCTGATGACTATCTTATGATGGAATTATTTTAATTAACGTATCGAGGAAAATGTGTTATATGGCGCGAGGATGTCGTGCCGCACGGCGGAGGTTCTTGGTGTTCATCAGCCGGTTACAGAAAATCGGGGATCACTTTAAACGGGGTTTTTCTTTTGGAGCGCACGCTTTAGGTTCAGGTGATCACTTGGAACAGGTGCAGGTGCTAGGGTTCGTTGCCCTTTGAATTCATTGCCCAGGTTCTGTTTGGGAACCTGGAGTCTGGAGCGGTTCCTCGGACCTCGTGAACGACTGCGTAATGGTCAGAGTGTTGCGTTCCCGTCTTCCCGGAGATGTACCGGTGGGATCTCGCAAGGAGTGCTCGAGATTTCGTCAAAGGCGACCCTCTCGGGTTGGAGAGCACCTAAGAGGGAGCTTATTCCGTAAGGGTCAAGCCCAGGTGACCATCTCGTCTTCCCAGGGCCTCGGCCATGACCATATTCGATCTTCCCCTTCATTTCTGGTGTAACTGGCTGCAAGTCCTCTTCCCTATACGTCGGTCCGATTTACCGGTTGCTCGAGGGGTCTTCTGATCTTCCGACCCGTCCAGGGTCTATCGGGAATACCGGCCCGGATCAAACGAAGGACGGGGAGCCGCAATTCCCATTCATTGTGGCCGATTTATGCCTATCAAAAGATAAGCCGTCCATGTTTGCGGCGAAACTGCAATCCGAAGTCAAGGATGGGTTCCTGGAGGCCGACCACTTTCACCCGGCAGGGAAGTACAGCTGGGACTCGAATCAAGTTCAAGGGACACCCGGAAGCGGGGACGGTAAATCCTAGATCAGCTGATCTGGACCCGGAAAAAGCTGCGACTTAGGATCATCCCTCGCGGAAAGACGTTCGTTATTTCCTGCCTCTTATGTAGAAACGGATGCATCTGGCCTTATAACCGGTCAATTCATCAGACCAGGAAACCGTCCGAGTGCAGCTCTTCGCATTTGCCTACATCCAATTACCGATTACTTACCAATCCATGACACTTGGATCCGTTTCGAGGCTTACGTCGTCCAGGTTCGACGATTCCTGTCGGATCCACCTAGGCGCTCGTCAAACCGGTCAAGTTATTACTCAACTTGGCGAATATCGCAATAATTACCGGATATCTGGGTTAGCAGTGCTTCATCGAGCTTCCGAGAAGGGGAGCACTTAGTGCCAGCGATTTACGGGTCCGATCAACGACATTGCTGCTACAGGTTTGACCGGAGTGCTCAGGACGGGGACCGCTACTTCCCACGGCCGCATAATTCCCTGTCGCATAATATCCGATATACAAGGTCTTAAAAACGAATCGCATTATTTATGAGACAGAGGGAAGGGATTACTTCGAGGACGAGCTCCGATTATCGTAGCCCTCCCTCCACGCAACAGGGAGAAAGGAAGAGACCGACGCTCTCTACAAAATGGGCCCCTAAGGCCCAATTAACGACTGCATGCGATATCAACATTCGCACGTGAAACTGACAGTCTCGTATACGGCTGTCAAATGTAGAGCAGTGACGAGACAATGCGAAATTTTTCACGGGAAAAAATCCGCACTAACTCGCGAATCGGAAGAAGAAACGAAGGGATGTTCCGAAAGAGACCGATGCTCTCTACGAAATGGGCCCCTAAGGCCCAATTAACGACTGCATGCGATATCAACATTCGCACGTGAAATTGACAGTTTCGTATACGACTGTCAAATGTAGAATGCAGTAACGAGACAATGTGAAATTTTTCACGGGAAAAAATCCGCACGAACTCGAGCATCGGAAGAAGAAACGAAGGGATGTTCCGAAAGAGACCGATGCTCTCTACGAAATGGGCCCCTAAGACCCGATTCTCGACTGCATGGGATCAACTTTCGCACGTGAAATTGACAGTCTCGTATACGACTGTCAAATGTAGAGCAGTGTCGAGACAATGCGAAATTTTTCACGGGAAAAAATCCGCACTAACTCGCGAATCGGAAGAAGAAACGAAGGGATGTTCCGAAAGAGACCGATGCTCTCTACGAAATGGGCCCCTAAGGCCCAATTAACGACTGCATGCGATATTAACATTCGCACGTGAAATTGATAGTTTCGTATACGACTGTCAAATGTAGAATGCAGTAACGAGACAATGTGAAATTTTTCACGGGAAAAAATCCGCACGAACTCGAGAATCGGAAGAAGAAAGGAAGGGATGTTCCGAAAGAGACTGACGCTCTCTACAAAATGGGCCCCTAAGGCCCAATTCTCGACCACATACGATATCAACTTTCCCACGTGAAATTGACAGTTACATATACAACTGTGAAATATTAACCAGTGCCCCGCGAAAATGCAAATTTTCTCGAGCGAATCCATTCGTATGCGAAACAAATGCGATAGGATCGGGCCCCTGAGGAGGTTGGCGAAGTCGCCGGCAGAGCGGGGCAGTCCGGAAAGACCCCTAGCCGAGAGGGGCCCGCCGACGAATAAGGGGCCCGAAGTGGCATAGCTACGCGAGACTAGCGGTTCCTGCTCCATCCCGCCGATGCTGGGAATTCTGGTCAAACCTGTAGCGCAGGCACGATGTCACTGACCGGACCTGCGGGCCACTTACGGTCCCCGTCGCACCTGACCCCGGAGTCGGGCCCCGGGCGTTCCGTATTTACGCTCGACGTCGACGAGGTGTCGCCTCTGCCGGTTCCATCTGCCCCCTCCGTTCCTCTCCGGAACGGGCCCGCGGGGCCAGGGGGCCTCCTCGCAGCAGCGTGCGAGTCGCGAGAGCACGCGTTCGCATCGCGGAGAGGACTCTTCCCGTCCTCTTTGCCGACCTCCTCTCACCTCCTCGCTTCCTGGTAACCTCCTCTCCGGGGCCGCCGAAGAGGCGGCGAGAGGTCAGCCGCGGTCATCCAACGAGGAGCGCGTATAACGGAACGCGCGTGGGTGCAACGTCAGCGTGACGCGGATTAAGTAATCGTATTAGCCGAGCACGCGTGCTAATCCGCGCGGGAACCCTCCAGGAACCCCCCTCACCCCCGGGTCACGAGGAACGAAGGGGGACCCTGACCTCTTTGCGATTCTTGACCCGAGAGATATAGCGACTTCCTTTATATATCGGTACTCGCGTTCGGTCGCCTAGGTTATCAAGAGACTAGGTAGAGTTTCGCACCAAGTACGCATATAATAAAGTATATGCACAAAACCTTATAAACGCGAAACACTCGTCTAATCTGCCAAATTTAGCCTGGCGCTGCAGATTGGACAGAAAATCGTCTAAATCGATGAGTTCAGATAATGACAACGTTAATCGGGTCCTCGAAGTCGAAATTTTGTCTCGTGATTATTAAGCCAGGATTGAAATTCCCTGTCGTATATGGTACCGAGACATGCCACGTTGAATGTCTCACTTCGCTTGAACGGCATGGTACTCGAGATACTCGGTAGAGTTTCGCCCCAAGTACATGTATGGCCGAGTATGAGCACGAAACCTCGTAAACGAGGTATAAACGCGGAACACTCGTATAAGCTTTATCTGCGAAGTGTAGCCTGGCGCGGCAGATTGGACAGAGTGTACGTGTATACGAGATTACTGAGGATGTAAGGTTCCCAGTGATCTGTTGCTCCTTCCCGTTACTCTGGATAGCGCAGGAAAAGCGGGAATTTACGGGGACCACGGGGGTCCTTCGCGAGCCGGTAGACGAGATTACCCCAGTTTTGCGGGGAACTGGATCACTCTAGGTCCTCGTAAACTTCTTTACCGACTAGCCACTCGAGTAACCTCGTTAATTGGTTCTCCTCGTCGAGACGCTAGGCGCTGCTATGCTCCATTTAGGAACGCCGGATGCAGTATAATACTTTACCAATTTTTACCATCCAAATACTTTAACCAATTTTCAGAACCTTCGCATAGTTGTAATTGCAGAGTCTGGGATATCGGCCTTCCTAGGCTGACCGCGCCCAATGTTAACTTCGTTGATCGGGCCTTTGAGGTTAGGTCCGAAGGCGGCGGGAATTTTGAAACGCGGACTGCCGCCTGTAAAACGGCACTTTCACGTCGAGTGAATCGAACGAAAAGAGAGAGGAGCAAGAAGAGTACCTCGAGGAGTAAAGAGGCTCGTTACGTAAGGCTAGACCGATCTCTTTCTCCGCGCGCCTCTCTTTTTCTCGACCGGCGCGAGAGGGCGCGCCGTCTCTCTTCCTCCCGGGGTCTCCGCCTCGGTCGGCCTCTCTCGCTCCGGTTCTCCGCGGCGCTCCCTGCTGCAAGTGTCTCAACCGGCCAAAGCCATTCCACGTTATGAAATCATCGCCAGACCGGCCTTGCCGCGCGAAAGTTCATTACCATTAACCGCGCGTGCTGGCGGCTGCCATTGGTTGTCGAAGAGGTTAACCCCGAGATCGTTCAAGATCAAGATTTCACGGCCATGTTGGATTCGCGACACGCACGGCGAATTGCAACGCCACCATACTAATGGACATTTAAGAGGACATGAAAGATTAAATTGGAAAAATATGCATGTAAAATTTTACACAAATTTTACCACGTGCTGACCTGCGCCTAACACGTGTTTTTTAGAGACAAAATTTAATTGCAGCTAAACGTCGCATATAAATGTCGGTAATGGGATACGGCAGGTTATGTTACCACTTGAATATTCAAAACGGCTTCCCACCTAAAAAGGGTATAGATGAATTTCACTTTATCGACGTCGATTCAAGCTTCTTAGCGCCTTTCATATCCTCTTAATCCGGGAAAAAAGTTGATGAACGGGAAAAGAGACAGGAATTGAATTTCAATGTTTGCGGATCCTTTACGCCTCCGGGACGCGTTCGAGTGGTTTTTGTCCACCGAGGTATTCGATGACAGAGTCGGAGGCAAAGCCCGGATAATGGGCGGACCCGGGGTGTGGCGATTCCGATTTTGCAAGTTTTACGTCAGCGATTAGGTGTCGGCGATGTTGTCAGGCGAATTCCTCCGGTTATTCATCCTGGGGTATAAAATTCGCGCGCGGGTGGACGACCGGTTTCGGGACCGGAGTCATCGTGACTCGGCTAATGGGGCCCGGGGGTTTTGTCGTCTACTAGTGGCAAGAACCTCCGAAGAGACGGCATTCGCCAAAGGCCACGATTCGGCCATCGGTGACTCGACGAAATTCGCAATCGCGACAGGATACGGCCCAGGATTCGGGAGGTATTCGGGATTCGCAAAAAAGAGGGGCCCGTCGAGCCGAACGTCCAGCCGGTTCGTGCCTTGGGTACCGAATCACGCGGCGCGCAGCGTTATGCGCATCGACCGCGGAAATTCCCTGGAAATCTCAAGTCGGGGCCCTATATGGGTCAGGGCGGTCTTAGAAGAAAATCTAAACGCTTCTTCCTCTTATCTACCGCTAAGATTCTCCACGGATTATCCCGCAAGAAGCAAGTTCCAAGTTGGACACCACGGTGGCAGAGGGCACCCGCCGAAGAACTCGGGCCCGCGGGCCCCTCGGGAGAACTGGGTTAGGATCGGTCCCGATCGAGAGGTCTCCTCAAGGCCGACCTCGCTAATCGACTCGTTCCTTCCGTCGAGGGCCCAAACTGCCGATTGCCCTGGCCAGACCAATCATCATCTCGCTCAGCCAGAATCGGGCCCCGATTGGCGGACCTTTGGGCCCGGGACTTTCCCCCTCCCAGCCGCCGATCGCATCCGGAGACCATCGAGGACGAGCTTTTTTGCCGCAACTTCGCGATCGGGGTCCGTCGAGGCCTCGTCGATTCCCGGTGTCCGTTATCCATTGTTCGCCGGAGATCGGTCTTGCCCGAGAAAACCGGGACTCCCGGGGCCCGGCAAGAAACCCCGAGACGCCCGGGCTTTTTCCTCGGGCCCCGAGGGACGTGTGGAGGAGCAACGCCCGATCTCCGGGGATCGGCTCGAACAATGCCAAAGGTCATGGACTCCGGGCCCCGCGGGCCCGTGGGTCCGCGCACCCTCGGCGGGTCTCTCTTCCGCGGCCGTGTCGGTCGGGCCCCGCGGCGCGCGCATCGTTGGGCCCGACCAGAGGCGCGCGCATGCGCTCAAGGTGTACCTTGCCCGAGTCGAATCGTTCTGCCATCATCCAGAGCTTATCCTGGATTTTCATCGAGCCGACTCTCGCCTCACTGTACGCAAACTGAAGAGGGAACCGAGGGGGTATTAACTCAGAATATCATAGCTTTTAATTCTCGAAATCAGCTGGAAATCGAAAGCAAAAATCACCTGAGATCGTTGGAAATCACCAAAACATTGCCACAATTTTAAGGCCGAAATCGTTTCCACTGATTTCCGAGCGAATAGCCCCTCGGAGGGAACTGCATACCCGTTAAGGAGCTTTCCTTTTCCCCTTGGTAAATCTAAAGTAAAAGGACAAACCCAACAGCGATCGACGATCAACGATAGGGAAGTCATTACCGCCTGGTCCACGCGTCGCATTTCGTGGGAATCCTTTTTGCCGATCCTCGATTACCGACGGCCATCCAACAGCGGACAAATCGGACCCTCTCGGCCCGTCCCCTCGAGCTGGGGACCAGATCGATCGGCGATCGACGATCGATAGGAGGTCGTCCACGCGTCACTTGTCGAGCAGATCCTTTTTCCTGGCCTCGCGATTGGCAATTACCTGGGGATTCTCGACACCGGGGCAAATTAGCCGCTCGGAGGCGCTAACAGATCGATTCGGCCGTAAAAATAGATCGATCAGTGATCGGCGATCGGCGCGAGGTCGTCTGGTAGTCCACTTGTCGTGCACGGCGCGACGTGCAGAACCGCGCTACGTGGAGGCACGCCGACTCGACACCTCGTGGGACGAGAGATCGAGGAGGAAATGAAAGGGGGAAAAAAAGGAGCGAGAGGAGGCATGGGACCACATAAGCTCATTCACGAAGCACACGGTTCCCCGTACAATCCGATTCCTCGGAAATTGTCTGCGACTCGCGGTGGAATGCCGATTCCCTCTCCTCGGCTACCTGGCTGCCGCTGCACACGTACGATCAACTCGATCGACCCATCGATCCTATCGATCCCGACGATCTACTCGATCATACGGCCTGTCACGATCCTGCCTCGCCTATCCATCGGTCGTTTCTCCCTTTCTCTCCCTTCCTGCTGGACCGCACTCTCGTTTGCGACCTGGAAACCACGATATCAAATTTGATACGTGTCATCTATGCACACCAAAGACGAGATTAAAGAAGTTTCCCATCATTTTAAATTTATACCAAGAAGCGAGTAATTGACCCTTGGCAATTTAGCTGTAAAATCTCCGATTTTAAACAGGTTGACCAGTCTTTTTGCGGAGGATGTAATTCTCATGAAAGTGAAGTCTTGAATAAACAGAAAAGTATCGAAAATTTCGGCGAAATCTTCCTCCTTTATTTTCGTTCTTCTCTTTATGGAGAGTCCTTTCCTTTGTCGCCCAGGCATCGATGTCTCCGCGACTCTCTTTGCGGAAGCGAGTGTCGATTTCTCCTCGTCGATTTCTTTCAACGAATCCGTGAAATCTGCGAAACCCCTCGAAAATCTCCCCTCGAGAGCTGGCAGGTCCTGCTAGCTTCCTTAATTATCGTCCTACCCTCGGGAGTTGGCGCGGTTCTACGGGAACAATCGAAGTTGGCTCCTGTTCCCGGCACTTCAATTTTCCAGACGCCAGAGGGAGAGCCCTCTCGGTCTCCCGTGCGGGATTCCGCTCGCCGCATAGAATTCCCCGCTGAACGGTCCGCGAGGGTGTTAACGAGAATTCGCCCACGTTCTCTCGCACCATATGACGCGCTTTGACTCATGCAATTGTTAGATACTAGTTCACCCTCGCAAACGCGTCCCTGGTTATTGTGATAGACTCGGAGTCCTTAGGGTACCTCTCCCCAGGGGGATGGACCGGGGGATTTTTAGAACATCTATGGAGCCATTAGAAGATAAATAAAGAAAGCGATCCCACTGATTGCTAGCCGGACCCTAACTCGCTTCTTCTTTCTGCCCACAGCGCCGGTATACGACCAGAATACCACGCAGATCGCAGAGCTCGACGGAGGTGAGGATCACTCGACTCCAGGACCTTGCACCTGCGAGATCCACCTGCAAGATCGCCCTGAATGTTAATTTCGAGACTTTATTCCAGGTGTCGGTGGGTGCTACTACAACTTCCAGCACTACCGCGAGGGCGACAGGATCGTGACAAACGAGCCCTGCTTGAACTGCACCTGCCACAATCGGATGCTGATGTGCTACCTCAGGGTGTGCCCCTTCAGCAAGGCCATCGGCCAGGACTGCACCGTTGAGAAGAAGCAGGACCAGTGTTGTCCCGTCATCACTTGTCCGGATCTACCGGTGCAACTGCTGACCTCCACCACCAGTGCTCCTTCTTCCACTCCTGGACCCACCGATGTTGGGTTCCGCGACAATTACGGGTGCAGGGTCGACAACACTTTCTATGCCGATGGAGCTCAGCTGCCCACGGACTTCCACAATCCTTGCGAGCTATGCTACTGCATAAGGAACAGGACCACTTGTGTCATGCAGGAGTGCACTTTGCGAGTCGCTGGATGTAGACCAGTCTATCAGCCCGGTGTCTGCTGTCCAGTCAAGTATAATTGCGGTAGGTACTTCCAGTGACCTGAGGTCTCGAGGAGACAATTTTACGGCCAGGTAGACCTGGCATGTTCCTATATAATTAAATACACGAGTAAATGGAACGCTTCCGTGCGGTTCTCCGCACTCTAAAGATGAGCAAAGTTATCAAGGTGCCAGGCTGAAGACAAGACAAACGCGGTTCGATATAATGCCAGGTCTGCCAGAAGCTGTCCGACGATATTCTATGCTACCTATCCTACCGATCCTTCTTGTTTTAAAGTCATATGGGCTACTATTAGTGGAGCTAGAATTTTTTTTCCAGTCCTTTTGGGGCATCATCTTGAGAGATGTTAATTTTCACGTTAATAGGGAGAGTAACTTTTAGGAGTCACTCTCTCGTGGACACGTATTCCCGTCTGATGGAAAAGAGATCGATCTCAAAAGACGTAGAAAATCCTCATTGAATCTTCTACGTTTTTAGATTATGACGAGGAAGCCGAAACCACGGTGGGACCAACACCAGGACTCGTGATGACGACCACAGTGGCTCCGGGGACCGTCGCGGCCCAATGCTACCACAAAGACAAGATCTACCAGGATGGAGAACTGATCTATTCGACCAATCCATGCCAACACTGTTACTGCTTCCGGGGAGATATTGCCTGCGCCGTTCAGGACTGCGGAACACCCATGAAGACCCAGGGGAAGAACTGCACCGCCCTGCCGCCTCCTGATGGGGAATGCTGCCCGACCACGTACCACTGTGGTAAGAATCCAATCTGCGACCTGAGTGTCGATAACTTGCCTCCGCACTCGGGGTATAGACATTGCACATTGACTTCCCCAAAAAGAAGTTGCTGGCTGGTCCCGGATGAGGTGTCCACAGCGCGTATTATTGTGGGTACAAAGTGGTACCACTTTCAATGACTGCCTTATCCGAATTGCTCTCTTATTATGAACGGAAAATGACAGTTGGATATTCCGAGATGCATGATGGAAGGAAAGTTAAGATTAAGTGCGACGGTGTCATCGTTGAAGTAATTATTAATTGGGGTGGTTTCCTCTTGCAGAGAACGATGAAAACGTCACGTTGCCCAGCGGCGGTCTGATCGAGAACGAGGTGGCCATTACTCAGCCTACAGTCTTGGACAAAGAAGAAGGAGCTCAGAAACCCGTAGATGAGACATTCCCAGGAGCGGATAATGTGATTCCTGAAGACCATCATGACGACGCCACACAGAGCACGATAGAGGAGACCAAGGTGCCAGAAGATGTGTCAGTGAGTGAAGCCTCGTCGACCGAGACTGCTGTTACCAGTTCGCAGCCTACCGATGCTGCAATAGAAGGCGAAGAGGTTCCTGAAGAGGAGACCAAGGTGCCAGAAGGTGTGTCAGTGAGTGAAGCGTCATCGACCGAGGCTGTTGTTACCAGTTCGCAGCCTACCGATGCTGCAGTGGAAGGCGAAGAGGTTCCTGAAGAGCAGCAAACGGAGGGTCCTGAAATTAAGATAGAACCTGAAGAGAAGGTCGAAACCATGGAGGTCGCAGGTGGAGCAGAAGGTGCTACCGAGGAGCCTGCTGAGGCTCAGGCAACTGAAGGTCCTGAAACAGAAATCAGTAGTACCGAAAAGAGACTCCCCGAGCAAGAGCCGACATTCGCGACGAAGAAACACGACGAAGAAGTGGAAACACCTGAAGAGGGTGCAACGGAAAAATCCCTTCCCGAAGGAGAGGTGAAAGAGGAGCAGACCGAAGCCACCACTGGCAAGGAAGGCCCGCAAATTGTTACGGAGGGACCTGAAGCACCTGCGGCTGAAGAGGAACAGAAAACCGGGTCGCCGATTCCTGAAGTGGAAGTTAAACCTACGGAACCTGAAGCACCTGCGGCTGAAGAGGAACAGAAAGCTGAGTCGCCGATTCCTGATGGGGAAGTTAAACCTACGGAACCTGAAGCAGTAGAAGGAGAAACGACGGAAGCAGGTCTCGAGAAAGGATCAACCGAAGCTGCCGAAGTTCCAGAAGAAAAGATAATCCCGGGAATTCCTGAAGAAGCTTCGAAAGAACCAGGTGAAGAGGAAGTCCCACAAGAAGAACCCGTGACCTCAGGGATTGACCAGGTTCCGACAGAACCGGCAATTGCTGAAGAGAAACCCGAAGAGCCTGGGAAACCTGCCGAGCCGGCCGAAGAGGAGAAGCCGCAGGTTGAAGAACAGGTACCAGAGGGTGAAGTTCCCTCCACCGAAGCTGGAATCACGGAGAAACCGGTAATTGAAACCACTCAAGAGACGATTCTAAAGGAGGCGTCGACGAAGGTACCAATTGTCGGTCAAGAACCTGCCAGGAAAGACGATGAAGGCATCGAGACCCCCATCTTTGAAGAGCACAGAACATCTGAACAACCCCCCTTGGCAGAAGGCACATCCACTGAAGCTGTCGCAAAAGAATCTTCAACATTGAGGTCGCTTGAAGGGGTTCATCCTTCGGAAAGTCCCGCTCTTCCTGAAGAGAGTATCACGCCAGAGGAGAAGAAACCCGAAGAACAGCAACCATCGGAAGAATCCGCACAGAAACCAACGGAACCAGCAAGTGGCGAATCCTCTACGGAGGCAGCAGTTCCTGAAGAGAAAGGAACTCTGAAGCCCGAAGAAGAAGAGGAAGGTGGAAAGATCAGCACGGAAGGAACTCCTTTGGTAACGTCGCCTGAAACTTCCGTCACCGAATCTGATGAGACGGTTAAAGCAGAGCCTGAGGCAGGACCTGAGGTTGTTGAACCTGAAGTAGGAGTCTCGAGTACGGAGAAGCCAACAGTGGAGGCAGAAGGAACATCTGAGGAGCCGGAAGTTCCGAAAGAAGGACCTACAGGAATACCTTTGCCTGAACGTATGCCTGAACTGAAGGCTGAAGACAAGGACGCGGTGACCGATGTGCAGATAACCGAGGGCTACCCCGATGTTCATCATCCTGACATGCATATACCAGATAGTTTAACGATTGACCACCTTCCGGCCTCTTCAACGCCTGAACCTTCTTCAACATCTGCTCCTGAAGAGGTACCCACGACACCAGGTTTGACGCAACAAGAAGAGGGGTCGACGGTTACGTCCACTGAAGCTGAGCAACCTGTGCAAGAAGAAGGCGCCACTACTGCAGGTGCAATCGCTGCGTCCGAAATTCCTGAAGAGAAACCAATCGTTCCTGAAACTAGTCACAGTACCGAATCTCCAGTCCCTACGGAATCGCACGTTCAGCGAATTCCCCCAGAAGAAACAGTAAGTACTGAAAAGAGTATACCTCAGGAAGAAGGAGTAACGGAAGGTGCAGCGGTTCCTGAAGTGGCATCCACCGAAGGTGCAGCGGTTCCTGAAGTAGCATCCACAGAAGGTGCAGCGGTTCCTGAAGCTACACCCACCGAAGGTGCAGCGGTTCCTGAAGTAACATCCACCGAAGGTACAGCGGTTCCTGAAGTGGCATCCACGGAAGGTGCTGCGGTTCCTGAAGTTGCATCCACCGAAGGTGCAGCGGTTCCTGAAGTACCGTCCACCGAAGGTGCATCGGTTCCTGAAGTGGCATCCACCGAAGGAGCTGCTGCTCCAGGTGGAGTTGAAGAGCAGGAGAAACAAGGAGAAACCAGTCCTCAACCCGCCGAGGAAGAACCTAAACCAAGTTCTGAAGAAATACCCAAGACAGGGGAGGAACCTGAAGAGGAAGAACAGAAGCCAACCGAGGGGTCAGCTCCTGAAGAAATACCTGAAGAGGCAGGACCGAAGATTAGCGAAGAAATTGAAAAGACCACCGAGGAAGGTGCGCTTCCGACTGAAGAACCATCGGTTGTTGAGGAAGGAACAAAGGAGTCGGTTACACCGAAGGAAGGTGCAGAGAAACCTATTGAAGAGGAGGAAGGAACCAAATCTCCAGAGGAAGCAACGAGCACAGAAGAGCCGAAATTAGTTGAGCCTGGCTCGACGCCAATTGCTGAAGAAGAAGCAACCAAGATTCCTGGTGCTGAGGAACCGGCAACAAAATCATCAGTTCCTGAAGAACCTTCAGTTTCGATTTCCGAAGGAGAAAGCACGACCGTGAGTTCGGAGATTCCTGTAAAACCTGAAGCCGGAACATCACCGGGACCAGTTGAAGAAAAACCTGTAGAAGAAGCAACCGAAGTGACTTCTGCTGTTCCTGAAGAACAACCTGGAGTATCTCCGAAAACATCGGACGAGTCTCATCCCGAAGAGATCCCAAGTGTTACGGACGAAATTATCGGATATACCACTGTATCATCATCAACTGAGAAAGAAGCTGAGGAGGGAACACTTGCAACTGAAAAAGAGGCGACCACGATCGGAGTAGTTGAGGAACAACAAACGGAGAAGGCAATAACTGAGGAAGCACCACTAGAAGTGACAAGTAAAGCTGAAGTAGAAGCAGAAGAGAAACAGACAGAAGCTCCTCTCGAGTTCTCCACTTCTGTGAGTTCCTCGGAAGTTCCCGAAGGTGTTACCGAAGGTCAGCCTGAAAAAGAAGAGATCAAACCGATTCTAGGAGTTGCTGAAGAAGAAGCAGCGAAAGCAACCGGGGCTCCTGAAGAGAAACCTGAAGACCAGACCACTGCGACTCCACATGTCGAAGAAGCGATAACAGAGAAAGCAGCTCCTGAAGAGGAACCTGTGTCTGTAGTTGCTGAGGAACATCCAACGGAGCCATCCATCGTGAAAGAGGCAAGTTCCATCGTTCCTGAGGAGCCAACGGAAGCACCAGTCGAGGAGGGAGGGACGCAGGAATCTGTCGAACCTTCCGTTCCGGTACTTGTTGAAGAACCATCAACAGAGACTTCGATACCTAAAGAAGAGCAACCTGCCGGTACTTCATTACCTGATGAAGTTACCAAGACTCCCATAATTAAGGAAGAACCCGCCGAAGTAACAGTGCGCGTTGAGGAACCATCAAGTGAGGCTCCAGTTGTTGTTGAAGAACCGACAGAAAAAACCGTCGAAGAACAGAAGCCGATTGAAGGACCAGCCGTGGAAGAGATGCCGACTGAAGGACCAGCTGTGGAAGAGAAGCCGACTGAAGGACCAGCTGTGGAAGAGAAGCCGACTGAAGGACCAGCTGTGGAAGAAAAGCCAACGGAAACGTCTGCCGAAGAGAAACCGACGGAGAAATCTGCCGAGGAGAAACCGACGGAGAAATCTGCCGAGGAGAAACCGACGGAGACATCTGCCGAGGAGAAACCGACGGAGAAATCTGTCGAGGAAAAATCAACGGAAGAGCCAGCTGCTGAAGAGAAGCCAACGGAACAGTCTGTCGAAGAAATAGCAACGAAGGAACCAACCGAAGAACCCGCGGGAGAAGCGAAGCCGACTGGAGTTCCTGCTGCAGAAGAGACGCCAACGGAAGAACCTACACTAGAAAAGGAACCAGTAGAAGAACCAACAGAAGAAGAGAAGCCAACTCCAACTTCTGAAGAAGTACCTGTTAAAAGTACCACCGCTCCCGAGGTGAAATCGGGTACGGAACTGCCAGAGGAGGAACCGACTAAAGCTGCGCCTGAGGCGAGCGAACCTGAAAAAATACCTGAAGAAGTTTCACCGCCCGAATCAGCAACTGCAGCTCCTGGAGAACCAGAGTCAACCAGCAAACTCGCAGACGAAGAGCGTCCAGAAAGCACACCGAGTGAAGCACTCCCGACCGAAACCGCCTCAATACAGCCATCAATCCCTGAAGAACCAATCACGGAAAAGAAGCCATACGACGAAACTGCAGTCACAACGGAACCGGCGATTGTTGAGAAGACACCGGATGTTGAACCTCAAGAAACCGAGAAAACGCCTGTAGAAGAAGGAACGACACCATCAGTTGTACAAGTCTCCATTGTCGAAGAGAAACCCGAAGAACCAGTTCAGGAAATTGAGAAGCCGGGAGTGGAAGTCGAAGAGCAAAAACCAGCTACGGAAGAAGAGACATCACCAACCGAGAGAATCGATGTGCCTTCTTCAACACCAAGTGCTGAAGAACAGACACCGGTTCAGGTAACGGAGGAAGTGGAACTAGCACCCGGTATCCCAGGAGAAGGAAACTGTCTAGTGGATGGTCAATCCTTCAACAACAATTCGGCAATTCCACCTGTGAACCCATGCCAACTGCGCTGTCGGTGCATCAGCAGCATTGTCCAGTGCGACCTGGTTGAATGTTCTCCACCGCCTTCTCATCTCTTCAACTGCATGCCCGTGCACACGGGTGGAAATTCGTGCTGTCCCATGTACTCGTGCAATGCCCTGTCCACCCCAGGATTGGAATCAGACAACCAGATGTCCGGCCATGGAAAACCGGAACAAGTGGATCAGAAGACCGAGGTACCAGAGACGACGGAACCAGCGATAAAGGGAGAGGAACCAGCAGCACCTGAAGTCACGGAGAAGACCGGAGGTGTCGAAGAACCTCAGGAAGTTCCAGAGAAGACTACGGTTGCAGTTGAGGAACCAGTTTCTTCACCAGCTGTCCCAGTTGAGACACCTACCAGCTCCGTGGAGCAGTCCACATCCCCAGTGCCTAGTGAAGGAGTTGTCGAAGAAGAGCATATCCCAGTAAAGACGACGGAAGAGGAACAGGTACCAGTGTCTGTTGTGACGACCGCACCGGAAGAGGAACAGAAACCCGTGGAAGCAGCAGGTCCCGACACTCAGCCTGAGGGTCCAACCGACCAGGTACCAGAACTGCAAACTACGGTTCCAACGGTGAAGGAACAAACCGAAGGTCCGGCTGAAACCACTGTTCGACCAACGGACGAGGAACAACAGGGAACGGGTGCTCCTGCAGTATCACCTGCCGAGGAAGTGGCTACTTCAGCACCGGAAGAGGGAACGATTAAACCTGAAGAACACCCGACCGAGGCTGCTGGAGTCGAGCAGGGTCAACCGGAACCATCTTCAACTGCTCAGCCATTGGAAGAGATCACTGAACCATCTAAGGTGGAATCAACCAGTCCAGCAGGTGAAGCATCAACGGAACCTGTGGTAGGTGCTGAGGAACCAGAGAAGTCTAGTTCACCTGCTGGTCCCGTAGAAACAACGATATCAGGAGTGGAAGGCGTGGAACCTGAAAAGCAAGAGCCTACGCCAGCTGTAGAGGGAAAACCAGAGCCTGAGGAAGGTACAACCGCTGGTCCACTTGCAACGGAAATCCCCGCTGTTCCGGAAGTCACGGAATCTGGTGCTCCTACTGAGCAAGGAGCAACTGGCGAGCCTGAACTTGGAACGCAAGCCCCGACCAAATCGGTTGAGGAAGAAACCGCAACGGAGGGTCAACAGCCACTTGGCCCCGTTCCGGAAGTACCAGAAATTAGCTCCTCTCAGACACCTGAGGAAGGTCAGACGAAGGCACCAGAAGTCACGACTGAGGGAATAGTCAAAGAATCAGCTACCGATTCTGGAGAGATTGTTAAACAAACAACTGTGGGTGTAGAACTTACAGTAGAACCATCGGAACGGCCTGAGGAATTACCTACTGGACCAATTGAAGGAGATAAAATCCCCAGTCCACTTGATGAAACAGAGCAGCAGACTGCCGGACCTGAGACTGTCGAAGGGGAAACTCGTAAACCTGATGAGGAACTGGAACAACCTGGCGTACCTGTTGAAGTGCAGACCTCAGCACCTACAGCTGCCGAATCTTCGGAACCTGCAGACAGTGGAATATCTGTAACTGATGTATCTACCGAGGAACATAAAACACCTGAAGAGGAATACGTGGAACCTGAAGAGGGACACACCGAGCGTACGGAAGTGCATGTCGAACCGGAGGAAGGACACATCGAACCTGAGGAAAGACCCGTCGAACCCGTGGAAGGACACGTTGAACCTGAAGAAGGAGTGACAGGTGCACCTGATGTGCCTACTGAGGAACCAGGTGTGAAAGTAGAAGGAACGACAAGTGCAGCAGAAGAGGAGGCCGAAACACCTGCCGCCCCGATTGTCAAAGTCCTGCCAACTGAAGAGCCTGTCGAAAGTCTGACGGAGGAACCAATTGTAGCTGTTTCGATTCAGACTGAGGGATCAGTTTCCCCTGTTGCAGGTCAGACCGAGGAACCGACTGTACCAGTTGCCGGTCAAACTGAGGAACCGACTGCACCAGTTGCCGGTCAGACTGAGGAGCCTAGTGCACCAGCTGTGGGCCAGACTGATGAACATGATATACCAGTTACAGGACAGACTGAGGAACCGGCTGCACCAGTTACAGGTCAAACTGAGGCACCCATTATACCCAGTACAGGTCAAGCTGAGGAACCTGGTGCACCAGTTGCGGGTCAGACCGAAGAAACTGGTACACCAGTTGTAAGCCAGACTGAAGTACCTAGTATATCAGTTACAGGTCAGACTGAGGAACCGGCTGCACCAACTGCAGGGCAGACTGAAACACCCATTGTACCTAGTGCAGGGCAGACTGAGGAACCCATTGTACCCAGTGCAGGCCAGACCGAGGAACCCATTTCACCTGTTGAAGGTGAAACCAAAGGATCAGTTACCCCCGTCGAAGGCCAAACCGAGGAACCTATCGTCCCTCTCGAAGGCCAAACCGAAGAACCTATTGTCCCTATCGAAGGCCAATCCGAAGAACCTATTGTCCCTGTCGAAGGCCAAACCGAGGAACCTATCGCATCTGTCGAAGGCCAAACGGGAGAACCTGCCGTGCCTGCTGAAGGCCAGACCGTAGGACCTACTAGCCCTGTCGAAGAACAAACCGAAGAACCTGTTTCACCTGTTGAAGAAGGAACCGGCAAACCTGAAACGCCGGTGCAAGTAACGGAAGAACCTAAGCCAGCCGAAATCACCCCTGGCGTTGAAGAAGCAACGCCGACTGAAGAAGTTCAAATACCTGTGGAAGTTAAACCGGAGGAACCAATTGGTGAAGAACAGCCCAGTTCCACAGTTGCTGCAGAAAAGGAACTGCCAGAGACTTCTACAGCTGAAGCTGAAGTCACGAAACTAGCTGGCCTTGAACCGACCACGCTTCCGAAAGAACAACCGGAAGTAGCACCTGGCACTGAGGAACAACCTGGTACTGAAGCAACTGGTGCAGACGTATCAGAAGGATCAATCGAGGAGCAGAAACCTACGGAAGCCGAAAGCACGCCCACCATAGAACCATCCGCAGAAGGTACGACACCGGTTCCTCAAGTTGCAGTAGAGGTCTCGTCAGAAAGGATCCCCGAAGAGGAAATCAAACCTGACCAGGTGCCACTAACGGAAGAACCTGAGAAGTCCGTTGAATCTTCTACGTCACAACCCACCGAACCAGTCGAAGGTACCACCGAGAAATCCATAGAAAAGAGTCCCGAGGAATCAACGCCTGCCGAAGAACAGAAACCTGAAGAGAAACCTGAAGGGCAACCCGAAGAGACCCCAGCGGAAACGCCAAGCCCCGAGGGAGTGGCACCAGATACACCCTCTTCAGCTCCCGAGGAGCAAGGAACCGAAGGTCCCAGCGCCCCAGAGACCATCGAAGAACATCTCCCAGAAAACGTCACCGCCGAATCTACGACCGAGAGGAAGCCGGAGTTCTCCACGGAAGCACCCACTAGTCAAGAAGTTCCTGAAGTGTCCGTCACCGAAGGGCTACCCACAGAAAGCTCGGTGGCACCCGAAGAACCCGAAGCCCAATCCCCAGTTCCAGAAGGCGAGGCCCCAAAACCAGAAGAACTGCCAGAATCATCCGTCCAACCTGAAGGAACGACACAGCACCCGAGTCTTCCCGAAGAAGGCACAACCCTAGCCGGCGTGGAGGAGCCCAAACCCGAAGAGCAATTCCCCACGAAGGTAAGTGGCCCCGAAGAAGCGACACCCGAGTCTCAGTCTTCTCAGCCTCCATCCGAGGAACCCATCACCGAGGCGCCTCAAGAAGGTCCCGTGGAACCGCAACGGCCATCGGAGGAACCCCCAGCAACGGACCAGCTGATCAAGGAACCGTTCACAACTCCAGCGTCCGGAGAGAGCTCTCAGGAGACCTCGTCCGAAGAGGAAGACCACTCACCGGAACTCCCAGCGTTCCCTGAGGAACCCGAAGAGCCCGAGAGCCAACCAACCATCAGGCCTGAGCAGCATCCAGAGTACGAAGGAACCAAACGACCAACCACCCCACCAGGGGTCTACACTCCTGAAGTGGCCAGCACGATCTCTCCACCTGGAACCTCCCAGAGCCCCCAGGGCTACCCCGAGCATGGCGTCACCGACGAGGACAACCCACACTTCCCAGTTGATGGTGGAAGCTATCTGAACCCTGACGAAGAGGACTACGGCGAGGACGACCAGGCCATCTATGGTCCAGGAACTTGCCGATACGGCGGCAAGGTCTACGTTTCCGCCCAGCAGATCCCCAGGGATGACCCCTGCGACTTCTGCTTCTGCTTCCGAAGCGACATCATCTGTCTGCAGCAGAGCTGTCCTCCGCCCATCCATGGATGCCATGAAGAGCCCATCAGCGGCTTCTGCTGTCCGCGGTACGAGTGTCCCGTGTCCATGGCCACGAGCCTCAACATTACCACCACCACGACCACGACCACGACCACCTTGCCCCCTCACTTCCCCTCTCACGTCTACAAGGGTGCAGCTAGACGCAGTGGGTGCCAAATCAACGGCAGGGCCTACCGTGTCGGCGAAGTCGTCAAGTCCGCCTCTGGACCTTGCCTCAGATGCACGTAAGTATACATCTCCTTATTAACACCTCGATACACCTACACTCTTAAAAAAATCCATTCAAAATATATTATACAAAAGATGACATTTTTTGTCAATGTACAATATTTCATAATTGCTATGTACAATTCTGTACAGATACACGAATCTTAGTTCCTTCAGATTCCATTCGAATTTCAAAGTTTCGTATAATTTCATTAAAATTTAAAAATCTCTCAGTTTCCGAACACATTCGTGAGAATTCATGGACGATGTTTTTTACTTCCAGTACCAGTATACATTTAGTATTGAAAAACATTTCTATCAGGGTAAATTCAATTTGATTTCAAAATACAAATACATTGTGTTCATTGAGCCCTGGGGAAAGATAAATAAGAGGTAGCCCGAAGGAACTTTTAGAAGAAAAGCGTAAACAAGCTCGTCTTCGCGATTACAGATGCGGGGGAGACGGTAATATGCAGTGCGACCCACGAGTATGCAGTCCTGAGCCGATGCTGAGGCAAATGATCGCAGCAGTCACCGCCAGAAGGAGGAGATGAGCCTCGAGATGAGCAACCTCCTCAGCAACGCCAGCTCGGCCCCGGGCTGTCGGGCTCGAGAAACTCGAGAGCAGTGTTGTATAAAAGTGACTTAACATTTTGTTTTTTTTTTATTATTATTATTATTATTATTATATTAATATTATTATTAATATTATTATATTCTAAATGCCGTCGCGGAACACAGACAATGACGTGCCCGGCGATCACGAACTGAGTGGCCAAAACGTAAGCGTTTATATAAGAGGAAGAGAAGCGATGAACGGTGGAAGAGAGATATTAATTAAATAACGTAGGGCGCGTTTTTGGTGCCAAAATGGAGGGAGCGACGAATGAAGCGGCGAGGGCGGACGAGGAAGGAGGATCTCTTCTTTTTGGAGATATCGAGAGACGTGCGCTTACGATCGACTCTCGAAATCGAAAGACCGAAAAGTCGGAACGGAGGGACTGCGAAACGTACGAGACTTATGACAGTGCCTTCGTCGATGCCTTGTCGGCAATTTCTCTTGCGGTCGACGTAGCCATATCAACGTCCTCGACGTTTCCGGGGAGAAGCGCGATAGTCGGGAAGAAAGGATTGAGCGATACGAGGAAGAATTGAGGACGAAGAAGAGAGGTCACGGAGAGAAGATGGACGACCTCGGCGTCTCGGATCCCTCGGCGAGGAGCTTCAAGACCAGATACTAATTGAATTAATCGAAGTATACCGCGCACAAAGGGAAGACATCCGATAATTCGATGTGAGGAAATAAGGGGACTTGGAAGGACCATTTGGGTCCTTTGGATGACTTTCCGTTGGCTGGGGAGAAGATGGTCTTCGAGGCTCCGTCGAGAGGAGATCCGCCCACGCGGCAGGTCATATCCGCGAGATAAATTAGGATTATGCTTAGGAATTTGAAAGATGTACAATGAAAGTCAAGACCGGAAGTTTCTTGGACGTTTGGTAGCGAGGTAGTCGGTGGTTTTGCGTCCAGGTATCTCCCGGGAAGAAAAAAAAGTCTCTTTCGAGCGACCTCTTGGAAGGGTTCCTACTTTTTTAAAGAGGCCTCAGGATTTTCTGGCGGATCTTTCCTTGCTGCGTGGATTAAGGACTCGGGAACGTCGAGCGACGTCGAAGGGGAGAATTAGACGAAGGATTACGAAGCTCCAGGTGGAAAATCGTACGCGCAACTCAAAGCTCAAACTGCGGCTCGCGCGGAGGACCTCACGAGGAAAGCTTCTCCGGCGAGCTTGCGCCATTTATATATATAAATATGCGTTTCTACGGCTCTTTATATATTGTACTCTCAGTATGATAATTAAGCCTAAGGACACTGTAAGCCGCGACCAGGAGGAAAATGTAATTAAATTACTAACACCGAGTGTGGTTGTCCACGTTACCGTGGAGTCGCCGTTGCCCGGTTCGAATCCCGGCGGGTCAAGTTTTCTATGTTTTTTTTTATATATATATTTTCCTTTTTCTTCATCGCCTAGGTGGTTGTCAGTTTCGTGTAAAGTGATAGCGATCCCGACGATGGATTTTAGAGGCAACTGCGACTCTACGGTCCGCTCACTCCATTATACAGATAATTGAATTACATTTTGCCCACCATCGGCGGGAAGTCGCGCCTTGTTCCCGTCCCGTGGAACTTGTCGCGCCGTTCTGTGTAATCCCCACGAACACATTACGAAATTGCGACGTAATCCCGAATGCAGCGTGCAACGAGCATTACGCCCTTGGGGTGAAAATTACGTCTAATTGCAGAACTGTGTTCGTCGGGTCTAGAAATATTGTAAGGGGACCTCAGCCTCGTCTTCCTTGCAATAGTCCGGTGTAGAACTCGGCCTCGTTGGCGACTACCTTGGCGTGAATTTTCCCTGACAATGGTCTCTTCCCGAAATTAATCGAAAATTCAATTAATCTAAGACTACACGGTGACTGTCGCGTAATAATGTTCCTCCGATCGGAGACCATTGCCAAGAAGAACTTCGGCCAAGGATCCAGCTCCGCTCCGGGTGGCTCGACCGGCAGAAGAGCATCCTCCCTCGAGATCCGATCTCGAGGTCGTCAATTCATTGTCAAACTACTGCCAATTGCGCAAAGTGCCGCCGAGGGGATTCCTCTGATCCCTCTTGGAATTTCTTGAGATTTCCAGAGATGCCCCAAAACCGCTGCAAACGAACGGAATCTTAGACAAAGTCCTAACGCCTTAGTCTGCAAATTATTTCACATTATTTCCCACTTTTCTCTTGTAACTTGAAATCCTGCTCGACCGATTGGCGCGTCTCGTGGATGCATATCTAAAAAGAAAGGGGAATTTTTAGATGCCCCATTGTTGTAGGGATAATTTGAGAGGGGAATACCGCTTGCATGATTTCTTCTCCGAGTTTTGGCATTTCTCTGAATTGATCTCGAGAAATATCCCGCGGCAAAGTCAGATCTCGCTCGAGAGCGACGCATTTTGCCTCTTGAGCGCCCGGACGAGCTCGGCCTTGCATACAGCACGAGTTTCCCTTGGGAACCCCAGGAAGCCCCCCGATAAATTCGTTCTCCTCTCTCGGGGACTTCCCTTGGACTTCCGATGGAGATTTTGTGCTGTACGGGATGTGTATATTTCGCAGGACCAAGCGAATTCCTCTGGTTCGTAACGGCGACTCGGCACTTGCCGCGTTCCCATCAGCTCTCTTCGTGATCAATAACTGGCGTGAAACATAAAACAAAGAACTTTAAGGAAAGAAGAAACGATGACTTGACTCTCTCTTAAATGCAGACTTGAACTACTTATTTGTGACGTTGAACACCGCACTCTCCGTTGGCATGAATCTTTAAAAAGCCTTATGGAATTATTTAGTAATAATTCCATGGAGAAAGAAAAAAGATAAACAAAGCTGCCTATCGAGAACTCGAGAAGGTTAAGGTATTACCGTTTAACGATTTGGTCCTACCGAAAATATAAATATTCTTGTAATTTTGTATCATGAATTGTCTTAATCTCGTGCATAAGCGGTTGCGATCAGTGACTACATTTGATCGGTAGGATCTAATTGTTCTTCGATAAAATCCAGTTCGAAGTTTGAAGCTTTTTGCGAATGATACATTGGAAGGTCAGCCGAGCTTCCTCTTAATTTTCTTGGGAAACTTGGCTTAACGGTTCGTTGTTTGGCGTCACAAATTGGTTTTAATAATCCCAGCCACCGTTTAGGGAAACATAAGATTAAGGAGAGTTTCCAAAGTCATGTCCATTTTTTCCTTGAAAATTCTGTAACTTCCCTGATTTCTTGAGATTCTCACTCGCGATAATGAAAGGAGCATCTTTCTATCTGGAAACTTAAACCACTCGATTTACATAGATTTTTCCAAGTTACGGATTTATATATCAAAATTATTATCCGAGGTTTCACGTCGATTTGCGACACCCTAACGAGTTGACGAGGGCAAACGCGGGATCGCCGTCACACTGTTTCGGAGGACCCTCTAGAGATTAGTCGACACTTAGTATTTATCTTTATACCCATTTATACATATAGAAGTGATTACGAACCTACTGGATATCACGATAACGAGTATAACTATAATATAAATATGCATACAATAAAGTAATGTAATTATAGCGAAGGTTCCGTCGAAGCGCCCGAACTTGAAGGGACCCCCGAAGGATTAAGGGGAATCCCCAAGATAAAAGCGTGAATTACGGATTTTGAAAAGGGAGATGGAAGCTTGTCACGTGGCCCTTTTCTCTTAAGGGACACTTCTTTTTTTAACGATTCGCAATCCCCCCAGTATCTGGACGTCAGTACTCAACACACGAAGTGGATTCCTCGGACATTCGTTGTCTGTTGATCTTTTATTTGTTTCCCTTCTTTGTTTCTTCCCTTTTCTTTCTCAATTCTTGTACTCGATGACGATTATCCATGTTCTTAAAAGTAGCAATCCATTATCGTTTGTTGCGTATATATATATATGTTAAATATATATATATATTATGTGATAAATGATGATACAAGTGAGTCAGGAGCATCTCGGTGATCCCGACTGCGGAAAGCTAGGTTTAAAACCAGTACGTACTAGTATAAAGTGTCCTTTTATATGAATAAATGATTTTATATGTCGATCATGGGTGGTGTTCATTTTTCCCGCGGCCATTCCATATGTTTCGACGGTTGCGTTTGCAATATTCCTTTCTTTATCGTATTGCCTTTGTTATTAAAAATATATATCTTTTGCTAGAGGTGTCAAATATGAAATGCGAAATTTGTTGAAGGTAAACTTTTAGAGTAGAGTAGAATAAAGTACGGATTCTAATAACTTAGTAATGAAACTTTTGCGTAATATTTTGACGAGGATATTCTGATACACTATTTGATTTAATAAAAGTAAGAGAAAATAAATTCGACGTACCATACATAGGTAATGAAAATGGTGAAACTATATGTAATTCGATTTCTTCACGTGAGATGGCGCTCTCCAGATGAAGTTTTTGGATTCACTTCAGTTAGTTTACCCTCTGTATATATTATCAATTTTATGATATTTCTCGTGCATTCTCGTCTGCTGTTTCGAGCTGTCTCCTGCTCGAATTATTTTGATACATGACTACCTCGTCGTCGGACAGTCGAAGTGCAAGAAATATGTTGATGTACACTATAATTGGAGGATACGTCATAACATCTGTACTTCTCTTCAAATATCCGACATTAATACATAAAAAGAAAAAAGTAAAATTCACGTGTCATCACATCAGTCACAGAGGTGGTAGGTTCGATTTCGTCATTTACTGCCTTAATGTTGCAAGACAATAAATAATGCACTACAATAGTAAAATCTAACCTAAGCCCATTTCACAACAGTAATTGTATCAACGATTTACCATTTTACAGGCGCTGGTGAGAGTTATGAAAATACTATGTGCGCTTTTAAACGGTGAGTTAAATTACAATTTACTGATGTTTTCATTTTTCAATGTCGAAACGTTGTTACATTGCTCTATACGCAAAGAATAATAATCGAATGTTTGATGTTTTTGGATAAATTGTACTCCAGAATTTCAGTTCTTATCCTCAATGATGATTCATTTTTCTCGTAACTATTTCGAGTACAAGTTATAATGGTTGAATCATTACTTACATCGTCACTTACTCATTTTACTTATGATTGTAGAGCTGTTGCTGTTGGTACACAAATGCTAGAATTGGACTGTCATTTAACAAGAGATTTGCAGGTAGTTGTGTGTCATGATAACAATCTACTGCGCAGTACAGGAACCAATAAGAATATTTCAGAACTAAATTATAGAGACTTGCCTCTCCTTAAGCGATGTCTACCGATTGATTTTGACCCAGGTAACTTTACTATTACTTCATGATAATTCTCATTTCGCTCAAATTAAATGAAAGAATGGTATTATAAATAGATTCTGAATATATTGGATCTGAAAAAGAGGAAGAGCGGCGATTTCCATTATTAAAGGAAGTCTTTGAGGCATTTCCGAACATTCCTATTAATATCGACATCAAAGTCAATAACGATTGTCTTATATCCAAAGTTTCTGAATTAATAAAGCAATACAATCGAGAGGACTATACAGTCTGGGGGAATTTCAGAGATGAAATTACAAAGAAGTGTTATAAAATGGTATGTACGAGTACCTGTAAGAATTTGCATATGCTTAACTTTTTGGTTAGTAAAAATATGTATTCCATATTTTTACATTTATATTTCAGAATCCAAATGTAAATCTGATGTTTTCTATGCGACGCGTTACTCTGCTGATATTGCTTATGTATACTGGATTGCTACCCTTTGTGCCTTTAAAAGAGACACACCTGGAAATATTCCTACCCTCTATATATCTACAGTAAGGAGTTACTTAAACAGATTAAAATGACTTTCTGAACATGTATACATTAATTCAGTTTTCGTCCACTGTTCCAGAGTCTGGAAAAGGAATTCGAAATCTCTTTTTCCATTAGAAAAACTTATCTTATGTTCCATTAATTTATTGCTAATGAGACCATGCCTATTTAACCATTTACGTGCTCGTGGAATTCACGTAAGTAAATATATATAATTTCATATACTATGTTAAAAAGGTTATTTCTAACTACTCACTTTCCATCGAAATTGTAATTCAAATCAAATGAATATTTCAAATATTTTTGTTGACCTTACGTAAGCATTTATATTCTCTTCAAGAATATATAATATTTATTGTGCGGAGTGCAGAACAATTGATTTTGCAGGTCTATTTTTGGGTGCTAAATAAGGATGAAGAATTTAAAAAAGCATTTGACTTGGGTGCTACAGGTGTAATGACAGACTACCCATCACGACTGAAGCTTTTCTTGGAGAGTAATATGCTGGAATAGCATCAGGTATTTTGCAGAAATGCAACAAATTCCAAAGATAAACTAAAGATTTTTTTTTCTTGTGGCTCTAAATTAAACAAATTTAAATGGCGTCGTTGACACCTCGCGAATTTTTTCGCACACTGCAAATTGAGTTTCGGAATTATATGTATCAACATAGCCATTATAGCATATGATAAAATGTGACACATCATTCTTTAAAGCAGATAAAACGAGTGTCGCAACTTGTAGATATGCTAATTATAATTCGCGACGTTTTGACAAACATGAATGCAAGAATTTTAAATGAAAAAGATATGCAAATCATAGTGATATGTATTTTATAAGATTTGCATTATAAATGGAGTAATCGTCAATTGCACGTTTTCTAGGAAAATAATCGTATACTACCAATTGTATGCATTGTATCATTCGACGCCACATTTTTACAAAATTAGTGATGTCAGTCACATTTTACTCCTAATTTATGAATATTAAGCTTACAATCATCAAAGTTAACGAGGCTGCCTTTATGTTTAAATTGATATTAAATTAAACTTTGCGTTACTTATATTCATGCATGCGTTAAGACATTTTTGAGAATGTGCATTGAAATTCAGTAGTTTAATTTATAAGACTGCAACAAAGAGTAATATTTATGAATCCTTATTGAATATAATCTTCTATTGTCTTTATGTCATGTGAGGTCCAACAGGGCAAGAAATTAACATCAAAATTAAATGACCACATCGGCTACCTCCCTTAGTGCAATTAAAAATATTAGTTATTCACTGAGGATTGTATAAAATTGCGCCTCTTATTTCTGCAATGAGACATACAGTGATTACTAAATTATACATGAAATAATAGGCCCTGTGCGTGAAGTTCCCAAAGACTTATTTTTTAACATTATTGCTACACTTTTGTCCTTGAAAATTTGTGATGTAAATATCAGTATTATATGCTATGAAGTATAAAATAATGTGAAATACTATTACAGTGACATAACTTTCAACTATAAATGCTGTTTCCTACAAAGTAGTCTTAGCAAAGGCAACATAACGTTAAGAATAGTGAATTCAAAAAGACGGATTCAGAATTGATTAAAAATACATTACAAATAATTAGAGTAATTAGAGTAATTGCGATATCGACCGTAGTTACATTACCCAATAGCACGTGCTTATAAAAATTATTCGATACTATTTAAAATTAAATCTTATTTTGTTATTTATCTAACTGCTTCTCAAGTGTTGATAGAAGCTTCCATATAATATAGTAATACTTTATGTAATTTACTAACTGTGATCTATTTTGTGATAAGCTTTCTTCTTAAATGCAGATTAGGTTCTGTATTTAAATTTGCACAAAGCTTAAAGATAGGAAAATTTTAGCTTAATCTGAAATGTATAGTATTATAAATATAATAAAATATGTATTTATTATATGGTACATTGAGTACTTTTAACATATTAAAAAGTTCTTGCAATAACACTGTTATGATAATAATTGTATTATTTTCTTCAATGTATTACGATACAAAAATATACAATGTACAAAAATATATATAATAATCCTTAATTTTAGGATAAATATAAATATTCCTAATAAATGCATGTATATCATTTATAAAATGAATTTGTATAAACATCCTATTTTATTACCCCCCCCCCCCCATAATAAAATATATACATCACTTCATTTTATAGAACCTCCATTTTTAACTCCACTAAACTTATTTCTTTGAAATGCTTATATCTATGACAATTATTCTTGATAATGTTAGTAGAATCATAGTTTAAAAAGTTTATAATTATAAAATGTAAAAATAGGCAAGAAATTCATGATTCTTATCTGTACATTTGTTCTAAAACTTGTCGTTGAATGTGTCTCGTTAGAATCTTTATACATGAACATTAGTACATATTGGAATGCCTCGATTGCTTTTAGTTTCATTTGGTATCACAACGAAACAGTAAGCAAATATATCATTTAACTAATATTGCACTGTAAGAAAATACTGTTGCAAATCTGCTTTAATGTTTACAGGTATAGTAGTAATGTTCTCGATGCATGGGATCAACCTCATTGCCTATTTCAGTATACTTGAACACATTTTTCTGACATTGTTCACATAGTTTGTCAGGTGGGTGTGAACTGTCGAAGTGCTTTAAAATCTCCTTCCTCTTAGAGACAAATTTCATTTTACAAGTCTCACAATATACATAGCATACCCTGAATCGCGAATGCACAGCATCGGTGACGACTCGCCCTTTTGGATGTTTACTCTTCGCTTCTTTGTGATCTTGCAGATCTTCGCGTTCTTCGATATCATCAAAAGAAGACATTCCTGAAAATGTACGGCATATGATTATTAATTCCGTCACACATTTATACCAATGCTTTCGATTTATTACTCCATATTACTTTATGCAATCGGAACACCTTTCTATCATGCACTTATTCCAAGTCATTTAGTTCTGATTATTTTTCTTAAAACATATTGGTACAAACAACATATAAGACCAGTCGATATTCACAATACCTTAATGAAATAGATAATAGATTTTAAATTGTCATCAAAAACTCACTTATTGTTTCATCCAGGGATGGATCGATGGTGAGTCAAACGGAAATGAATGCAGCATTGTTCAACATAATCTAACTAAATCAGTAGTAACGAAACCTCGTTATACTGAAATTTCGTGTCATGTTTAAGGTTAGGAATGGTTAGAACTGTCAGTTACGTCATTAACTTAACCTATTTAAGATGGCCTACGCACACCGCATTTTGAGTGCAACATACACAAAGTATATACAGATGAGAGTAACCATGGTCCCTACTTTAAACTAAGTGAAAGGTGCTGCCCTCTCAGCGATTGAAGCATTAAAAGACGCGACATGTTCATAAATACAAATTCAGTCGACTTGGTAGAGCGAGCGCAGAACTGACAAACACTTATCGTGCGAGTTATTGCGATTTTTTTCCCAAAAGAGACATGAACGTTTGAAAAGTAAACCGATCGAGAATCTATTCCTGGGATTCAGAGTTATTCTTAAATTTGTCCAAACCTTCCAGTTTATTTTACATTAAAGCTCCACTTCTGGCCTTGAAAATGAGCCGCCGAGCGAGAGCGCGATTCCTCCCCAAGGGACATCAGGGTAATGTTAGAATTTTTGAAAAACGATCTAAAATACAGCGTATCGTCCTAATCACATACGTAACCGAACTCCGAAGTTCAAGAATAGTACGTTATAAAAATATTGACAAAAGATCCACTCCAGTCCGTGTCTGACACGTTACATTACTACTCCACTATCTCGAAGTAAGCGTTGACACGTCGTGACTCATGCAAGAATATAAACGTCAATGCCATGCCATTTGTATAGTAAGATCTTTAATAAATGCACGGAGAACAATCGAAGGAATGTCCATTATCGTCTCTGGCATTACGTTGACCTTACCTTCATGGAAACACATAGCGGCTTAAATGCATCGAAATAACCGAATACAAGAGTCGCTGCATTCGTTAGTTTATTTACAGGTTACGTCATGACTCATAATAATATCCTATACATACGCATGTATATATGTATCAACAAAATAATGGTTTTTAATCCTTCTTACGTCGCTAGTAGAATCTAAGGGCTAAACAGTCAGGTGCGACCTCAACTCGCCGGTTTTTCCCTCTACACTTTCGCTATCAGGTTAAAATAAGATTGCGTTTCCTCTACCGGAGTTGGCTAGCCATTGATAAGTGAACGATTACAGGTCAGTATGTACTTATACGTGCCGTCTGATCTTTGCGACGAAAATTACGACGCAATTGCGAAAAGTTATTTGCCACGGTGGATCCTCGTGCAACGCGGTTTCCTATACAATATATGCAGGGTGATCCAAAATAATATTGCCAAATCTTTAGTCCTATCACTAATGCAACGTTTTCCCCGGTTCTCATTAAATTCCGATTTTCCGTGTTCTCACTTTTTCGTCTATGTACGTATCTCAACTCATTCTCATTTTACAGCGCCCCAGACAAACGTATAGCAACAATCTCTATTAAATTTAAAAATCGCAAAAAACACTCCCGACATGAGGAATGAAATGAAACGTAGGAGGAGGTCAAGCATGGCTGAAAATTTCACAAGACGTTTGTTGCTCTGTGTATGCACTTAAAGCAACAACTTAGAGTCCAGTTAAACAAGTCATTACTAAAACTCCGGACTAATTTCACCGTTCATTAATTTATTCAAGGGAACACTTGCCAACGCCATTTTGGGACGTTCCGTAACGTATTTAATAACGCGGATTTTCATAACACATATTTCATGAATTATGGTACATTTGCCCCATTATTAGAAACCGCGTAGTAGGAGGATTATGTAGATGCTTTTCTCACGTTATAAGGAATAGCGCCTACACGAGTACCGCGTTATAGGGCGGTCTACTGTAGTTCTCTTTGTGTTTATACATTACACATTCACATATACATTTAACATATTACGCCATGAGGGGCGCAAATACATCGGCTTGGTCGGACGCGAGCATTAAGTTCTCAAGCTCTCGATTATGCGAGATGAATCGTTCGCCTGTTCCGAATCACATTGCGATGCTATGCAGGGATATGTACAACCGGTCGAGCGAACCAACTTCTTGTCCAGTTTCCTTTTTTCTCTCTTTTTCTCTTTTTCTTCTTCCCCAAGTGACGTTTAATTCTAGAAATAGAATGGAAATATAGGAGACAGTAATGAAACAACCGCTGTTTCCGTCAATTCGATAAAATAGGTGTAAATGTGTATACATATATATACTTGTATTATATATAATTATATATATAAGCTACGTGTATTATATATAATTATACATACATACAGTTAGTCTTAAGCTTTACGTAACGTACGGTTGTTTTAGGACTCCACGTGGGATCGATGACAGTCGTGCCGATTGAATTGCTCCAAATTGAAAGCCCGTAAACTCCATTAACGCGTTATTTCGCGGCATGAGCCATGTAGTATGAGAAAATTGACACTCTACGGTACATATATGTATATATATATATATACGTCGTACGTTTATTAGCTTAGTATTTTAATATGCAAGATATTACACAGTCCGTTAATTGTCTCCTTACAAAGAGTAACTATTGTGTAATTTATACGTCACTCGCGAGTTTAAACGTACGGAGTCTACTGTCCTCAAATTTGAAACAATTTATCTTTATGTTTGTTTAGACACTTTATCGATGTTACAAGATGTGTGCTCGTCGTCCGGCCAATTACAAAATAAAGACGGAACGTAATCGATGGTCACACTCGGTAATGAACACGTATGAAACATTGTTACGTATCGGTATTGTTAAACTGCGACCTGACTCTCTTCTTATCAGCCTGAGTACATACTCTCGGAACGTTATCCTGTGATATATGATGTCTTATTTATGTTCTAAGGGAATCTGAGTTTGCTTTGATCCGTCCGCTGGCTCAAAATTCCCGACCAGCAGTATGTTATTAATTTTGGATAAGCCATTTCGAAAACGGACTCAGGTCTGTGATAACAGCGGTTCAAGATGTTTCCAAGACTGTTCATAAACACTTTAGCAGAGGCGTTCTTAAGTAGAGCTTTTTGTAAAAACGACGATGCCAAGAGAAGGCAAGGATTTCAAATCGCACTTTAATCGAGCACGTTGATAAATGTGCGAAATCTCATTTGACAAATAAATATTTGAAAAGGAGAAAAGGTTGTTTTTTTTTTTTTTTCGTTAAACCGCCAGATGAAGCGCCCGAGAATGTGACGTAACAGACCAAGTTAATTTATACGTCCGGTGGTGGTAAGAGTAATTAGAATATGTATTTATACGCATATTTATATAACATTTTCCTAGCTAAGACAGATTTATCTACAGACTTCGTACCTTAGAGCGTCCGCTACGTTTCTGCGTAATCGTACAAAACTACTCAATAGCACCTATCGCACCTATCGTACAACCGATCCGCCAGCCATTGCGGCGAATTCCTCGCTTATCACTTCGAAAAAACATCCATTAACATATCTCGATTCCGTACCTCGCCCGGTCGGCGTGTCGAACGAAATGGTAGCAACGGCATTCAAGAATGCAATTTACAGCTTCCTGAAGGCATGCTATCGAAAAATACTTCAAACGAAACTTGATCAGCATATCATTTCAAACAACTTTCGTAAGAGCCGATCTCCTATATTATGCGTAGAACTCGCAGGGAAACTGCATTTATCCGTAGGATTGCGAAACGCGCTGAAGGTGCGTTCTGCACTGAACATGGCGACACATTCGACGCATTAAACGGAAACTCTCAGAACCTTGATATCGCATCCACAATCGTGAGCTTTAAACCCATATAAAAGAACAAATTCGTCGAATCAACATGATCTGCTTAGACGAAAAGGAGAAAAGGAAGATAAAATACAAAGAAACAACAACCCTATTCGTTCCCAATATCCTTAACACTCTCCAGTCAGGCGCAACCGCCTAAATTGCACGTTCAATTTTCCGATTTCCTGCTTCGGTAACGCGTGATATGAAAAAATGCCTCAAACAAATCTTACTCCTCACCATGTCCCAAGAAACATTCGTAATAACTAATTCCCACCTCGTGCACCGAATGCGCGACGAAATTGCATTCCCCTCAAACTCGACGAAACGGAATGGCGGATATTTCGCTCAACATGGCCGCGCAACAATGGGCGCGTTAAAGATTTACAACGGTCCATGTCCCGAGCTTGGATCAGTACCGAAGACTAAATTAATCGTTTCAACATCTGCTCGGGCATTTAAACGAAACAGCCAGGCTCGATTGACTATTGCACGAACGTCCCATTGGCGTCAGTCTTTCGGCTACGAAATGAAGACAAACGGCACAAAGCGACGTTTGTCCAGAATTGTGTGCCACGATAATGTACACATGATGCACTCTTTAACGAACGTTGGACACCGCCACCGGCAATTGCACTCGATTGCTGGGAGCAATTTGCAGCGATGGCCTTCCAATTTTCCGAAGTCTTTAAAATTGGTCAGGACCATAATTAAGGGTAAAGATATCGACGCCGAGGTTAAGGTCATGATCACAATGGTCAGGATGCCAACGTGGCCTTATGCCAAGGCGATCGACGTTGTTGTAGCTGTTGTTGCTGTCGTTGTTGCTGCTGCGGTTGCTGCTGTTGCGGCTGTTGCACCTGTTGCTGCTGTCTTTGCTGCCGGGGTTGCTCCTCCTGCTGGTACTGCTGATGTCGTTGCTGCTTCTTCTGGCTGCAATTCCGAAAGCAGAGAAATTGTAAACATTTCAGCCGTTCATAAAATTTAGTACGTAAGAGGTAGTAAATGACTTTCTGCAATCGTTCAGGATTATTAATTCACTTGCCGACTAGATTTGCTGTCTGAATAAAACTGGCCGCAAAAGTGTTAAAGAGTTATCATGTCTTTTTAACGATATAACACGCGATAACTTACGTTATCAGAAAATATAACGTCGAAGTACCGTATCGTGGAAGTATTCCGTGGAATGCAAGGTAATTGGTGCTTTAATAAGTTTGTTAGAAAAATCTCTGCGGGAAATGAGTATAATAAACGGGGCCAACAAGATGGCGGACAGCATGACCCCTGTCGAAAGCGGAATAGTAGTGGAACGTCCCGTGGACGGTTTAATTCAACATGACCCAAGTATGCCACGCAAAAGGAGTACGTGTATCGGTATGTGTAATTTAAGTAGATCTTCCTCCCCTCCGCTAGAATATCAACGAGTTCCGCCGGTGGACGTCGCCGTTCATTGTACCGCGTTAAAAGAAAGAAAGGTCATCGTGAAATCATAACGAACTGACCTAAAAGGTCTGTATAAAGAGACTGAAATGTGTTAAAGTTTGGTCCAGAACGAGGGGACGGAAGGTTTCCGATATTTCGACATAGGTGCCAGGTAATGGGTCAATGTACGGGAAATGAACTTTGCAAATTGGACCCCCCCGTGTAAGGGGGACCTATTGGCACAATGAAACGGTAAAAGTAGAGCTAGCCCCGAGTATCGACGAGTTCCGCTCGACGTGCTCGGCGTTCGTCGAACCGCGAGTAAAATTGCGAAAAGCCTCTCGATTGTATGCGTATCTCAGTCAACAGGTGCGCAAGCCTGCTATCCGAGGTATAAAAATACCCGAAAAATTTCCACAAGAGATATCACGTGCCGGAGCCTCCTACGTGGCCTTAATAGAGAAAAGAAGCCGAAAGCAAGCGCTCGAGAAGTGTTCAACTAATTCCTCGTTCTTCGTTCTTCTCGTATTCGCTCATTAACATACTCCCCAAAACCAGTTGTAGAATATTTCACCATACGGGAGGAAATGAAGATTAATCTTTAGCCCACTATTATTGCTCTGGAATGTCCGCTTGAAAATCTTACATAAAATTGTCATAGAAGAGAATTAAAAAGCATAATTTCGCAAATTCATAAAGGAATCGTCAGTATACGAAGGTTAGTCATTGGAAATTTCTCGTTACATCGGTTCTTTGGCGGGAAAGAAAAACCGAAATTTTGTTTGCGTTGTAGAGGGTTAAAGAAAAGATTGCAATACCGTATTTAACAGCCCAATACTCTTATCAGATACTCCCGAGCAGAGTTAACGACCAGTTCCCACGCTTATCGACGTTAAGCGACTCCGCGGGTAAAGTAGAACTCGTTTCCCTCGGAAGTATCGATAAGTCCCGCGGGGAGAGGAGGGCGTTCCACCCGCAGGACAAAATCGGTGATAGTACGCGGATCGGCCAACGTGGGCGCATGTCGGATAGGTTAGGAACGGCACTCGGCCGGCCGGGATTGGGAGGTAGGAGGATCGATCGAGGTGAGCATTGCGCGCATGCGCGCGCACACATACGGGACCTTCCCTCCCTCTCGCTCCCACCAGCGCCGCGGTCAGCCGTCTCTCTCTCTCTCACTCTACTGCTCCGACGTCCGCCCACGCGTCCACACCCGCGACGCCACGCGCGTCCGCCCATCGATCGACCTCGAGCTTCGTTCGTTTCTTCGCCGCTTCAATCCCCATCCACTCGATAACGTCGTGCTATCACTGGACCTGAATTTCCTCAATCATCCCTACATTGTCAATTGGCCTCAATAAACGACTACAACAACAAGAAAGTGAAGAATCATTGCCTCCTTTCATACGAAAAAAAAAAAAAAAGATTGACCTCGCACTGAAAACCACATGTTCGACCCTGCCCATCATATATAGTCGTAGTATATAACCATGATTACCCGGTGTAATGAAATATACGACGATAGATATCGATGGTAAAGGAACAGAATTTTATGCGAGATCGATCGATAAAAACCAACTCTGAGGTCGTTGATAGAATATAGTTTGGGAATACGTGACAATGTATCAGAGTAGCGGCAGGGGTTTAACGAGGTTTACATCTTCTCGTGGAGCTCCATTTATTGAAACTGTGCCTCGGAAGATGAGAACCCTCTTGCTCCGTGAGAGGGTTAGGTTCCCTTTCATCGTACGCGCGCCATTGACTGAATCTACTTGTAACCCGCCGGCTGAGGCGAAGTAAAGAATACGCGCACCCGCGAAAGGATCCCAGAAGAAGAGATCGCCTGAAACTTCCGTCTTACCGTTGACTTCGGCCTTAGCCCTGGCAGCGGGTTCATTTGCAAATGAGTCGACATCGCCAGGCATCGGAGCAAAGGCGACAAGGCCGAATGGGGGGGTTCCGCCATTGTCGATACTATTCTATAGCCTCGGCAACACCGAGGACAACACGAGACGACAAATCTCGCCGTCTCGTCCAATAACGATCCCCCAGCCCCTTGGAAAGAATCCATAGACTGACGTCTCCATATCCCGATTTTACAACCACCTAGGGGAATGATGGACAAACGATTTTCCATGGATTCGAGAAACTACGAGAAGTGTCCAGTATAAGTTAGGTCGGCCATTTTGAATTCCGACGTCAGAGGCAAGGGAATCCTGCAAAGCTTCAGATCGGTATTAAAGCCAAGCGAGTGGCACTTGGCAACGAAGACCACGGCGGGAAGGAACAAAGTATTCACGAAATGTGTCAACTGGCCAGTTTACGACGGATCGTGTATTACGAAACGAGATATCCCTCTCCGAAAATCGACAATGCAATCGACAATCCGAGGATAAACAAAGTTGAGACAAATACGGACCGTCTGGCAGATTGTACACATCCACCGACCACTACCGCGCCTACGAATGAGAATTCCACGCAATTTCCTCGGCTCTGACGTCAGGATCCAAGATGGCCGACTCAGCTGTGCAGAACCCTTAAGGCACTCGTGCAGACTCTCGCGACCACCGAATAATCTCCCAGCCCCATAATTTCATACCGATTCCCCTTGTCGATAGCGCACCTAAAAGCGACCAAATCGAACCTCTCCAGAATTTCCGATTTCAATCTCGACTCAACAGTAACGACCGTGGAAAGTGGTCCCACCTTTCTACCCTGGTTGTAACGTTTAAACCCTGAAATAAAAAATCATGAAAAATAGACACCCCTGATAAAAGTCATTCCCTTTAAGAAGAGGGATTATAAAATAAGGTCGGTTTACAATTACGAGCTGGGGGTTGATTTCAGCCCTCTGCTTTGTCCCCCTTAAGGTAGGCCCCCAAAACCACCCACTCCCGTAAGTCATTTCCTGTATTTATATTTCCTGCGAATTACAACTCTGTCATCCTAGCCATTGAATCTTAGCCAATTTTCTCGCTTATCGGGGAGGCGGAAGGATGAGTCTGCAGAGGACTGATAGAAGTCCTAAGCCAAACTGTCCATCTGGAGTTCCTCGCTCCTGGTGGAGACCGTTGACCGGGAGCGAGCCTCGCAGCGATTCCTCGACCACCCGCGCGCGCGCACGCACACACACATCGATCCGTTTTAGGTGGCTAGTCCACGTCGCACACACCCGCGGAGAACTCTTGGTTGTGAACTCCCGATGGGGACCAATGACCCGCGACGAGACCGTCTCGTCCCTTGGTTGTGCGCTCGTCTCCCTCCCCGTTGCGCTAGGTAATGGCGTGCCTCCATCGAGGAGAATCTACCCGTCGCCGATTACCGACCTCGTCTTACTTATTCGGCCAATTTCTCGCAGTTATTAGAAAGCCAACTCTCGCCAAAGCGGCCCTCGTTACCACCGCGAAGTAAAGGAGACAAACCGAGCTACCGCGCATCCCTTTTGATGGGTCAATCAGGGTACGGTTTTACCCAGCCATTGTTACCGCGCGATATTAATATCAAATAAAGAAACGAACAGACCGTAATATTTTCCCTGCGTGATATTATATCGCACGGCAATTTTCACTCTCGAAAACCGAATTAATTGGACGCTATCCTCGTATACGAACCGCGGCCATATTCCAAGATGGCGGCGTTCCGAAAGACGCGGAGAGGAGAAAAAGTAAGACCCCCGTGGGAGTGCACCTTGCCTGAGTTGTGCGGTGGGTTACTTCGTAAAAAGGGTTCGTGAGTTCGATTGGGACTTTGATATATCTCTTATGAGGAACGGGGAAGGTTAAGTTCGATGAAAAGCTGAATAGGGAATAGAGGATGTAGGTCTACGAGTGAGGACCATGCAGGGCACTCGAATATGGAAAGTCTCCTTTGAATTGTTAATGGAAGCATTAGAAATGTACAAAAGATTCATTCTAATCAGCAATCGAAACGTCCGAACGATGACATAAAAGATTCCTTTAACCGGGGAGGCCGTTGACCTCCGACGAGACCGTCTCGTCGGTTGGCTTTGCGCTCGTCTTTCTCCTCGTTGCGCTAGGTAATGGCACGCCTCGATCGAGGGAAACCTACTGGCGACCGATTATTGACATTCGTTCCTCATAATGGCCGAACGTTTCGATTACCCCGCGTGCTCGAGGTCCGACTAAAAGATTACACTTTTCCTCGACCAGGTATGAACATGGCCGAGCTGGGAACACTTATAGAAACTTTAACGGCATGACTCGATCGATTATTGAGAAGACTTCATTCTTCCTCGACCAGGTATAACATGGCCAAGCAAGGAACATTTCAGAAATTTTAACGACATGCTTCGATCGGGGGAAACTTTCTTACGACCAATTATTGGCATTCATGCCTCATAATGGCCGAACGTCTCGATTACTTCGCGTACTCGAGGTCCGATTAAAGGACTTCATTCCTCCTCCAACAGGTATAACATGGCCAAGCAAGGAACATTTCGAGAAATTTTAACGACATGCTTCGATCGGGAGAAACTTTCTTACGACCAATTATTGACATTAATGTCTTATAGTGGCCAAACGTCTTGATTGCCCCGCGTACTCGACATCCAACTAGAGGACTTCATTTCTCCTCTACAAGGCACAACATGGCCAAGCAAGGTACATTAGGAACGCCGTAGAACCGCCCAACCTTCGAAGAGGCCTCTACGAAATTGGAAGTTTAATCTACGGAGCTGATCAAAGTACGATCAAGCAACTCGATCAAAGTGCACCGAGTCGGACCCTCCAGCAATGACAAAAACGATTCGATTGGTTGGGACGAATGTTCCTCATCTGTGAGCTGGTCTTTCTCCTCGTTTTCTCATGGATTGGCGCACCTCGATCGAGGCGAATCCACCGTCACCGATTACCAGCTTCGTCTTATTAGGAGAGCTTTTTGCAGCTGATAGACCTTTCCCTGGTCTCATTAGAGAGATCCACTAATTGACACTCCTGCTGTGCAGCCAAGTCCAAGACGGAATCTCCTATCTAAGGAACCATCAAGTTAAGACACCTAAACAGGGCCCAGGAAACCAAACGCGGAAGCTAAAGATTTCTTAATACGACGTCGATCCCTAATTGATCATCAAGAACCTCGGACGTGTCTCCAGGTTGCCTTGGGAGTCGATCGATCGAGACCATTACGCTTTAGGACCATCGATAAGATTACCTTGGAGGTACCTGAACGAGTCCGTACTAAAGAAGCCTTTTGTCATAGTTCAAAGCATTAAGGGGGTTGAGAAACCCTTGATTCGCTCTTCGACGTTTGTCGAAGTGACCTCGTCAACGGAACCAGCGACTCGTCTTACCAAACGGTGGGGTCGCATGCCCTCGGAGCTGGACAATGCGGTAACAAAGAAGACAGAGCACTTGCTGGTGAAATTGAGAAACCGTGACTGGACATCGATCCGCCACCAGAAGGTAGAAATAGACCACAGGTAGGCAAGAAAGGATGTCCTGGAAAACAACCAAGCTCCCTTTTTGCCTGTCCCTCTCAAAGTCAAGTTCAGCCCCAATTTCTATTTTTTTCTCCCGAACACTGGTTCCACGATCATTATACCCACCGCCAGGAACGTGCTTCATCAAGGCACTTCTCGGTGTGCCCAAAGCAAATCGGCTCGGATCCAAAAATACCCTCGAAGACCCTTGGATCCGTACGTCACGTGAGCGTTACGATTGGCCCCGCACTAAATCACAGCCCCCTGGATTATTATCGACTTCATGGACGCCATTGCCCATCGTCAACTCCGTAATTTCCATTTGGCCACCGTTCCTCCCGGCTACACCTTTCTGGTGTTCAGCCGCAATTCCTTCCCGTAGTTAAGTGTGCAAATCAGGGCCGCGGCCCGATAACGAGTTACGGGTAGTTGAAATCAACTATATGATACCATAACCAACCGTCTAGCCTAGAAACCGCAGCCTGCAGCGTGAATATCCGCAGATTACGCAACGAATGGTGGACGCGCGACGTAGGGAGCAGTTCGAGGCGACAACACAGGACGCAATGCCGTAGTCCGTGGAGTCGACCCAGTTTAGATTCGTGCCAATTATTCGAGCACGTACCTAATCCCGTCCTGACCCATCATAACGCTAGACCTCACCTCTCGGTGCATTCTTCCTCGGTGCGTTTGCGACACGCGAGCAGGAAGTACGCCGGAGGTTTATTTCGATCCACCATTAGCATGCCAGTGCCCGAGGTCTGACCAAGTCGTCCTCGCGCGATACCTTTCGACTCCGAGTACACGTCTATTTGTATAGATTCCAACATCGGTAAAAACGTCTGAACAGCTGTAATTATAGCCGCGTTAATGAGCAATGTGGTCTATTCTAGTAGGAACTGTTCATGACTTGATAAACGGATACCTAAACGTGGACTGGGCGTCGGTTCTCGCTCTGCGCCGTACAACTATAAATCCTAGTTGTGTAAGTGGTTTAATATAAATATAAGTAGAGTAGAGTATAAGGGTAAAGAAACGAGAGCGGTGAACTTACGGATGATAAAGGTTAATGCACATTAGGGTTGCAGTGCATCGCATTGCGATGCAAGTCCCACTAAACCTCGGTGTGCACCAATAAGTGTCTAGAGTGCAGATGATGATTGGTGTAGCGTTTGTTAGAGGTTTGTGTGGATTTTTATATAGCAAGGCGATGCGTAGCGATAGGTCCTAACGTGCACTGGATGTAAAGGGTTACCTGCCGAAAAGTGGATGCCAGAGGTGCGAGTCGTCCAGCGGTCCAGCGGTGGAGGTGACTTCCGGTTCCTGCTTGAGCAGGCCACTCCTAACCCTGAGTAGCGGAAGATAGGGTGCCGATCGCCGATTATTCGACAGATCAATTGGCGCGGGCATTAGCGTTCCTATGGGTTTGCAGCTCAGCTTTGGTTTCTGCTGGGGACGAGCGACACCCCTTGCAACGGACCTCGGCCCGCCCTTTGCGGCACCCTTTTGTTCGAAAGGGCTTTGATCCTTTCTAGGGACTGGTCCCTCGCCATGGTCCAGCACGTGTTGCAGGTGCGCCAAAGAGATGACCAACAGGTCGGGGTCCCGTAGGAGTTCCGGTCTGGTGAGCGCTTCTGGAAGTCGCAGCTCTGGCCGAGATGCCAGCAGTTTAGGGATCTCTATGGCGGGAGCAGCGGCCAATCTGGGCAAATAATCACGTGGGACCAAAAGGGGGTCGGGAATCAAATGACCGGAGCACTTGACCAGCTCCCTTAGCTGGGTAGCAGGGTCCTGGACCTTATCGGCGGTGCCGTTGACGCGATTTCTGGGCTTGCTAGCAGCCGCCTTGGGAAGGGTATGATCGACGGTGAACAAGGTACTGTGGACGTCCTCTTCGGAGGGCTTGTTGAAATTCCGGGACTCGTAGGAGCCGCCCAGAGATCTGCGATCGCTGCCTTCCAGAAGACTTCCAGGTGGTGCTTTATATCCGTTCCGTTCGGTGTTAAACTCTTTGTAGTCTTGAGATTTAAGAGGATCGGCCTCGCGGTTATGAGCATTCGGTGGGCTAGGTATCCGGTCGACCCTGGATAGAGCCACTTCGTGGTCTCTCGCCTTGGAGTCGAAAGGACTCGGAGAGCTCAACATTCCCTTCAGAGTCAAGTCGTTCTTCGCGTCCTCGGAACAAGAAACCGAGCATGGAGGACTCGGCAGGAGGCTTTCCAGATATACCGATGACGGTCTCCTAGAAGCTGGAGAACACGGAATACCGCTAGGCTGAGGCGAGACCACGGTGCCCCGGGATCTCAAGTCCTCGATCACCTGCTCATCGAAGTGCTCGAGGTCCTGGAACCTAGCGGCCTTGGGCACTGCTTCGTTGGTTTTACCATTTAGCGCCGAGACCGGACTTTCTTGTCCGATTTGCTGACTCGCACCATTTCTGCGGGGAACCTCCTCCGAAAGCAGGCGTCCCTTATCCTTGTCGAAGCGTCCTTTCGAGAGTATCTCCTCGGTCGCCATCTTGAACGGGTCGCTTTGCCTCCTAAGGTCCTCTAGAACTTGAGAATCGCAGTCGTCCTCTTCGTCATCATCTTCCTCCTCGTCGTCCTCGTCTTCGTCAGCCTCTTCGGAGTCTTCTGCCTCCAGATGTTCGTTGTTGTCCAGTTTAGGGAAATTGACCGTGCTTTCTGGAGACTCCACTCGTCGATTGGTCACTGGTGATGTCGAGGGAGCTGCCGGTCGATACCTATAACTTGGAATGGTAATGGAAAGCCCTGGGAGATTTTTCAAATGGTTTTGATCCTTCCCTCGGTTCTCCGGATCCTGAACGGCATTACCGGTACCATCTCTCGCCTTGTTCCTGGCCCCATCGCGTGTACTATCCGAATCTTCAACCAAAGCCCCTGTCGAAGACGACGGCTTCGCGGTCCAAGAAGAACTCAGCAGACCTTTAGAATTTTCCGGAGCGGGTATTTTAGTGGTAATCGAGATAGACAAACCCGGCGTGTTCCTCAACGCCTTCAGAATGCTGTCGCTGGACTTCTCCTTGCCAATTCGTCTAAGTTCCTTCCGTGCCTCCTCCAAGTCCAACATTAAGTTACTTGGGATGGTGCAATTTTTACTTTTTACTAGATAATTTTCAGCTACCAGGCTACGTCCATCAGCACCTTTGAACAGGTTGCTATTTATATTCGTTTTACTAGACGTCTCCATCTTATTCTCCCCAGAGCCTCTCCTTTCCGGCAAGACTCTCGGAGCTCTCCGATTCAACGGGAGTTGTCGAAGTTTCTCGGGTTCGTCTCGCCCCTTTCTCGCCAATTCTTCATGACCCGACCCAAAAGTACCCATCTTAACACCTGTCTTGCTATGAGGATCTCGATAATTGGGAACGACTCCAGCGTGCGATAAGGAACTAGCATAAATAGGGACCAAAGTCGGCATGGGACTTCTCTCCTGAGTCCTGTGGGGTCGCTGAGGTGTTTTCGCCTTTTCCTCGGAAGCGACATCCTGAGAGGCGCCATTCTCCGCTATGGATTTATTCTTCGCCGCCTCCTGTTCTCTGGAGGATTTTTCCTTCATCGACGTCCCCTTCTCGTCGCTCCTGGAGACGGTGTTCTCCAAGACCCTCGTATTGTCCACACTGCGCACCAAATGAGCGGTCTCGAAGTCATTGCAGGTGGTGGTGGAGTCCATCGGACTGGGCAAGTCAGCACTAGGAGTGTCCGTGGCAAGGACTGGCGATGCAGTAGCCTCCAACAGGTTCAGGATATCCCGAAGATCGACCTTGTTCACCCGAGACCTCTTCTCGAACCCGAAGGAGTCGCCTTTATCCTCTTCCTCTTCGTCCGAAGGTCTCATCAGCTTTCGATGCGCGCTCCGCGGTACCTGGGACAAGTGCAGCTGTTCCAGGACCACTCTGGGCTGCAGCAATTGGTCCTTCCTGAGTTCTTCAAACTCCCTCTCTCTTCGTTTCCTCTTCTCGTTAGCGTATCTCCTGCCAGCAGAGTTCTGGGACTCGTCCGGCCCCGACGACCTCTCCCCATCGTCCGCATCCTCCTCATCGCCTTCGTCGCTTCCATTCGCAGACCCCAGGTACCCTTCCAAACTGGATGCGTATCTCCTCTTCCTTTTCCTCTTGTTTCCCTTCCCAGAACAGGATCCATCGTGCGCCTTGGGGTTCGCGTCACCGAAGCCGTCTCCAGTCTGCGTGGGTTGCACCGTGCGCGCCGGTGCAGCAGTCGACGCCGGCGTCGTCGTCGGCGGAGTCAGTCCACCGTCCCCGTTCTCCTTCTCGCTGGAGAGCGACCTGGCCTGGCCAGGGGCCTTTTCTCCGGGGTTTTGCCTGAGGATGCCTTGACCAGCGGTGGCCGCGTACACGTTCGACGCCGTCCTGGGTATCGAGCGCCATCCCTGAGGGGTCTTGGTCAGCTTGATGCGGTTGCGTTTGTCGTAGTCCTCGCAGCGCACCTCGACGATCCTCTGCTCCCTCTGCGAAGCCCAGAGGAAGATGGGGTTCACCTTGGGCCGGCTCTCTTGTGCCTCCTCTTGGGTCTCGGAGTCTCGCTGGGGGGTCTTCTGTACCTGCTGGTCCCGCCTGTGTCGACGGTGTTGATGGTGCAGGTGGTTACGGTGGTGCTGGCGATGGTGGTGGCGTCGCTGACGTCGGGGCGCTGTGCCCCTGGCAGGGGCGCCGCTCATCACTCCATCCAAGGCGCGGGTTATCGCTGGTGTCCGCCGCCCCGACGAGGCCACGTTCTCCTGGTGGTTCCCGATCACCCTGGTCGAACGACTAACCTCGGGTACCGGCCATGATCTCGGCGTTCCTCCGACGCGAGTCGCTCCTACTCCCCTCTCGCGCTTCTCTCCCTCGCCGACCTTATCCACTCCTCCTCCATGCCGTTTGAAGCGCAAGCGATAGCAGCAATGTAGTCAAAGTCGACCAGGACAGTGGAGCGTCATACACTATTGCTCAAACGTTGTATGCAATGTACCGACCATACAAATCGTACAACTTGTACTTTATGTACAGTAGTCAAGGTCGAACGGACCGTAGGTTTGCCGAGCAGTCGAACCTATACTATAGGCCCAATTCTTAGGTTAGAAACCTCGTTCAATGGTGGCCGCGCACTCGGAGTCCCAAACTCCGCCGTATACTTACAAACTAAGTATAAAGACGCGGGACGATTTGGGTGCTGGGAGCAAAGTCGCGGTCCCGTAACCAGTCGGCTTCCCCGCGTAAAAGCGACCTCTAGGTGCGCGCTCGGTGAGTCCGTTGCGGCCGGTCGCTGCTCCTCAGGTTAGGAGCGAGCGCGCATGCGCAGGCCCGCGGTGCGCGCGCAACCTCGGCGCTCCACGGGGCGCCCATATCTCGGGGAATTCGCGTGCCGAGGCGGCCCGGAGAAGCGCGGGATCGATCCGCGGCTAGAAGGGTCTCGCGAGTTGCGCCTAGGTGTCTCTCTCTCTCTCTCCGCCTCCCTCCCACCCCCGAGCTCTCCAGCTCTATTTCGAGTACTCGCGCGACTCGGTCGTGAGCAGGTCGCCAGCCTTCCCTAATCTTGGTCCGCGGTGCGCCCGGGTCCTCCCGGGGGTTCGGCAGACGTCACCGGTGACATAACCTGTCCTCGGGATTCCGGCGTCCTCACGTCGACGCGCGCGCAGTCACTGCCTGGGAGCCACTGGGAGCTACCGGCCGCGCGCGCTGCCGCCACCCCTGCGCCCGCATCCCCCTCGCCACCCGGCGCCACGCGAGTCGCCGAAAGACGGAGAGGGGGTGAGGCGACTCTGGGAGGCGAGAGGGAGATAGACTGCGCGGGGAAGAGCGCACGCGCTGGACTCGTGGGCGGCTGCCGCGCCGCGAGAGCGACGAGGACGCCGAGTGTGGACACTCGTAGAGGCGGGACGCAGCTTCGAGAGAGGGAGACGCAAGTATGCCCCAATGGCCGGAGGGAGAAGGACCGAGATACACTTTGGACGACGGGAAGAGGGCTCGCTGCGCTGGAGGGGGACGCACTTATGCCACTCCTGGACCGATAGACGGAGAGGGGAATAGTCGCGCTCGTTGCTGCTGATCCCAACTCCCACATTAAGCCCCGTTTGCGCTTCCGTCCTTCCGTCCGCGAGATCCACTCGCGCGAGCGAGCGAGATACCCGGACTGTACTCGTAAACGGGAACGGCGGAGGGATAGAGATAGGTGCATTATGGCGAATCGGAGAAAGGCCAGAGGGGATTCTCGGATGAGGGTACGGACAACTGCGGAACGGGATCGGCCGATTCGCGCGGCGAAATCTGCATCGATCTGCACAATGTTGCGGATTGTGTGCGGAAGGCCCGCTGGAACGCGCTAAATGGATGGATAACGTTGGTCCGGGCATGTTTGAGATTTTCCTGGGAAGGCCAGGGAATGCTCTTGGGTCGAGAGATGGAATGGGGTTTCTGCTCGTAGAGGTTATCTATTAACAACTGAAAATATCTCTAGACGCGTTTACGAGAGACAATGTACTGTTTGGACTACTTTTTACGCAGCTTTGATTACGGGCTATTCGCAGCCGAGCGAACCACTCTTTAAGAGTACGCATTCACCGAGGCGTGAATAATCGGCGCTTCCTTGCTTTGTCGGAAGGGAAGTCGGTTTTTTCTCAAGGCAACCTTTGTCCGCGAACGAGGCGCTTATCGCAGGACCTTCCCTCGAATAGGGCGATACGGTATTACTTACTTTCAGGGATACAATCTGCCTTACTTCGCGTCGTGCCGAGGAATTTAAGACAGGTTTGCACGCATCGGGGGGAAATAACGCCGACTAATGACCGTACCAATCGACACCACAGATCTGAAGAATCGAGAAGTCGCTCCCTGCTCTAGGAATTTACCCCGGAACCATCGCATCCCATCTTAACATCTAGGAGAAGGTTATCGTCTATTTCTACCGAACAATACGTCCCTCTAAATCCTACAACTCTTTGTTCGGAACCTCCTTTACGCATTCGAGTATTTCATATTCACATCCTCATGGTCATTCGGTGACAAATCTTCCAGCACATCTTCAAACATAGGCGAGGCCATGGACTCCGACATGGTGTCGTAAACGTGAAATACTCGTGAATAAAAGGAAACTGCGTTAAAATTATCTAACATTTGATCAAGCGAGATATTCAGTATACACGGACAAAGATACCCATGTAGATTTACATACTTATTTCAATGCCACGATAAATTGCAGTAACATTACATCTAATTCGAGAAAAAACCCACTAATACGGTAGTTATACAATGTCACGGGTATTTATAATTTTCTAATGCGTACATCTTTGAATGTTATCAATTTTTTTTTAGCTGTAGTACGCTTCCATATTGGTGAACCTTTTCCGTACGGCCCCGTACGTTCCGAATTGTTGTGGTGATTTTTCTTGATTTTGCTTTTGTTTGCGGGGCCACTCGTTGCGCAAAACTGTCCAGCCCAGTCCAGGGTATTTTCCGCGGGTTCCACGAGCTGCACCCTTTGTCAAAGGGTTGGCGAGAATCCGGCACTCCCTATTCCTCGTTCAGCCGATGATGGACGGTATTGGTCGGGGTGGCCATGGGTGGTCCCAGGGTACGCGTTATCGCCGGTTACTTGGGACTCTCTCGAGCGAGACCGGGACGAAGAGACAGGAAGAGACGGGAGGAGGCGAGAGAGATCGGAATGACGATTGTAAAGAGTACCCAGGAGACGACTACCAAGTATACCCGAAACGTTTCGGCCCAGGGAAGACGGTCCACTGACTGGCCCTTTGCCACTTTTCCTTTTTCGTTTCTGGCCGCTCCAATTTGGTGAATGCAGACGCTGCCTGCATTCTCATTCTTCTCCGCCCTAACAAATAAAAATATATGAAATCGTCGTTTTACATTTTTTCACCCAAATCTCCTGTCTTCCTACCCTCTATACTTGACTGTGCCTCGAAATAAACCAGGTCCAACGAAGCCTAATATCGACTAAGCGGGTTTTCTTTTTCCGTTTTCCAATAAACATGCATGACCATTGCTTACCGAGTCTGGTACGTCTGAAAGCATGGTAAATTTATTTCACGTTAAATAATGCCTAGCTCTGTTGGTCCTAGAACTCACTGACTTTTACGTAAATACATGGTAGACATTATGACGCAGTACCGAGTAATCCAAATACATAATTCAAGCAAGATGTTCTCAACGACTCGAATAGCTCAGTGAAAGAGTGGTTGTCCGGCACAGGCGAGGGCGTGACATCGATTTCCGGTCAAGGATGGACATTTTTTCCTCCTACTCCTCTCGAAAATATTCCATTACGTGTGCCCGTGTTTGATAACGCGTGCATCGCGCTGAAAAAGAAAAATCCCATATCACAATTAAAATTCATTCTTACCCCGTTTGTCGTTAAGGATCATTTTTGTTTTTCGCTTTGTTAAGAAAATAAATACCTTGCCAGTGTGAGTAACAAATAGTTCACCGTTCAAATCACCTGAATCACAATGTCGGATTAGACGCTCGTGGAAGTAATTTTCAGAAACAAACTCGAGAGCTTAAATTACGAGTCAAATAATTGCACGGTGAAACATGCCGCCCGAGTACATAGGCGGGTAATTAGCGATACATATCATTACATAGCGCTCACTTCACGAGGTATATGTACCGTACTCGAGACGATCGATGGCGACCAGATGCGTATAGGACCCCTCATCATCGCCCGAGTGCTGTCGAAGGATCGGAATTCCGATCGTACTTATGTTAAAATTAAGCCAAGTGTACAGACACGCGAGTTGCCGTAACGAGAGATCCCTTGCGTCGAGACCGTTACAACAAAGCGCTTACAAAGTCGAACGAACATCGCTGGGATGCTCTCTCTCTCGCTGCCAATTTAAGGGTTGTCAAATTAAACCTACTTGACTCCAGTCCAAGTAGGATTGGTGAATAATAAATCCGAATACGTCAACTTGAAGATGCTTGAAACACGACACCTACGGGAGAACATACTTAATTAAACGACAAAATCCCTCAGAGTCCACCTGAACAATAGTAGACTTTCGCATTAAAGTATTCGTCAGGACCAGTGCTCGAATTTGTTAATAATGGATTTCCTGATTTACTCTCCTATCCATGTATCTTACTAAAAGAAAAAAAATATATGTATCTTTCTTTTAAGCATACATGAACCTGAGAAGTTCATTTTACTGTTAGTGGCGTCGTTATACATACGCGCACCTCGCGTCATGTCTACCCACCTGTTCTCCTCTCTCTCTTTCGCTCAGCGCTCAGCTCGCTCCGTCCTTCTCTCGCGGGCACGTTATTAAGGAGCGCCGCGTTACGTTTAGCGTCTCTTCGGGTCGCTCCACTTTTCTCTCTTCCAGGTGTAGGCTCGCCTAGTACTCTCTCCCTCGCTCCCTTAATCCCTGCAATAGGCAGTCTTTGAACAAAGTCTATGATACTCGGCGGGATATGTAGAACGAGGAGTGCAGCGCCGCGCGGTGGGATCGTTCCGTACTACGGCGTCCTTGACTCCTCCGAGCATTTCATACCATTCCGCCACCTTCGCGAAGGTTGACGGAATTGTAAGGGGGTCCACCCGCGAGAAAGGCCGCGATCGTACGTACGTACGGCGTCGCGACGCCGCACCGCGTCGAATCTCGCGCTCTGTGAACGGAGAAAGGAGATACTGTTAAAAATGTTCTCGTATTTCGAACGCTTTCGAATGCAACTGTATACTGAAATCCTTAAAATAAAGACAATGTTTCTCTTCAAAGCTTTGTATCCAAGATACTGGCGTTAACAATTGAATTTTTAGTCACATACATATTAGACAAAATAACGGCGAAGTTCTTCGAGGACAGATCTTTGCGAATGCGTTATGGAAATGGATTCTGAAAATCGAATAGGAAAGCGTTATTTAACTTTGTAACGATATCTTATTAATAAATAACCTTTAGTATTTGTGCTTTCATTCATTTTGTTAAAACCTCTGCAGTAAACATGAGTAGAAAACGTACGAATACGTTAAGATTCAAACGGACGTCACGTGACTAGTCTACATGCCGCCATCTTGGTCCGATTTCAATCGCCAGTTGGATAATGAATTATAATTTATTCGTCCGAATGCTCTTTTCTAAAGATCAATAAAACTTGATGCAAGAACTATTCCACGTCTCTGCTTTTAAAGAGTTAAACCGTTTCTTAATTTTACCTGGAACTTCCAAACTTTAATAAAATACCTTAATCGTGATCATGAAAATCGGACTTAGCCGACAAAGGCGCCATTGGATGGCCGAGCTCATGGCACATCATTTATTACCGCTACAAACCGCAATGAGGGAACGGGACGACCAGGGGGAGGCAGGTCGTTTCTGGTTGGTTGAACGTGGCCGGGTATGACCTTAGAATTCATAGACAGGAAAATAATTCCGTTCCCAGTGGGTATTGACATTCTCAATCTTCTCCCAAGCCTAAGCAAAGGTCATGCTCTCAAGATTTCCTGTCAAATTTCACGAATGTTCGCCATGTTCTGAAATTAGCAATCCACATAAAATCGTATCCATAATTAAATTGCTATTAAAAACGACAGTTAATGATAAAAAACAATAAATCAACTCTTCTGATTTGACGCACGGAGCTGACTGGTTTCTTTTACACGTACGTGTCGCGTGCCTATGATAATACATGTACAATACCTTAATTAAAACATCGTTCATCTCGTAATATACTTTATAAGTATTGCAGATCCCCACCTTATTTACTGAGAAACTTTATTTTCAAAAGTGACTACGATTACAGACAGATGACTCTGGTAGTCTCCAAAAACCGAGAAAATGTACCGATGCAGTGATCACGACAGTAGATAAAGTGAATTCCTCGCATTGGAGTTCTTAGATCAACTCACAGATGGCGCTGCGAAGATTTCCTTCGAAACTTAACGTAGACAAGTTTAAACGTAATCGAGACTGTTTACAAACTCAAGAATGAATTTCGCCATAAATCCGAAATAGATCTGAACGAAACACCAGTTTTCTTCCATGGACTACCAAGTATCTAAGAAACGTTCATCATGCATTGGGATTTATCAGGTCCTGGCTCAATAAATCCGAATTTAAGATTCGATTAAAACGCTCAGAATCGAATCTGCGTATTTATTAATGCGACTTAAGCCCGCCGCACAAGGTGTTCATTTTCTTGCTGGATAACAAGCAAATTATTATTATATTGTTCCCAAAATGTAAGAAGACTAAAAGTCAATCAGGGCACTTATTTGATCCGTGGACCACTTCTTCGCTTTAATATAATTTCTATAAAAATCCTTTGTAGATACCGAGTCGAACAGTGCTTAGAAAAGGCAGGACCAACGATGCGAGGCGATCAAAGCTTCCGATTGGCTCATCGCCTTAGCCTGCAGGAATATAAGCGGCGGATAAAAGGAAAGAAAATAAGAGGCATTAAATCGCCGAAAACCTGCAGGGCAGCCATAACTGCAGTGACGTCATTTTCAAGCACAGCCCCCTGCACAGTTGCCTGCGCGGCTCCAATCAAGCAATCCTGCAGGAAAACAAGCACCGTCTGAAGCGAGTTTAACAGGGTCCGGATCCAGTAAATTCCGCGTCTCCATCGCATCAATAATTTACGCGGATTCGATCCTGAGCGTCTCGGTCGACATTTAAATTCGAATTTACTGGGTTTCGACCCGATAGATCCGGGATTTAGGAGTAGGATGGAGATGTAGTCATTGTTTTAAATCACAGGTGCCCGAAGCGGGAACGCATCGACCAGTGAGCTAATTCGTTCAATCGTGGAAGACGCATCGCACGGATACGGAGAGTCTCGTGAGATTGATACGGAGGAACGTGCGATTCGTGCACGTTACGTGCCAGAAAGCGAAAACTCAGTCCGCACGCGAAGGCTTCGAACTCTAACGGGCCCTTGGAAAGAGGCACAAGGTCGACCTCGAAGTTCGCTATCTCACCGCCAGAGGACTTACGTAGACGTTCGATATCTCACCGCCGAGAGGACTTACGTCGACGTCGTATCAAGTGCGCAAACGCCGATCCTCCCCCGGCGAAAACTCGTAAACTCCTCCCCCGCAAACCACGTGTCGAACGTGTCTACTCTCGAATCCGCCAAAGAGACTCACGCGTGAACGCTTCTAGGAATTCTACTCGCCACCATGTGCAGGATGATTAATCGGATCGAAAATTCTCTTTCAGGAATCTCCTACGACGACTGCCCTCCGAGATATCCGATATCAAAGCCGACCAATCGCGTGCCGCGTGGAGGGCGCATAGAGTTGCCATGTGCCACCACCCACCGCCCCAAAAACCAGGATTTGCAGCAAAACGGTGCATCCTACAGGAATACCACTCGAACAAAAGTTGTAGCTCGTAACATTCCGTGCGACTTTTGTAGGGGACATTTTATCGTGGCTGTGCCCGAATTTGTAGAGATTCGCATTAAGTGGGTTATATATCGGGGTTTTTGGAGAATTAACGAGCGTGACGAAATTCGGTCGTTACTACTGCTACCAGTACTTCGCGTTGCATAATTCTGATGTCATTTCATTCAGAAATTCTCTTTCTTTACCGCACGTGTCAGCTCGGGAATTCTCATTACGTTTGGGAAAATATTACGCGGTGAAGCGAGCCGATTGTGACTCAGCGCATCCTTTTTCTTAGGGGAACGGGACTTGTCATAGCTCGGGCATTAACATCGAAGCAAGGCCCGGAATAAGAGGGGCATTTCTCTGGCGGTCCCATTCTCAGGTGGGAAGACCCAGTTGCGAAATCCTACTCTTCCGAAGATCAATCCTACCTACGCGCGTTCCCACGTCATTGGATTTTCGCTAAGAATCGTCATCGTTCTTCCACGCGGACAATTCCCGCCCCCCGGGTACGTGCGCCTCGAAAAGCACGTCCGCGTGACGTCACTCGTTAATTTTAAACTCGATCTCTATTTATTTAACATTACTCATTCCTAAGGCCACCTGTAGACGAGTCCCGTTCACCGGACCTCCCCAAATGAAGAGGCCTCCAAACCGACTTTTTACCCAGGAAGGTTACCGACATTGCAGTTTCCCACAACTCGTTATCAAGAACAAAATGACCCACATTGTATTCCCTGAAAAATGTTACACAATTCTCGAATGATAATTCTCTCGATGTGCAGTTATCAAAGTTAGAAATAGAGCTTTGTGCACTAATTTCAAGGAATTGCGAGAAACTGCAAGGTCGGTAAACATCCCTTAACACGCAAAACTCTCTTAACGTCCACTCGAGTACACGGATCAATGGCGAGCGCATATTTCTGAGTCCATACTTAGGAAACATTCCGATATATCACCTTTGCTTGAAATTTACCCGAGTTTTCGGGTAATTACATTTTACGTATTTTCAACCATTAAGTCACCGAGCGTTTCACCGTTTTTCGGGGAAAAGTTACTTTATTTGCGGGCCCACAAGGGTGTGCCAGTGCTAAGGAAAGGCGTTAGCTTCCCAGAAATTGATCGATAGCTCGATATCGCGGGCACCTCGCCCTGGCCGGGTTATGCCCTGACTTGGTCAGTCGTCATCGATCCTGTCCTCGGAGGTGTTCCCGACTTTAACCCCGATTTAGCCGTTCTCGGTATTTCGATCTGCGTAGACGCAGACCGTAGACGTAAACCTGGCGTTGAAAGAGCTGCGGTCCTTGACGCTACCCAGGAGACGATCCTCCGGTACTTCCTCGGTACTGGAAGAGCAGAACAATGCGCACTCGAACCCAGACATCGGTTACTAGAAATCCTTCCTAGAGATCTCGTAATTGTAATTCGTCGCAAGGGTGTAAGATTTATCCCGCTCGGCCTTTCTCTTTAGCAAAAATGCCATTATAACCGAGGGTCTATTTACTTGTAAATCGGTGAAAAGGATTCCCTTCTTTGAGAGCCTATTATTCCATATTACAGACGACAATGCGATTCGGTAACAAGGATTGCTTGGTTACCCTCGCTTTTAACTCTGGGCATACACGAACCTAAAAGCGACCTGAAAGTGATTAAACATTTCTTAATCCCCGGCGCACTATTGATGGTAATTTTTTCCTAATATGTGCGGTGTTCTTAAGAAGGCAAATTGATAGAGAAAATATTTGAAGGGCCGAGAGCGAATGGTCTGATTAATTATCCGCTGTTTCTACTGGGTATACCTTATTCCCTTAAGTGTTCTTCTTCGATACCGAGAGCGTACGTACGGGATCGCTGCCTAGTAGTACACGGCTTCGCCGCTAGTAGTACACTAGTACTAGCGCGAGCGAGGACATAAAAGCAAGAGAGCGAGTAGAGCACGAATCAGTTGACTGCGGTCGACTGCAGTCGGCTGCAGTCGGCTTCAACAATACTAATTCCCACCCGTCCTAATAATAGTGTTTTAGAGAACAAACAGTGTTGTACAGAAACTAGTGAATTAAAATTAGCCCGAGGATAGAACCACGTGAAAGACTCCAAAGCCGGCTTGACTGATGAAGCTGTAACCGGCTAATTAAAAAAAGACACTAAATTGGAAGTCACCGCCCAACAATACTGGCAGTATTACAACAATTCACTCAACAGACTGAACCGAACCTAGTCCGACCTTCCCCAACTTTTGACTGCGAGGAATACTAATTTCTGATCGCTGAAGAGTGACGGATTAATTTAACAAAGTGCGATATAGCAGTGAAGTCACGTTGCTGATTAACCCGATTTGGATTATTCCCTTGGATGTGGAATCTGGGTTATCTACGGATTAGACCAGTGAAGATAAAACCGGAATAAGAGGATCACCTTATCTGGTTCTTGAAGAAACTTCATCTGGAACCTGGTGCAGAATCTGGACTATGGAGTTGTTAGACCAGGCTATTGAAGGGCTATCTGGCATATCTGGTTAATTAAATTAATTAACGTTTAGCTCCAGGGAAGAGGTCTTCATCTGGACCGAATTATCAAAGTGTACCAGCCAATTGGATCATAAAAGACTCTGCCACCTGATATCGGATTCCACGGAACATTTCCTCGCCTAGGCCCGGATTAGATAGATACCGCGATTGTGCACAATCTAGTTTATCATTAAATCCGACCAACTAATTCAGTGGAGCCGGTCGAAATAATCGAGCGATCCTTTGCCTGATCTGGGTCACTAGGACGACCTTCTGGCTTACCGGGAGAGCACCTCTCGTTTTGAAATCCTGAGCCTCGACTCGTGATGACCGTGAGACGGAAATCAGGTGTCGATACTTCCCAGTATCAGCGAACCGTCTACCTCTATCAGGATCCCCAGAGCCTGTCCGGCCGTGTCGCTATGGAATCGATGGGTCAATCGATCGATAAGGCCACTCGTCCCGCTGATAAGACTCAGTCACCTGCCGCCAAACTTGGCCGAAATTTCGACTAGTGATACCTTTCAAAGAATCCGGTAGACGAAGATACTATGCACCGCCTCGTGGGTCTTCTTCTCGTCTATCTAACCGGAATGGTCCACACCGCGGAGATAATCCCGGTGCCTCTGGTAAGTTACATCTCCGAGGCCTGGGAAATCTAAACCCTGGAAAAGTGATAAAAATCGGGAGGATAAAAATTCCCGCCGTCACTTTTTCCCTGGATTTCTTATCTACCTCTGTTGGTACCTCTTGCGTACATTGAACGGCATCATTGATCATCAATCTTCATGGATTATGGGAGAATTGGCGCGTTCGATGATTACTCGGTAGATACTTCCTTGCGATATTAATAGTGGTACTATGATATCGGTGTAATGTTCCATGGATTTCAGTCATACTTTATCTAACTTCTTCCTGTGATGTCCGGAAAAATGTTGACGTTGAAGTACGCAGAAGAGTGCAGTTAGTCGGAAATGAAAATTCTCGGCACTTGACGTTCCGTCGCGGGGCATTTTCAAGGGGGATCCCCAGGAGTCGATAATTGCACAATGGAACAATTAGTGACGGATTATACACTTCAGGTACCCGCAATGCCGGGAATTATGCAAAGCGACCCTGAGGACAAATGCGCCAAGTCACAAGAGAAGCCTTTGCTTTTGCTGGCTCCTTAAAAAATAAAATCTCTTGACTCGTCGCTTGCCATTTATCAATCTGAAAACATTAAAACGAGATATTAATTTTCATGTCTATTTTACATTGCTAAGGAAAGTGACATTCTTGAAGATAGAAGCAACTCATTCGTTTCATATTTCTGGTATTATTTAATTAATTCAAGGTCGAGGGCAGTTGTATTAAGTAACGGAATGGTTTGACGCCTTTAACAGGAAAATTGTATGACTTGTTTTCCCTACTTCTCACTCCGTGTTTTTCTAGATCTAATCGTTATCGGATACTACACGAAGCCTCGGGGAAAACTCGGATTGTATTTTTAGTCCTGCTCGTTGATCTGAGTCTATCCAGATAACGTTTCTTCGCGGTTTATCCGACGTGAAAAAACCCAGACGCGGATAAATTCTTTGGGAAATCGTAACCGATTTACTCCGCGATAAGCGACAGTTAATGGCTAGGCATGCAATTGCGGTACCTTCGGCCAATAATTATGCCGACGATAGGGATTTTAAGAACGAGTCCGAAATTCCGATTTCCAGTCGCCGCATTAAAACACTCTTAATATTCGTACAGCGTTGAATACATGTTCCTTATATAATTCCATAAAGTATATATAAATATAATATAATAAAAAATCCAAATGGTTAATCTGAAACAAAATGGCGTTGCGCCATGATGTTCGACACTCTTTCCCTGAATTATATTCTGAAATCAATTTTCGCCCATTTCATTTCAGAACGGCTCAAAGATATTACCTTCGCACAGGGATCTGCCTCTTGTTGGAAAATGCTGTCCCGTGGGCGAGATCCTGACGAGAGGCAGGGATGGAAAACCAATTTGCCTGCCTTTTTCGAAAACGAATTCCTCGGCCATCCGCAGTTTTTCTCCGCTTTTCGGAGATTTCAACCAGACTGGCGTCGTCGCTCCTGGAGAACAACGAGAGCTCTTCGTGGCCATCATTGGAGATCCTTGCAAGTTCCAGAGGTACTTTAAATAATATTTCAAACCCTGCTCTAACTTAAACCCGAAAAAAAAAATTGTAATCAAAGTTGCATTACTCTCGATTCATATTATTGGCCCCTTTGAAGACATTTCCAGATTGATGTTCATTTTAGATACATGTTGGCACCGGAAGAGAGCTCGATGGATCAATATTACCTGTTGCTCAATGGATCCATATTCGCTCCAAGCCATGTTCCAAAAATGCTCCATCCTGGAGTCGACTACTGTATGGAAGTGGTCCCTAAAATGGGCATCAGAGTCCTCGTGTGCTTTCCTGAAGGTACATACATCATTGCTTAAGATTACCAAATCCTCAATAAAACGTTAACTAAATTACTTTGAGCACTCGTCTTTGCCAAAGTTATTGGAAAATACCAATCTCAGTTAATTTAATTAATGCTTATAGAGGAACATACTTCTTATTTTACATTCCTGAAAAACGGTCTAGCCTTGCCAGTGATGAAACAACGGATAACTATTTGCAGAAGGTGAACCGGTGAACGACTCCAGAATCATCTTCTACGCTTGCGGCTTGCTGATCTCTGTGCCCTTTTTGATCCTGACAATAGTGGCATATTCCATTACTCCGAGACTGAGAGATGTCTACGGTAAAGCGCTTTGTCACTATTGTGGCTGCCTAGCAGTGGCTTTTACTTCCTTGGCCATCGCACAACTTGGCAGTGGCCACATCTCCGACAGTTTCTGCGTATCAATCGGTAAAACTGCTATGTTTTAAAAATATTCCTTATAGACATAATTTTATATTTATAATCATATATCATACCGCAAACGCTTATAAGATACGCTCTTGAGCCATGCTACTTAACGCTAAAAAATTGATTGAATAAATCGTTTCCAGCCTTCGTCATCCAGTTCTCCTTCGTGGCGTGTTTCTTCTGGCTGAACGTGATGTGCGTAGAGACGTGGTTGTTAGTGCGTCGCCACGTCCGCCGGGATTCCAGTGCAAGGATGCACCCCAGAAGATTGTTCTTCTACTACTCCATCTGGGCCTGGACCCCCCCAGCTCTTCTGATCCTGGTGTCCATGGCAATGGACCTGAGCCCCACGGTTCCCACAACCTACGTGAAGCCCAACTTCGGCGAACAAAGCTGCTGGTTCAAGTGTAAGCCTGCTAGACTCTTGAACTCCAGCTCCCAGGTTCAACCTTGAACACCGACGATAAAAATCAATTATTTAAATATTTCCAGCCGACATGGAAGCGATGCCGTATTTCTACGTACCCGTTGGCTTCCTGGTGTTGGGGAACTTCGTCCTCTTCACCCTAACAGCAGTCAAGATCGCGAGTTATCAGCGTGACCTTGATCTTAGACGCCTCGCAAGGAACCAGGAGTCCGACCGCGAAGAGCAGAGGCTCTTCAGGAGATTGAAGCGGACTTTCTTCATGTGCTTGGGACTGTTCTTCCTGATGGGCATCAACTGGGCCATGGAGCTCATTTCCTGGTGGGCTGGGGGCGATGCTCTGGCGTGGTCAGCCTTCGACATGGTCAACGCTCTCCAGGGAGTCCTCGTCTTCGGGCTCTTCGTCCTCCGGAAACCCGTCAGGGACCTTATTTGGTACAGGATACAAGTTATCCGGGGAATCAACGTGGTTGAGCCGGATATCGAAAGCATGGATCTCAGGCTACTTCCGGTCGCCACGGATTCTCTGCCCAGGCAGAGGCTGGAACGATGAGTAGAGGTCCAGCGAAGCGACCCAAAATGTGCTTAGACTGTGTAACTATTCGTCCAAGTTTCGTTAACTGTTCAGGATGCTTCGAGAGGTAGCTCGAATTTCTCGCCCAATCCTGAAACTTACTCGGAACTTGCATTGTCTTAATATTAATATTAATCCATTCTGTACTGTTCTGTGTTAGGAGACGTGGTTTTTGTTACTCGATGGCTTCCAGTGTTTCACGCCGTGAAAGTCCCAATCTGTTGAGTGTTCCCTTGGGAAAGAATTCTTTGCTCTGCCGTCTGACAATCCGAATCAACTGGTAATCGCGTAAAGTCTAAGAAGAGTAGACATCGTTCTCAGAGAAATCATTTATTTAAAAATCATCCTTGATGTCCATAAAGTTACCCCGGTAAATAAGTTCATTCATTACTATAGAATCCATTGCTCTATTTCATTATCATTGAGATGTAATTAAATCATGTGGAATTTAATTCAAATCGTGCGTACCCTGTTTACTGGCGAAAGGGAACTTAGCTTACTCGTTAACTCAATTTGCTAGCATACAGCAATGAGTGTACATACACAAATGTCAAAGACAGCAGAAAATCACATTTTGGACGAAAATATGCGTGGATGCTAGAAGCAAAATCTGGTCACCTACTGTTGCGGAAGAGGCCGATTTTCGTGTAAAAACCAAATAACGTTACAGCGTAAGCAACGTCTGTTCCTACACCTTGCTTCCTATTTAGTTTACTCGTCCTAGACTCGACATCAAACGGAATCGCCTCTAGTATGAGCCACATTGTAATGTGAAAACTGCCACTGTGACATTGCAATTTACAATTGCAATTGCGCAGGCTATTACTGGCACGACCAGTATATCCGAATCGAATAACATTAAAGTGTTAAGAAATTAACAACAGGCCGTTTAAATGGTCCTCGCAGCTTCGGATTTCGCCGATTAACGCATCGCGAGCTCGAAACTCTCGCTTATTTATATCATACATAATAAATTATTGAAACAAGTATTACGAAACAATGAGTAATGCCGTTCTCCTCGCGCCTTAATACTGCCATTCCTTAGAATAAGTCAATCTTAATCCCTTGATTATCGTAAATAGAAAATCGAGGAATTAAAACGGCATGGTCCTAAATCCTTCATATATATTCGCGATATATTTTCTCTAACGCGGTAATAATTAAGCTATAAAAATAAAATATATAAATATATGTATATATTTGTTCGTTTGTCAACAAGAGCACATTCTGCAATTAACTGACCAAATGTAAGCTCCCCTAGAATGTATTGCCCTAGATTCATAAGTATTCCCACGTGCCTCCAAACGCGTTACCAACAAATATTTTAAGCTCTAGAGTGTAGAAAATGATGCACCCTGATACTCAGCACTCTTAAAATATGAAAGACGATTCAATGCAATGTGTGTGTAATAACAAATGACCTACGCGAGTAGTCAGTACGCGATTTACGCGTCCATGATGTCGATTCATGAAGTCTTTTATCGACAGTCATTCAAAGGTTGCGATTTGCAGAAGTACTTCATTTTCAACTCCGCATCGTCCCTAGTGTGCGAAAGATATGGATAGAAGTGTCATGTAGGCGAATCAATTATCAAGCTAGCCTTTTGTGTCCTGGAAACGGAGGACTCATCCCCAGTATTCCTATTATATCATCTCGTTGAGAGACATACACTAAACGGTACATTTCTTGAGCTTGTAGAGTACTATCGCTGAAGTACATCCTCTCCGATAGGGCATTTGGCTGGTCGCCTGCGGATGGCTTTCCTAAAAATTAATAATTTCAATTCGTTAACTACTTTCTACTTCTTCTTGGAATAAGACTGCAAAAAAGCGAGGCGACATTTAAAGATCTGTTAGCAAGGAATTTAATCGCAATTCATAATCTAGAAGATTTTGAATATCTCCTTTAATTAAAATCAGAAGTGATAGTAATTACATGTATTAATTTTCATGATATGAAAACACTTCTTACCTCGCCCTACGTATTCGTAAACTAGGTAATCATCGAGGCTAGAGAATCCATCCGTGAAGAGTCCTACCCAGTCTTCACCCGAAGAACTGACATTACCTAATAATTTGTACGAGATGGAATTTTCATCATCGATCCACCATGCAGTCACAGGTTGAAATTCTACTCCATGGTCTTCGATATGTGATCGTACCTATGGTGATAGACTATTGTTTAGCAAAGAATGATGAAAATGAGCTATGGTTTGTCTTACCGTTATGTCGAACTGCCCACTAACTGGTTTATGATCGGATTGCACATAACTGGAATGACTGCTGTAGCTGCGCTGCGTTGCTTCTAATTTAATATCTTCGTAAACGTCTGAATTGACTTTGTATAAAATTCTATCCGTCCAGGACGGTCTTCGCCTTTAAAGAAGCATTAAAATATACATGCATTAGAAAACACAGAACTACACTTTTGGTCTGCCTGAGATTGTCATTAAACATGTTAGCACTTACTTCATGTCGAACTCTTGAGAAGCGAATTCGTATTTGTAAGTTGGTGGGAATGTAATGTTATTTTCATTAAGTTCGGCGAATGCTTCACCACTGTCCCTAACCGCTTTCAGTTGATCACTGGCTAGCAGGAAATCCAACTGGTTCTTCTTGACTAATGTGTCAATTGACATAGAAGTGAGACTCTGTCCATTAAGTCGAAAATTTAAGTCACCAATCCAAAATACAAAGCTGCAGATAACGTCACATTATTATTATATTTAAGTGAATGCGATCACCCAAAGTTAAAATGTTTACAAACTCATGATAAAAGATGTTGGTTGTATCAGGTACACTGAATGTGTGCTCTCTTAATATCGTATTGTAGTCGGAAACTCGGTCAGCCAATAAGTGATCATGTGGCGTCAAATGACAGTTTACTACACAGACGCTAACTCCATAAATATTAAGTCGCATACCAACTGCTCCCTTGTTACCCTAGAAATAAAACTGTGTACCATCAAAGCAGTTATTAATTTTGTAAGTTATTTTCGTTTTAAAAAATACTGAAATCCATACAAGAGACGGAACAATTATTGATTGTGTAAATCTGTAATGAACGTTGATTATTTTATGATAAAGTAACCATACTTTCCTTACCCACATTCCTGCAAACCCTGTTTTTGTATATTGTGTTTCTATCAGTCTTAAGTGCGTAATATGCTTCCTTAAACAGAAGAAATTTAAAACAAGACCTTGTAACCGTTGTGTACGTATTTTTACATAACCGTGCTCCTTCAAAACTTCCCTAAAACAAAATACAGAAAAATGAACGTAGATAAATTCTTCAAAGTATATTTTTTAAATATCTTTAGAGTTCATTTTTACCAGTCTTCTATGCATTTAAGTCTAAGAAACTTACTTAAATGCTTTGGTCCATGGATCGTCGAAAAACATATCTAATACCATGTTTTGCGGTTGAGCTTTAACCTCTTGTAATCTGTAAAATAATATCCACATTAGTAATATAATTCCTCGTTACATTCCGCCGCATTCCAAGTCATACATATGCATTTACCCCACAAAATAAAAATCTGGCAAAGATTGATTTCCGTTATGTGAGATACCTAACAGCTGATGCAGATCCTGTTCTGGATATTTTGTAGCAACGTTCCATGTTACAAAGTACAGCCTGAAAAACAATATTGGTCAGTCCCCGGACAAAATAATCAACATAAAACGTAAACAAAACAATTAATCCATAACCTAAGTCCTAACATTCAAAGTGCGAGCAATTTATCCTCGCATCCATTAAAACTAGTATTAACAGTGATATGTCTTACCTGAGAAGGCCAATTTTGCTAGCCATGTTTAAATATGTAAATCGATGCCTATTTATATCAAGGGTCACCTAACCTCACTTGGAGGTTCCAGGGGATTCCGATTAAACACGAGAGAGCATGTAATCCACTTCACGTATTTTGCCGATAATCACATATCTAGTAAATGAATCAGCAATTATGAAAGAACGTTAAAATGCCAGCGATGCCAACAATACCAAGTTGTCATAGACAGCCAGCAGTTTATCCTAAACCTCAAACAATGGAGTCTCCTCTGATTCCGCAATCACTGTGCGTACATTCGTTCACATTCGTTGGATGATCCCGTAATGCCCGCAGTAATCCTCCTCGCAAGTCATATTAAATAATTGAGCGCTGCGCAGTTGTTTACATGCAGATGTTTACCACTGTTTGGCACGGTTTATAGGTTAAGAATGATGGCCACGTGACGTCACATCAAGATGGCTGTGGAATCGCGGCTGCGTCGGTGCCTTTAGGCGTGACCGTCTTTATGTAGGCCGGAGATTAGACACCTGGCTTGACCGACATCATACAGGCCGGAGACAGGTTTCATAAAATCGCATTCGTTTGTACGAGAATCAAACGAGGGTGCAAACTGAACACAGGCATTATTTTCAAGTCCAGTAAAATATATGGATCTCGGCAAAGTAATAAATCCAATAATAAAAGACTCAACTGACCCTAGTGGCTCTTTCATAAAATACATAATAAACTAATACAGACAGCGAGTGACGTTTCTTCTCATTTGGATCTCTATAATCTATAAATCTCTAGTGACACGTTTATTATTAACTAAACGCACTCTAAGTACCTTCGAAACTGTCCTCGGCTGATAGTAATAGGCGCGGCAGAGTTTCGTGACTCGTCTTACAGCTTTGTGCCTGCAGTACACGCAATTTAAATTGTACTCGTGCTTGCACGCACTAGGCTCGATGTCAGGAGTACATGTCCGAGGTAAACCAAGCCCCGGGTACTCATGCAATCATTACACATTACACGATTTCGCGCGACATGCATCTCTACATTTTACAACCGGCGCAACCGCTGGGGGGCAAAAGTAGAAGACTGCTATTTACACGAGCTGTATCTACACTGCCATGTCGGGTGAAAATGTAGCACGTACATAGTCGAAAGAGGAAGGTAATAAAATACGCATTGCTAAAGAATATACTAATTGAAGGACACATTGCCGGAGAAATTCCTGTAGACTGATACGCTCGAAAAGATCCACGACTGCTACACTTTCTAGCTATGCCAACAAGTTTCGTGATAACGGTATGCGGTGTAAAAAAGCGTTTCTCACGAAACTCGTTCGGGATATAATATGAAACAATTATCGCATAGAAAATTTCTCCATGTGTCGCTTTCTTGGGAAAATCGACGGAAAATTATATATATATCTATCTCAAACACCGTTCGAACCGTCGATCTCTCCTATGAACGTAATTTTCGGCTTTAACGGTACACGATATGAAAAAAATGTGCAGACAATTTTTTTTCTATGCATCATTTCGAACAACTTTCGTAGGAGACTTTTTCTTCTATCGAGTACCCAGAAAACGAAAACCGCATTCGTATCAGGCAGTAGACATTGCACTTACAAACACGTCGCTTAATGCACTAATATATGTATAACAGTAACATTTGTCATAGTATAGAGTCCTGTAGAATTTCAAAGAAATTCAAACGCACTGTCATATCACTCGCTGTGAACGTATCACGGCTAAAAGTCTTATATATTTAATAAATCATTCCAGGGTGGGCCCTTTGAAAGAAGACATTCGGATTGGCGGACAACGTTGTGTACAGATTTCCAGAATCTTCTGGCCTCAAGTACATGCCTGGTGGCAAGACGAAGGTCTCCATCGGTGCGTGTGTGTCTGAAAAGAATAGGAAAAATTAGTATGAATTTAATAAAATGAAATTAACAAACCTTTACAAAGGATCCTAAGAAGAAAACATAACTACCCCCCAAAGGCGTTTAACCCCGTATCTGATTTTTCCTCTATAAATCTCATTTAAAAATGTCTGACGCTTCTCACCTAGCGAGGTTATGTTGCCTTAATACGCCGTAGCAAAAGAAAAAAGGGAAAAGAAAAAGAAAAACGAAAGTAACATGTCGCGTCACGCGCATTGTTCCCGCGGTTGGTCACAGCATTCAACCTCGTCGATATCGGAGAAAGTTCGTAGGCGTCGGAGAAATGTCGTCATCGAAAACGTAATTTTAAACACACACGCACGTAGAAATGTCTACCAGACGAAAGACTCTCGCTTCGTTCGGCAACGACGCATTTAACGGGACTTCGACGGTCCCCTCGCGTCGAACAGGAAGTGAACGATTAATCGCGTATAACTTTTCTTGAAATAACGTAACTTTTCCTTTTTCCCATGCTTTAATCAAACTCTACCCTTCGTAATTTATGGCAACATGACGTAGGTAATATTTCACGGCGTAAGCCTGGGAATTTAGCGACGACTACGTCGTTTCGTAAATTTCGCCAACACGTCGCGCGGCACGTTCCTCGCATTCGATAATTTCGCCGATTAAATTTTCCCATCTCCCCTGATCGTTTGTTTATTACTGTCGAAAGGGCACTTTTTTATCCAGAGGATATTGCGCAGTTAATCGCGCGTGCCTGAATTTCCTTCTAGGATTCTTACCTTCCGAGTAAACGGGACTCCCTCCGTGCCGGCAAGCACTGCACCCTGGGATTCCAGAGGAGACCAACGCCACTCGATCTGCAACCGGAATTGCGTTAATAAATTGAAGAGCTCGCACGGGAATTAATAAAATCCACTTCTACTTTACGAAAAACGAGGGTAGCGCAAAAACCGCGTACAAATAGGGACGCATAAACCTGAAGTGGAAATCGGTCGGAAAAGAAGGACGCCCGAATCAAGATGGCGGAGGCGGGCTGGTTAATTGCAGACGTATTGCTCTCCGCCCCTGAAAATGCTTTGCACATCCCACTTGATTAAGTATAGGAATTAATAAGCAGTCTGATACGATCTGTTCAAGGAGATCGAATTAAATGTAAGCGTTAAGATACACTTTTTCCAATACCGTCGTAGACATGGGGCGCGAATCAAGATGGCGGACGACGCTTCCTTCGTCTCAGGCGAACGGACCCGCAATTCGGCATTTCGCGCTTGCATCGCGTATTTTAAACCCGGTCTGCGGGACGGAGAGAAAGGTGGACATCCCTCGAGCCGAGTAACTTAACGATGCCAGGAATCTCGAGCACGCACGCAAGCTCGGAAAAGATGGAGAGCGGATCACTCGGAGAAATCTCCGGCGCAGGAAGTGGCTTTAAGAGCCTTTAGGCCGGACATTAGAGCGTGCGCACGCAACCCGAGACACAAACGAGCGATATAAAAAGAGACCGTTCGCACCGTGGCTGGGACGCGTGAAGGGGGACCAGCGTGTCCACTTAGGCGGCCATTTTAAATTGCCCTCCAGAAGCTCCGTTTAAAACTCCTCTCGTAGCGTTTCACAAAAACTCCTAATACCATTAATTCGATATCGAGCGGATGGGCCACCGACGGACATCCTATAATATTGAAATTGAAACCATGCCCAGGGGAAATCCGTCTCTGTCGAACATGACGGGCGACCTAGCTGCACTCTGCCCGCCGTTTCCCCGGCCAACTTTCCTCCTATAATAGGAAATCTCTTCTGCATCTCCATTTATTGGGTCGAAGCATAAGTTCGTGCGATTTAAAGTGAAACCTCATATGGTACAGTAATACGAACACTGGCGGATATGAATGCCTCCCCTGCAGATACGTCATCGCCTGTGCAGGATGGAAGGGCATTGATGTCTCCCAGTGTGCAAGTTCGCACGTCATGAAAGTGAATCGTTTCCGAAGGTGAAACTTTTTTTTCCAAGTTGATTAATTTACAGTCATATTAGTGCTCGAGGATTGACAAAATTTGCGATAAACAATTTGGCCAGCGCCAGGGCGTTATTCCGCCGATGGATTATTGACATTGAAAATGAGATGAAAAAAAAAAACAAACAGAAGTTAATTTGTTCGTTAATGAAAAAGACCCAGAAACTTCTGCCTCGACCTAGTACATTAAAGGTGACGTAAAAAATTGCATAAAAAAAATAATCGGCATTAAGTGCAGTTCCTATTTAACGCCTCCGTTAATTTTAGGGCAGCGGACCCACCGGCGCTCTGGTAGTGCATCTTCCTCTTCAGGGACGCCGGGGCCGGCTTGAAGTGGAAGAAAGATGGCGAGTATCCACTTGCGGGAATGGAGCTGAGCCTCTCTTCCCTGTCCCGGATGACCGCTGCGGCCACCGCGGCGGATCCGTCGCGGCCCAGGGCGGCGAGTTGCCGACCCTTCGGCAGGAACATTGTCAGGAACACGAGAAGGGAGGTTCCCAGGAGGCCGTAGGCCAGCCAGGCCTCGCGGGTCCCCTCGGAGGCCGTCAGGGAACCGATCCCACAGGACACCCAGACCGGCAAGGAGATGCCCACCGCTAGGCCGATGAACGTCGACTCCCGGTAGTTGTCGCGCACCCCTCTGGCCCTTACCGCGAGGCACGCAACGGCGATAAGCAGGGTACCTGCATACCTGGAATGTAGAAATAATCTGCGATATGTAAATTACCCGGAACAAGGGGTTCCGTTACATTGTAATAACAAGACCTGCCACATCTCCGACATATACCGAATTTTTCTGCCATCCCTAATCGAAATTTCAGTCTTTTCAACCTGACCCCTTCCGGTCCCGTTTCACTCTATATTCCCTACTTTGAGAAAGAATTTCATCGAACCAAAGAAATATTTCTTTCGATGGTACCAAAGAATATAGCTTGTTAATTCAGCGAATAATTATTTCACTCAAATATATTGGATGGATACTGGATAGAACTTTTCTCCGAATCTATATGGGGCGAATTGAATGTTGGCGATGGGTATAGACTGGAAATTTGGAGATTAGTGGTGAAATGCAATTATTTCTTTATGTGAAATTGAGATTCCGGAGGTGCGGATTTAATCACTTCTTTCGGCATCTCCCGGAGACTCGGTCGTGGGATCGAAAAAGTCCCGAGGGAATCGTTCCAAGTACCTCTTTCGGCCTTGCACGGGTATTAAGAAGTTTGGGTACTCGGATACACCCGGCCGTTACCCACACTTTGCGGGTAATACGCGGGCAGTCAAAATAATCGCGTAACGAGTACCCACTCTCGCCCTCGATGCCCCTTTCGTCGAGTTATCCAATTAGCCGCAGACCGTCCCGTTATTAAAACAATTGAAGTAATACTCGATTCTCGGACACGACTGACCAACGACCAGGTAATTGGGTAATCGGGTAGCAGGGCATTGGGTACCCATTACGCGGCCGTTTAAGACTCGAGTATCCCCTCGTTGCAACTCGAGTTACGCCCAGAAGCCTTGAGTACTTAAACACTCCCTGAGATCCTGGCAGAGGATTTTTAATCGAGACTCCCCCCCAGATTTCGACACTTCGTCATTAAATAGCCATCGATCACACATCTTCCCCAGGAACAAAAAAAAATAACAATAATTCGAGGGAAATTCAATTGAACCGTGGTTTAAAAAAAATTGTTCAAAGTGCCCAGAGTTCCCATAAAGCTGAAATTAACAGATAAGATCTAACGACCACGTCGAAATTTGAAGAGAATTAGCCCCAGAAAATCGTTCCGTCCAGGAAATCAGCCGTGGGAAAAATGTCTTTCCTCGTCCTAACGCAAGTTAAGTTATTCAAGTAAAGGGGTAACTTACGCGTAATCTAATGCGCTCCCGTATGTAAATAGGACTATTTACAATGGTTATTCGAAGAAGGGAGATCGAGTCAAGTGGATGATGGATCCTTACCCAAGAGAGGCTACCGTTTGGCCAAGAGGAGTCCTGCAGCCTGGCATATGTAAATTACTTTCCTGGTTTTGCACCTGAACCACCGCAGGGGGATCGCCGTAGAACCATTGCCCGACTATGGTGACTTGAACCAGCACCGCAAAAACCAGAACCAGCGCCTGCGAGGTAACGATACCACAAGTACTTTCAGAAATTCTAAACGATTATCGGGATTAAATGGTATTCTCTGGAATTATCGAGAAATATCCTTTAATTACTTTTAACGGTGTGTGAACCACTTGTACGGATTATTCGTCCATTCTTTAACGTAACATAAATCTGCACATCCTTGCTGGAGAATAATTTTAGCATTACCTGATAAGGAGCCGGTAGGTACACTCCACTGTTCAGAGACAACAGGAAGACGCACTTTACAAGGAGGGCAGCAAACACCAAGGCTGCCGGCAAGCCCACCATCCTCAAAGCGGCACACGAAAAAGGGTTAGGAGTCAAAGAAGGCGCTGCTGAGAGTCCTGCTAGCAAGAAAAGTCCTAAGAGCAGTGCCTGACCAAGAAACAGGTGTCTTCTGCTGGGAGCCGCCGCCCTTGCCTGCGAAAGACAAAATGTCACGATGAAATCAAGATCATTTGCCCTCAACATAAGAAAGCACTGGAAGAAAATTCCATATATAATTATTACTATTCCCTCTATGCCAAACATTTCTGTAAAGAGACTCGGTCGACTGCGCGCTCACGTGCGCGTATTTGGCGCGAAACTCAACCGAGCGCCACGCCGAGGAAAATCCACGTTTTCACTCAAGCTTAACATAGAAAGTGCCAATTAAACGGTGGATTGTAGGTGGCTGTCCGAATTTTCAATGTACGCATATCTGGGGCAGGAATATCACGATCAACCGTCTAGATTATAGAAATATTCCAATGAGCCTGTTCATTTTGTTTGTGCCTCAAACTGGATCCCAAGTCCACACAGCCGAAGAAATTTCTATTTCACATTCGCCGCTTGTTGATTTTTAACAGTCACATCGAGTTTCGATTTCATCCGCGCCCACGTTGGTTATTTGTACAATGGCGGACATGAATGCCTCCCCTGCAGATACGGCATCGCCTGTGCAGGATGGGAGGGCATTGATGTCTCCCAGTGTACATTGGCGGGCATGAATGCCTCCCCTGCAGATACGGCATCGCCTGTGCAGGATGGGAGGGCATTGATGTCTCCCAGTGTACGCGAGACGAGGACTTCAGGAAGAAATGTCCATTGGGCGTGCACCGTTATCTCCATAATGGAATTCTCTAGGATTACAGGCTCAGCAACCGTTACTTCGGTATTCAAAGGACACAGAGGTGGACACCCATCGTACATCCTGCTTAGGTTGGATATCTGTTACTCGAATACATTATAATAAAATGGAAATATCAGTGCCAAGCCTTAGCGCGCGCCGGAGGTGATATCTACCCCTATGTTAAAGAAAATTCATATTAATAATTTATAATGATTTTCCCTCACATATCCATACGCGTTCGGCACTGGTAGTTCTTAATACAAAGATAAAAGTAAATAGTAATTAAATGTAAGAAAAACAGTGATTCGTTTCGAAAAATACATAAGATGATATTTACCCCTATTCACTCGTTATATTATTATGACGAGTAATATTACATTGACATATTATTATGAATAATCTGGATATTTCTGATAAATAATAGCTGCTTGCCTAAATTAAATGAAATACCCTCCAGGCACTTGGTTTCAACTATTCACCCATAGAGACGAATTAATCCGGAGCTAAGAACTGCGTCAAAAGAAACCGCTAAAACACGGCAACTCTTAAGATTTATACAGCCTCAGCTGATTGATCAATTTGATCGGCTCAGGCTGATCAATCGATTACGCGGTTTTTCCGCGTTAGGCGCTTTCTTTTGCTCGTACGGGAACGGCTTACCAGTCGCGCCTTTAATCAATGAGCTGCTTTCACTGGTCGGCTAATTAACCGATTAGCCGATTAGCCGATCCAGATTATCTTCCGACTACTTTGGATATTTATAAACAGCGTTACGAAACACCTGAAAAAAAATCTACCCTCGCACACGGGAAAGTTACGTAACATTAAGCAGTAAAATTACTTAATCGTTATTATATACATTTTCAACATTTCATCTAATGAACACCCAAGCCAAAAATTTAACGTCATATAAACGTCATGGGCGTACGTGATCTGGACCATAATACGATATGTTAAAACAGAAGGAACTTAGTAAATTAAATGAAGCTGAAATATCTGTCGACAAACTGAATCTTCAATTCATTAATTCGTTTAAACTTTTAAACAATCATTTCAACTTTTTCCTTCCCAGAATATCGAGCAACGCTTTCCCCGCTTTCCAAAAAGAACGAGAGAGCTCACATCCTGTAAATTCGCCCGGTGAGAAGTTTCCTCGAAACTTCTCGGCCCACTTCTTAGCGAAGGAATCTCCCTGTTCTCGTTTCTCTCTCTTTTTTTTTTGCTTTTTTCATTTTCGCGGATTCCGAATGAAATTCAGTGACCTTCCTGTTAAGAGGCTCGCGTGCGCGCATTTATCGGCGAGAATCCGAAGGCTTCCGTTAATTCGAGAAATCACGAGGCATCTCGATTCTCACTTGGGTAATTGCCCGATGGACGAAGGCAAGTACTCGAGACCGAAAGGGTTAGGCGGAGCGCAAAGTGGATCAATCATTCGACCGAAAGAGATCGGCGATCTCTTCTCTCGAGGATCGTTCCATAGAGCGAGCACTTGGCTTGTAATCGGTCGAGGACACCGGGAGGGGGGGCATCGATTACGATGCAAATCGTCTCCTCCCTCTTCGATAATCCCCGAGACAAGAATCGAGTCGTCGAGTTTCCCTTTGGAGAGTTACTACGGATCGAGGATCGGCGGAACGTAATTCCATTACCATTGTAATTGGGTAATTACACGGTAAACGGTACAAAGTGTGGAGCATCGACTTGGGTTTTACGATTCACGGTGTACCTCCGACCGAGAATTATTATTTCTGGGGTAAATAACGGAATTGAAACGAGCAGGAAGCGTGTGATAAATTGGGCCAAATCGTGTTTTTTTTTCTTTTTTTTTTTAAGGCATTTCCCTTTTCTTTCCATTTTTCTACGGGCCTAAGAAAATATACCGGTGCAATAAAGACATTCTTTTAGGAATTTAATATTCTTGCCAGGGAGCCGTGGATGTAGAGTGAGAATATTATATCCATAGTTAGATTAAACGTACATACGTCAGAATAGAGTTTACCGAGTGGAAGTGGAAAGTGAAAGATTAATAAACAAATGAACGGACCCCCTACGGGGACGACAAGGCGAATCACTGCACTCTAAATACTCAATTACAGTTGGGATGAAAACAGTTCATCTTTCTATAAATATTATATAAAAACTGTCGGAAAGTATTAAAGTAACAGGACCTAAATCTCGGTTTCTCGAAGTTTATGGCGATGATTATTGGAGCAGATCTGTCCGAGTCTTCGCGTGGAGCAATTACGGCGCCATTAAAACACGGTACTACGAATCGATCGCGGTACCTTCCCACGAAATAACGTAGCTGTAGGATAAACAGGACGGAAATAATATTTTTTTTAATCTTCAAGCACGTCTAATAGATTCATATTTATGCATAAGTCCTGTGCATCTAATATCATTTCCCTCTATTGGCTGGCTAATGGCTGACGGCGACGCGACCTCTTCTCCTCACGGTCCGCGCATTGAAATCTCCATTACTCCAATTCCGCAAGCGGCTGCTCGGGCGGATTTCATCCTTTCAAATCGCTCAAGCGACACCGGTCAAAGATGGAAGCGACAAACGGACATCAGCAGGACATGATTGCTTTCTCATTACTCCATAAATCGGTTCTTAAAGTCTTTTTTTTATCCTTACAAGTCTCGAGCCCGCCAAAAGAAATAAATACCCAAATCGAAGCAAAGAATGCAATCTGCGAACGTAACGCGTGGACAAACTTTTCCCATGAAATTTTCTTTTTGTAAAGTAACGGAATACTTAAATAAAGAGAGCAAACAGTGATCAACAGTTCCACAAAAATACATTATACAATTAACAAACGGCTCGTTTCGTATTAAAAAAAAATTAATTTCTAGGTCTTCACAAACTCGTGGATCCAATAACTATCGCGTTACTCAGAAAAGGCGAACATCATTAGCGGCGGAGGCGTTCTCTAACGTATGCCTTTTTAACTAAACATTCAGTAATCTAGCACGAAACGTTCGTATCATTCTGTTTTTCCATTTCCTGCCTCTTTATCTGTCTCTCCATCCGTCAAAACCCAAGCCAAGCAAAATGAAACCCGACATCCGCCTTCAGCGTCTTCAGCGCGTTCACCAAGGTGTCGCACGAGCGTGACACCTCCTCCGTTTCGGTGGTTGGCTCTACTGACCTTGAGCAAGACGAAGACCTCGAAGCCGGCCATGAGGAGCATGGTGGCGGCGCTGAGAGCGGCGAGAGGAAGAGCCCAGGGCTGTTGTCTCAGCAGGGGTTGATGAGGGACAATCGTAGGCCCTAAGCCCCTGGTGTCCTCGACAGGAAATCCGGGCCTCATGGGTGGATGATGACCTCCTCGGAAGATGGAGATGGTCCTGTTGGGGGCGGGGACGCTGACCACGCTGGCCACGCTGGCCACCCCGGAGAGACCGGGTCTTCCTTGCACTTCCGGTACCACGAAGAACTCCGTCGAGAGTTCTTGTCGCTGGACCGGAAGTTGCTGGGAGCTCGAGGACCCTGCCAGCAACGCTGCCGCGGCTGATACCAGAATGGGGCACGGCTTCATCTTTTCCAAAAAAATAAAATAAAATAAAATAAACAGAAGAAATATTAAAAGAATATTACTATTTGCAGAAAAATAATTTGGTTCGTTGAAGAAAACCCGATTGATCCCGGTGAAATGAATTTCAACACACGTGGCCGAAATCGTTTGCTTAATATTTGATTATTCGTATTAGATATATTTTCTGATTGAACGATATTCTATTGTTTCAATGGAATATCTTTTTCCGTCTCCTGTGATATTTAGGTATCAATAGGTACTTATATTACTCGAATTGATATGCAATTGCGTTGAACGGTAAGCCAGGCCTCTCAGTGGTCAACCTCTCCTCGAGTACATCGCTCTTCATGTGCGCGCAATTATTTATTTACGGACAGTCGGACTTGTCCTTCGGCAAGGCCGGAGACATTAATGCCAGGTGAACGAGCGTTTAATGGGCTACTTAATCGGACGCGTTTCTGAGTTTTTACCGAATGCAAAGAGGAGGAAGGACTAGGCCCAAACGAGAGGAGCTTTGCATCGGTGCAATTGCTGCGAAACTGTTAATACCTGTAACCCATCAATTGTAGGTACGCGCTCCATTACCGAGACAGTCGCCTTATCGTCCTCAATTATCCCCTGAATTTTAAGTGTCGTATTATAGTCAGGTTTTGCGATGAAATTATCTACTCTGGAGCTCGGAACGAGATTATCCGCATTTAATACATACGTTTACGTATGATTATTGTCCTCACTGAGTTGATTAGAATTTAATTAAGGAAGTTCCAAGAACGTACTATTCTCACGAAGTCATGCACTGTAATGGTTATAACCTTCGTCAATGAACAAATTCGAAAGAAATACCAAATCTTTTTACTGTAACTGACGGAGGTCATTTCGATCGGTCCCATGTCAAAGAGAACATTGTTCTTAGTTTAAATATACTCATTTTCTTATTCTCAAAGTACTGACAACTTTCAAACCGCTTAAGAGATGTATATAATTCTGTCTGTATATAAATGATATTAAAGAAAAAAAAAATTATAGAATAAATCTCACTTATATTCGGGGGAATTTGCCAATGGATTACTTAAGTATATATTCAATTAATATTTCAAGGATTTATATTAATACTTCACTATGTAGGTCGGTTCTCCTTCCGTCGAGTCTCGGCTTCACCGCGTGAAGCTCCATTTACTCCATCTACTCCATTTACGCGGTGGCATTCTCCGAGGAATAGGAAAAGGCATTCCGTCGATCTCTCTTTCTTCCCTTCCTTTTAGTTCCGCGTTGCTAATCGTCCTCGACATCTCTTGATCCTTGGAAACCACCCCAATCGTTGCACGGAATCCTTATTAATCACTTTACGATCTCCATTGATAAACTTCGATCACTTATTGGAATGATAAATAGTGCCCTATGAAAATCCAGGGTCAAACAATGCTTCGACGCCTTTGATCGTCAACTATTCCTCGATCTTCATCCAGATAGAAGGAAATTATCATAATTTTCACTATCAAGGTAAACTACCCTCGACCTGAGACCAGCACCAAAGGGTTCGCCTTATCCTTATCTCTGCACTGATTCCTCTCCCTCCTTAATTGGACTGCACCTTCAGCTTGAGATCATATCGACATTTTTCAATTGTTCGTCCAAATTTCAGGGTAAGGAGCACTACTAAGCTACTTATACTTGACATCCTCGTGACAATTAGACCTCGACCTAGGTCAAGCACCGTGACATTCATTTCCCTCTTCCGAGACACGTCGTCTTGGGTTGGACTTTTCAGGAACTGGCTGATAGTCCCAAATGTATCGATCACTAATTAATGATCCCAAACACTTTCTGACGATACTTGATAATGATGATCCATGAAACGCCGCTTTTTTAAGCTGTCTCTCGCTTCTTCCAAAATCTTTCCGAAGATCGAGCAGCCTCTTCCTTGTACTCGACTTCAGTGAAAAGTGTTCCTCGACCTGGATGTGTACGGAAAGTGCACATTGGATCGCTCCAAGACGTTCCTAGAGAATGAAAAACCGGTCAAGATACCAAACAAGGTACGAAAAGGTACTTTCGGCGTTACTCGAGATACTTCTTGCACCCCTAAACAACAATCACTCTCGTAACTCCCCCGCGTAGACCATCACGAAGTACCTCGAACGTTATTCCCAAATTTATCAACGAAAATGATAAACATTACAATAAATACGTAAACAGAATTCCGGATTACCGACATTGCAGTTTCTCGTTATTTTTATAAATCAGAGGAGGGAATTGTTTGACATCTTGACAAATGGAGGGGTGAATGAAGGCGAGGGCTTGTTAATAAAAAAATATACAGAACCTGACAAAGAAGTTACAATTCAATATAACGTAATCACGTGTGCATGTTACACTGGGATCTTTATCGACGCATAAATGCGTGAGTGGAACTTTGAATATTAATTCCGATTCTCAGTAGGTCCTCACCAGGGCAAGAAACTGCAATATCAGTAACTCACGTGGTACAAAGTCACTTCCACGGTCTGATCTCCCCAGTTTCACATGAACCGCGGATAAAAAATCATAAAGAGTCATTACACGTGCGAGGATTCGGCAAAGAGACGGTTTCCCCAGGGCGCTCGTCGCGGCAACGTGCGCCGTGAAAATGAGCTCTTAGGGCCCCGTCCGGGCCGAGCGAGACACGAGACCGGTCCCGGGTCCGGCGCCGAAGCAGAGAGAGAGAGAAAGAGCGACAGGGGGTAGAAAGAGAGGGAGAGACAGAAAGAAGGAGGGGAGACCGGCAGAGAGCTCGCGAGCAAGTATCAGCAGCTGAGAGCAGACTGAAGCGGGCTGGAGCAGGCCCGAGTCGACTGAAGTCGGCCGAAGTGGAACCGGAGTTTCGTCACGTCGGAGCGAAGCCTGTCCGTTAGGGGCCGCGTGGAGGGGGTAAGAGAGGGGATGCGGGCGGCGGAGAGTGGGGGAAGGCTCGGGGTCCGAAGAAGCGGCGGAGGGGGGAGCCCCGGAGCCCGAAGAAGCGGCGGAGGGGAGGGAGATCCGGCCTGCGGCCCCCACCCCGCCGGCCCCCTCGGGACCGGACGACGCCAATGATTTACATATCGGCGTGTAATAACCCCGAAAAAATTTTAACAATGCTCCCGACGCAGGCCGACGGCCTGCGAGGACGTTTAACGACTCGGCCGGCCGCCGGAGACTTTATGCAACGACGGGGTAACCGACGCCGCGTATCCGTGATACGACAATTGGGCATTGTCCGGGCTCGGCACAAGCCATGTAGAAACGGCTCTGGAATGTATGTCTTTGTGTCAAGGAAATTCGTTATCGGGAGATCGATTATTAATAATAATGCCTGGATTTATGGTTTAACGGTTATTAAACGGTTTGCCGCGATCTGGGTTTTTATTTGTTATTTATTTATGGGTTTTCCCATTTTGGGTGGATCTTACGCTGGGCCTGATTATTGGATGTAGACTGCGAACCCGGGGGATGAGGGAGTTCTTTGTGACTGGGGCTTTATTAGATCTGTATGCCGTGTAGACTCAGGTGCGGCCCAGACGGAACCAATGGACGGAACAATGGCCGTAAAAAAGACGCGAAGTCAACGTCTCTTCATCTACGCTGGCCGCACCCCCACTCGACGCGGAACGTGCCGGGATCGCCTTGGGCCCACTTTTCCTCCAGTTCCTGGAAAATCCGGGAGCGGACCGATGAGGCCCCGAGAATCGGCTGCCATTCCCGACACTTTCTCCGGACTGGCCAGCAATCCTGGCAGTCCTAGCAATCCAGCATCGCTCACGTGATCGGCCCACACTCGCGGGGCCGCACGTGCTGGGACTACTGGACGACGCGCGTCGGGCCCAAAATCCCAAACTCGGTACGCCGAGATTTCCCCTTCTCGGCGCATAATTAAATACTTTGGTAGAAATGCATCTTATATATATCCGCATCGTAGAGATACGGAGTAGCGAGTCCATGTTAAAAAAAGTTTCAGAAAACCACGTGGCAACGTTAAAATTCAATAAAATTAATTACTCCATGTGGCCAAATCTGGACCTAAGACTATTTACCTCTAAGGTACGGATGTATTGGCCGTGCTATTCAATTATTCAATATAAAATCCCGGATTGTACCATTAAGGAAGACGGTAAAATACGCGACATCATATTGAACAACCTAATATCAGTTTACCGAGTATCGTTGGAATCTGTTTGGGCCCATTTTTCCGCTATTCTAAAAAATCTAAAGTAGGCGGAAACAATCCGATGAGACCTCAATTGATCGACTGTCTCTTCTAACACTTTCTGCAAAATAATCAGCGATTTTAGCAGTCCTAGCAATCCAGCATCGCTCACGTGATCGGCCCACACTCTCGGGGCCGCACGTGCTGCAACCACTGCACAGTGCACGTAGGGCCCAAACCGAAGTACTCCTAAATGAAAAAGCGTCGGAACGTTAGAAAGAAAAAAAAAAGAAATAATGCATTAACTATAAGAAAATAAAGTGTGTGTAAATAGGAATAAGCCAATGGGTTTGGATGATCGGAAACGTTAAATAAAGTACTTAACATTACTCGGTACAGGCCAGTATTCCACAGGTGTCCCTGTCCGTTACAAACAGGTTTCGGTATACGGATGCACCGTTGCTCGAGCGTTGCTCTTCTTCCAAATGGAAGGATTGTCAGGCACCGATTTCTTTTTACATTCGTTTTTTCCGAAAATCCCCACCGACTTCGGGCCAAAAACGGGCAAGAAGTCGAAATCCGGAAAAGGGGTCCTCCACTTTTATGACCATTTTAATTAGCACCTGAAATCTGGTACGAGCCTCTGATCAGCCTGGCGACATTAACGAGTCTCGGTTTACGACTCGGGGCGAAAAAGTTTCGTTTTGTTTTCGGTTTTTGGTTCCGGTTTCGGTTGCACGTTCTGGTTGCTAGCCGGTTCGTCTGAATTCCTCGGCAAGGACTTTGACTCCCTTCTCCTCTCACCTTGGCCAGAAATCCTCGGGTGACACAGGCTGGATAAAGACCCGAAGAGACGACCAAACTCCGGAGGAATCCTTCCTGGAACCGAGGATCTGAAAGAAAATTCCCTTGGAATTTTTAAGCTGTCCTTTTTATAAGAAAAGGTACGCGAAAGAAGATGCATACGTGGGGGAGCCTCGCTGTAGGTACTTCGTGGCCTTCGGGTGTCCATAAGAGACAGTTTCATGGGTGCCAAGCACCCATCGCACCTAAACTAATGCATAGTCCGGTTTATTAAACTTTTACTACTCCTTTAATGAACTTGAATTTCCATACCGAGCTCGACAAAAGTTCCTTACGTAAAAATTGCCGTTTCTTTGGGTTGCCTCTGCAGCTTTTACAAAATGGCGGCGTCCGCAAGCCGGCGTCCAACTTGCCCAAGTTTGCGATTTAATACCAAGAAGACCAGCCACCTCTCGGAAATTCAGCCCAGGACTTTTTTCACGCAAATTTCACGAACGATCTCCCCATAAAATGTGAATTTTTTTATACGTTTCGTATACAGTCCAGACGGAAGAACAGTTTCGTCGCCCGCCCTGTACAAATGGCGCGGTACGGTTTTAATGGTAAAGACCGCTTTCATAACCGCCACAGTATATTTCTAACTGACAGAGAGAGTACTAGGGCTGCGAAAACTTGCACGCGATCTTTTGAAAGTCGTGAAATGTTAGCAACGAAAAAAAAAAAATGGCCAAAACTCGAAAGTCAACAGGGGCTCGACCGCGGGCCACTCGCAAGAAAATCCGGACGCAGCTCGTTGTTAGTCGGTCCGACTCGACCGGTTTTGCCAAATGCTAAATAAAGTCATGTATGGCGTACAGGGCGTACCAACTTGGCGAGATATTGGCCATACCGATAATGGTAACTTTGAAAGAGTACCAAACCTGCCGAAAGGAACGCACGACACCTCCTCCTCCCGCTTCGCGATTTCGTGGTGTCCGACATAAATTTCCACATTCATGAAGCCCTTACTTTACAAATAATTGGATGTTATATTTCACCACACAAAGAAGTCATAATCACCCTTAAATGGTAATTGTTTCATAATTAATCTATTAAAGTTTGGACGGGAGCATAATTGATCTAGATATCGTGCGAGTGGGTCATTGAAAGAAGTGGCAGGAACGACTAAAGGTTTTTCAGATAATTTCACAAGTTTTTATCGTCTCATTAACAATTTCATATAAACCAAACCTCAGGGTAACGTAATTGTGTTTGCAGGGGAAGGACCATTCGTGGTAAAAAGCGCATCACGTGTTTTTTGCAGCCGAGGACGCGTGCAGTCGTCAAGGGCCGAATCGGTAGGAGGAGACGACTGGATTTCGTTTTTTTGCTTGGTCCCTCGGGGCCCGGGCATTGCATTCGCTTTTAGCGGGCCCAATGGGTCCAGGTGGGGATATTTTGGGGACCCACTCTGGAGTCCAGCATCCAAGGATGAAGGAACCAAGAATTACCCGCAGCACGGTGCTGGAAGCTGCAGCCTTCGAGAAGAGCCCGCTGACGAAAGGACCTCGTTTCATCTACATCTAAAAAAAGAAAAAAAAAAAAGAAACAATACCGCAGAATATTTTACAGGAAAAATTTGAGAAATCAATTCGTCAAAACTTTTGACAATTCAATATTTACCTCGATGTTGTCTAGTTTGCTCTGAGACATCGGATAGGACATAATAGGAAGGAGGGAAAAATGTGTGAAATTGTACGTGACTGTATGTAGAAAAATTCTAGACAATTTATTTTCTTCAATTCCAACGAGTAGTTAATGTTTAAAGAGAGAAGTGTAGAGGTGGGATTGTCTTTGGAGGGACGTAGATGCACGTGCAAGACTGGGCCCGAACCGAAGCCAGCAGAGTCAGCAGGTGGAGTTGGGCCTTAGAGGCGTCCGGAGTGGGTTTTCTTTTTCTCGGCGTTACTCATTGTAACCGCAAAACCACGATAGTCGGCTCGCACGACTTTTTCGACTTCGTTATCGGCTGGTCCGCTCGGACGCATCCTTTGTCTTCCTTTTTTTCCCTCCTTTCGTCCTACCTTACGACGCGTGCACGCAAGTATAGGTGGGTGCAAGTACACGCGTTAAAATTTTTCGCCGGTACCGAGTGCGGATACCGTCGGCTGTCTCTCGTTTGCGGCCTTGCCGAGGTAAAGGCTTTTCGCCAAAGCCAGTCTGGCTATGTTACGCGTATGTGGTACATAGTTTAAGAAGGCTTGCGAGTATAGGGTGATTCGAGGCTGAGTTTCTGCCCTGCAGCGCGTAGCCGGTGAAAAACCACGTGAAAAGTCTCCTTTGCCCGAATCTCTAAGCCCAATAGTTTTCGAGATATTCGCCGGTAGAGCCGGCCAATCACAGACAGCGAACGGAGGAGTAGTGGGGGTAACGCTGCGCGCGCAGCCACCCGAAGACTAGGAATAAGTCTCCCACTTTAATTTTCGATATCTCCGAAAATATCGATCGTACGGAATTTCTGCAAAGGAGCTTTCCGACTCGATTTTTCCCGTTGGTCCGTTTCGCTTTTCTTGCCCATGACTCGCGCAGATTTACCGACGAGGTGGATGGTTAACAAACTTGTATGTCGACTTTCTTTCTCGAAAATATTGACCTTTAGGAATTTCTGTACAGTTTCTTCGGCCAATTTTCCCAAGAAATTCTCCAGTGAACGGCGAAACCGCGATTTTGAACCACCGTGTACCTACAAGTCGCTTATGCTACATACTTGCGGGAAGTACTTATACACGCCGGCTTTCGTACCCACGTATTACGTACGTCTGTCCCGCATGCGTTTGTCCGACGGGAGTGCGTACCTGCGTGCAGCCCCGCCGAGGTACAATATTTATTATATGCCAGCGATGAATTATGGGCCGTTAACGTTGGCTCGCGGGATACCCGTCGTTCTCCAGGTCTGTCTCGAGAGACCGCCAAAGTCTCCGCGGAGAGGGCGAGGCGAATGCACCCGGGCCCCGTCCCGAAACTCGAGACGCCAGGGTGCGACGACCTCGTCTTTTGGGACTCCGCAAGGCTCCTTCTTCGGCAAGTCCCACCACCTTGTAAATCCAATCTGATATCCAGCCGAACCCGCGGAAAGCGCAATCCATCCGCGCAGATAATTCAAACAGCCCAGCCAACGTAAGGGTTCCGAGCTGATCCCGATCCGTCCGGGTTCCACTATAATCATCTCTTTGTTCTGCGTCTGAAAACACTCCGACAAACATCGTTAATACAATTCACTCGATCCATTATTTTTTTTCCCTAGCTAAGTCTGAATCGGTACAGCAAATTATACTTCAACAACTCTCGAAATGCCCTCGCCGGATGTTTCGAAGGACAGAAGAAGCTAAAGTGGAACTCGGAACACCTGGAGGCCGGAACTTAGCGAGGGGCTTGCGGCCCTCTTCTCGCCCATCTCCTCGACGCTGTTATCCTTGGACATCTCTTCGGGGGGACACGGGCCATTTAAATACCCGTTGATCCGGCGACATTCCTGGAGGTTCCATTATTCCATGACGTAACCACGCGTTCACCTCCCAGTTACAGGTAAACGGGTTCCATTGCCCGGAGAAGAGGAGACACTTTCAGTTTCCACGATGCAGCGGCTAAGTGAGCGCGACCGAGCCATCTTGGACAGCATCTTTGACCCGTTTCAACCGCTGGGCACCGACGCCACATCCGGCCTGGAGAACGAAGACCTCGGTACGCGGTTTCGACGATTACGCTTCGCAAATAACCCTAGTGTCGCTCCGCATTTTCCAGCGCGTCTTAAAGAACACATGAACAACGTATTCCTAACTGACAAACTAAATGTACATTCATGAGCCTTACTTTCTAAGCACTTATCGAGGTACTGCTTCCTATCCAAGAAAATGGTAAATCACCGCCTTCGAGATATATATGTATAAAAAAGAACCGACCTAACATATCAATTAACAATCTCGTTTACACATTGATTAACAGTTTCAGAAGCGGAAGATGGCACTTCTCTCGAGCCCGCGATTCAAGACGTCGTGAAGCGCGCCATTTCAGCATCAGAGGGTGAACATTTCGAGGAGGCTTTCAGGCTCTTCGGGGAAGCTTTGATGGCAAATCCAAACTCGGCGGCCATTTTGAACGACAGAGCACAAGCCTTGAGATTGGCGGGCCGAGACCTAGGTAAATTTGGCCCTTCCTTCCATGTGTACGGGTTCTGTTAATGAAACTTAAAAGAATTTAAGGTAATAACAAAAAGTCGACGTACCTCGGCCTTAGCGAAATTATCCGTGTAACCATTAATTTTGCGCATATTTCCAGAGGCCATGGAAGACTTGAACGCCGCCGTGGGATTCAGCGAGGGTAAAGGCAGAGCCGGCGTTCGCGCACTTTGCCAAAGAGGGGTGCTTTACAGGAAAGCGGGCAGAACGGAGGAGGCGAGAGAAGATTTTACGAGGGCTTCCAAGGCTGGCTCGAGTTTCGCCCGTAGCCAGCTCGTCGCCTTGAATCCATACGCCGCCATGTGTAACGCAATGCTGAGAGAAGTGGCCCTCAAGTCCGGTGAATCCTGAACTCTCTGCTGGAAAATAGGAAAATAGAATGTAGAAATATACTCTGTAAATAAAGTTAACACCATAGTCAAGCGCAGCTGCTCTCGTAAATTTAAATATAATATAATACAATAAAGAAAAGAAAAACAGTTCGAGGTAAAAGGTACCTAGAAATGCACTTGCCGCGAAACTCAGCCAAGTTCCTCGATTCAGCTGAAAATGAGAGACGTCTTAGGTGTCTACGATAGCGATCCGGATGGTCAAGACCGAGGATAGTCTCTCAGATTCCTTTATTTCAAGTTACCTTTGACCGACAATCTCACGGTGCCTAGGACAGTAATAATGATGTCATTGGGGTTCTCGCATAAAAAATATTAGAGTTGTGAGAGACCTGTCACGTGTAGACGCGTGGCGCACCAGCTTAAGTACGAAGACGCATTCCAGTCCGGGGAACAGAGATAGGGACATTTGTATTCAATAAATAATTAAATGATGAACAAAAGTTTTTAACTGCCGTTCCAACTCGATACAATGATTAATTTATGCAATCCTTCCGTAAGCATCGTAGAAATCATCCAACTGTCGTTGTAAAATTATTTATTGTATTAAAAAAATGTATCCATCCGTGTCAGGAAGATTCGTACCAATCGCAACTCGGGATGGAGCGAGGAGGCGTCACTTCTGGGTGTCCCATTATATTCAGAGAGCCGAGTGAAACACCAAGGTAACGAAACAATACCTAATTAACGAGGAAACCATCGAAGTACATATATATATATAAATTACTTATTTCCGAGTTGACGACCTGAAAAACCTACTTGTATTCTACGCTTAAAAGTTACAACGATCGAGATGCACTTAACCCATTCGTAGCTGCGTCATTCAATGTCATTAAATATCTATCCGAACAGTCAATGACGCATCAGGTGCGTATTTAACGAGGCTGCAATGCGTGCCGAAAAGAAGTTCCAGCTCCTGGGGGTACTCTTGCGACGTGACCTCGGTCTCGAGTGAGTTAACTCGGATCCCGTTTCTCTAGTTTAATCGCATTACAGATCATTACCACAAACACAGTAAAACCTTTTAATTTTGCATTGGAACATATCTCCTACAACAATTAAGTACCTATAAATCCCGCTGCATTAAATGTAGTTAAGAACATTGCTTCGAGAGTATCTACTTGAAATAAGTATCCGAAGAACTGTATTCCTGGTTGCTGGATTTAATAACTGCAAATCGCTATTAGGTTCCGATAGGTTCGTCTTTGTAGATAAATAAACTTGGCGACCTTCCTCCGATCAACCTTGATTCCCAAGAGCGGGTATCTAAAACGTTTACTTGACATTGTTGAAGTGATTCCGCGCAACATTTCAAATTTTTCTCGGCACTGCCGAAAGATCTGAATCCAACCAAATGCGTACCATCAGTATTGATGAGAAACAAAGGAGCATTCGAAAATTTTCCTAGCATCGTCATTTCCTCCACACTTTTCTAGCAACGGAAAGAAACCAAACAATGCGTGGGTCTTCAATACTCAGGAAGATCTTAGAGCACATCCTGTACGAAGTCATACGGATATCGTTAAATGCAGAGGAGTAAGTGAAGTGTTTCCTAAGCCTCGTTTAATCGTTCTAGTTATCGCTATAGTCTTCCTTTTAGTAAAATTATAAACCCGGTCCCCATCAGTCCGTATCCCTGCGATAATCTCTTCGGTTCTTGACGCCTATTGAGACTTGGAATTTGATAAAACGATCTAGAATCATCCTACTTTTCCCCATAAAACGCAGCTGGTGCGAATACTCGACCGAACGGAACGACTTTTGTTGTTGAACTGAGTCGTTTTGCTGTCGATGAGTTGACCGTTCCTATATTACACGCGTTAAACCATCACGAAATCTCGGCCAGTGTTGGACTTTTCACTTTCGGAGCCTTCCTCACTGCCCTCTTCGCCCGCGACCGATTCCGAGGAAGGATTTCTCGATTTCTCATCACCGGAGGTGTCCACCCTCTCGATTTCTTCCACTTTAGGTGATGGTAGCAACGGAGCAACTTCTTCCCTAAAATTGTAATAATTCATCAGTAACAATAGTTCAATAAGTATTACAATAATTTGATTTACGTAAAATGGAATTGAATGAAGGAATTGGCTGAATTTTAATTTAAAAGATATCTATTCGATTTCCCATACAATGATAAAAGTATAGGTAGAGTTTGTAAATTATTTAATCAGAATAGAAATACTCTATGTCTTTCGCTTACGATTGTGCTGGAGTTGTGTCTTCTGTATCGGAATCTTTGTCTTTCTTGCGTTTTTTCTTCTTGCTTGATTTTTTCTCACCAGATGATGACGACCCATAGTATTCATACTGTGATGTAAAGAAAATAAATTACTTTCTTTTATAAGTATGTATGCATCTTATTTAGTTTATTTAGTATTAATAACAAACCTGGTACAATGGCCAGAAAGATGCAAAGACCCCTACATCTTCTGCTAGGTTTGGCAAAAGCCAAAGATGATGTCTGCCAAATGTCAAGACCCAGAGTAGACAGAAGACGATCACTCTTATCACAGCTAGTGCTAAAATGAAAACCAGGAAGCCTGCAGCTGCTACGCTTAGATAATATACCCCTTGACGAATGGAAGGTGGCCATAGTGGGAAGAGACAGACACCAATTGATCCGAGAACCACTAAAGTACCGAAAAACCAGTAGTATGCCGGTATCGGTTCATAAATCCAAACGTAGGCATCATTAGAATCAGCAAAATATTGTTCCAAATGCATCTCCAGTCGTATCTGTGTGGAACAAAGTTTTATATTTTTCTCATTCTAAGCATATACTACCATTTTAAATATTATCCTGCTTCAATGAAAGATAAAAATATAGATTCTTACTTTCGGTTTTTGTTTGAGTTCCTTGCGATCATCCTGCTTCTCCTCCCCTTCTTTTATGTCACTGTCCTTGCCGTCTTTGCAATCTTTACCATCTTTGCCGTCTTTACCATCTTTACCTTCCTTAACTTCCTTAACTTCCTTGACTTCCTTGTCCTCTGCATCCTTTTCTTTCTCCAAAGGCTTCTTCTCTTCCTTCTCTTTTTCCGATGACTTCTTTTCTTCCTTTTCCTTCTCCTTCTCTACGGATTTCTTTTCTTCCTTCTCCTTCTCCTTCTCTAAGGATTTCTTTTCTTCCTTAACCTCTTTTCCTTTCTTTTTACCAGCCCGTATTTTAATTAATTCCTCTTTTGAAAGAACGACCTTTTTTGCTCTATGGAAAAACTTGTGCCTTAACATCACATCAAGGAAGTCAATGACGTGTTTGCGATTCTCAAACAAAGTATTGCTCCATGGAGAATTTTCCAGTAAAGCATCCACCGCCCGTGTCCCGGTGAAGTACTCGACATTATGATTGGCAAATTTAGTCTTTTTAGAGGGGACATTGTTGCGGATCCATTTCGCTACCGAGTACTCTTCCTTAGAAGGTTTATCTGGAGCAGGATCACCATCTGGATTTATTCCCTCCTATGAAACAAATTTTAATGTCAATAAACATGACGACACCTCTATTAAAATTACATTAATCACATATCTGATATTACATTAATCAAGTATCCAAAACCTTAACCTTTAAATACCAATGCAAATGAAAATAAATATCAATCCACTTGTCAACACGCAATCCATTAAATAACAATTAATCAATTGTAAATGAAATGTCTCAGTAAATAAGCCAAATTCGACGGATCCTTCGAAACTAAGGATTGCATTAGATGTAGGTTCTTCGAAATTACCAAAGAATTTCTGCAGACACGATAAATCTTAAAATGTAATACGTAAAAAACATGTACACGCGGAAAACTCGTCGACGTCACCCGTCAAACGAATGCGAAAAATGTTCTGGTACTGACACGTGTCACTCGTTTCCGACTTCGGAGAATTCCCCTCCGAACAAATGGCATATCGGATTCTTTCTTGAAAGGAATTCTCGTCGACTCGAAAGAAGACATTATACAGAATTAATTCCATATGTGACACTTACATCTTTGCGTTTCCTGTTTTTCCTCCGTTCCGCCATATTGTAAATTGTGCTGGGACTGTGAGCATATCCTACGCGGCTTAGATAATCCGCGGACGTTCGCTCTTTACTGCCGCATTCCGTTATGAGCCATTTTACAGATTACTCTAATGCCCGAAGCGTGTCACCTTCCCTAGGAATTCAAACCTCTGATTGGCTGAACCGTTACGAGTGCCGTTTGACCAATGAGAAAGCCGAATGTGAGATTTGAACGATAAAGTCGAACTGACATAGACGAATCGGGTGTCACACAAAGCCACACAAAGCGCAGCGCAACACAGTCAAGGATGAACAACCAATCAGAACTCCTCAAGAAATGACGCATTGAATAAAGCTCAATTCTGATTGGTTGTTCATCTTCGAAGCGTTGACGCGCCGTGCTGTTTCACCCGACGCGCCCAGTGGGACTCTGACCTAAAATCTGTATAAATTAATTTATTCAACTCCTAGAATTCCTTAAAAAACCAACAAATTCAATGAAAAGCGAATATTCGTTTTACATATTGTCAAAATCTCGTAAGCTCTAAAATGTATAGTCATATGTGTAGTTATTTCGGTTACTTCGCGTGATGGCTAACAGATGGCGCCAGAGAATAGTTCGCGGCGGACTCTACGATTGCCATCACTGGTATTATTTAATTCATGCTCTAAAAGGATTAGATCACCAAGCAAAGGATGGGATCGTTCTTTTGCATTAATATTGAGATCCTTGCAAAGAAACAAAAAATGAGAAAGTATTGTTTCTTCACAAGAAGTCCCTTTCCCAAAGTATTATTTTGTATAACCTCAATGTGTTTCCCAAATTTTTGTACGTCAGAAACAATAAAGCATTTTGCAAGATCATCACGATGCATTTCATCTCTTTATTGCCCGATATTAACAAAATATTAATAACGCATTGCATAAATTACTCGGCCATGTAGTGTAAAATATTTTTTTATTTATTCTTTAACAGAGTCATAATGGATAAAAATACATGCCATGAATTTCGACGTGATAATTATACTTGAATCACGTTCCGTTGTATTCACAATGTTTATGCGAGAATTTCACGCAATTCATAGCCGATGCAAAAAGAGATTTATCATTTTAAACGGCGTTTTAAAACGAGTGCAGAAACGCAAGCCGACCTAAGCATGCAATAACGTCGATTTTATTGCTATTTTATTATTCCGTACTTGGTACGTGTAATTAGATTATTGGAAAGTTTCACGCTGACTGTTGAAAAAGGAAAGAAGCATTAGGCTAAAGGGGCATAATGACTGCATTACGATGTTAAATAATAAACAGTGTCGTTGGTAACTTTTTCTAAACGATAATACACTGGTCACGCTAGAAATAATTATCACCCTTATGTCAGCATTTAAAATTAGCATCCTTTACAACCACTTTCTCCAATTTCGTGGAAGATGGAGGAACCTCCAATAACGTGTTTCGTTGCAGAATTATTGTCTATTTTCCGAACAACTAAAAAACCTCGCGAATTCCACTAATACCAAAGCTTACTCTCTAATTGAATTGAAAAAAAATTCTCACAAGTCGGTCGAGCTTCAAAGATATTTTTTTCGAGGTATAATTAAAAAAATCGTTTCTTTCCCTAGAACGGCCAGATGGATGCGGAATTTTTATAAACGACTCAAATGATTTTCAGAAGCTGTCAATATTAAATATTCCTGTAGATTGAAGACACATTCAGACCTACTTCTATCTGGAACTACTGTCCGAAATTCCTTCGGGAAAAATAATTCTTTTTTCGCGAAGCGTCGTTGCGCTCGCTCTTCCAAAATCGCTCAGCGCTCTGTCGGAAGAAAGTTAACTTGCGTATCGAACTACAGTAATTTAACGGGGATATAAGTATAAGAACGCAGAGACGGGGAGTTGGCCGGACTAGTAAGGCATAACACACCACACCCAGTGCAACACCACGGAAAGGAATGGCCCCGCACATCATCGCCATAGTAAGTTCCCACTTCGTTCGCCATTTGCATTTTTGCAACAATAACTCCTACGTTTACGTCGCCTAAAAGAAAGCCTAAAAAATGACAAAAAAAGCCTAAAAGCTCAATATTTAATGCGACGCGATTTTTAAATACCCCGACGTAAAAATTATCATATCCAGAGTGTGTGTGTGCGCGCAGCCGATTTATAATAATAATAAAAATATACTTGGAACGCGGAAAATGAAGTTGAGTTCATTGTGATCTTTTCTGCTCGTTTTTCCGAATTATCTGGCAGATTTTTCTTCTCTTTCTCTTTTTTTTTTTTATGGACGAGTTTTAAAGAGCATTGGGGTGGCGGATTTTCCCGGTCGCTGAGGTGTCTGGAGGAATTTTTAAATAATTTTGTCTGCCTCGTGGAACCGGTACAGAATGCGATTCTGCTCTCCGGGTAACAACTTTCACGTCCCAGCGGGCAACGGCGTGGTCAAATGTAGCCTGGAATGTGAAAAATCACGTGCGAAATATGCGTTAAGAGGCCCGAGATGACTATAGAGCTAGCGAGGCTGTAACAATGTACGTTCCCGCTTGTATAACATCCTTTAAGAATGTTCCTTAAAATGAATAAAGTGGAAGCAGTGAATATTTAAGAAATATGTGCCTCGTGTTTCATGCACGTGAAGAATGTTTAACGCTGAGGACACTTTTATCTAGAAAGGCCTAATATTATTTTTCAAAGGGGATAATCAAAATGGCGGCACTGAGGACCAGGATACGCGTTCCATGAGGAGAGTTTCTTCGCTTCCCGTTTGTATAACATCCTTTAAGAATGTTCCTTAAAATGAATAAAGTGGAAGCAGTGAATATTTAAGAAATATATACCTCCTGTTTGAGGCAAGTGAAGAATGTTTAACGCTGAGGACACTTTTATCTAGAAAGGCCTAGTATTATTTTTCAAAGGGGAAAATCAAAATGGCGGCGCTGAGGACCAGGATACGCGTCCCATGAGGAGAGTTTCTTTAAGTAAGGAATTATGTGAATTAGGAATTATGAATGAAAAAGTGAAGTATCGAAGAACCTTTTAATGGTTCAAAGGTATCGATCCCTTGTGTTATCAGATCAACGTGTCTCGATCGAGACTCGGCAGGAGGCAACAAAATGGTTTAATTAAATGTTACGGTTTATAAGAGGAGTAGAAAAATTGGAGGGGGATAAGGACGAAGTGAAACCGTAGTAGCTAGGAGCATTTCACTTAAGAATGTCGATAAGAACTGGTTATTACCCACGTATACTCGACGAAGGAAAGGAAACTCGTCGAGTAAGCTTAACTTTCATCGTCAGTGATATAATCGTCCCGATGATTTTTCCCCTCCGAATTTGAATATAATGGCGAGGTCCTAATCCTTCTTACCCGCTGCGAGTCGTCCTCTGTAAGAAAAAACGGAGCACTTTTACTCGTGCTCTAGAAGGAGAAAGCTTAAGTCCACCTGTTAGCTCGACATTGTTGGGTGCGGCACTTCTTTGACCTTGTTCCTTTTCATCTCTTTTTTTTTTTCTCCCCGTCAAGATTTTTATAGGTCATGCCATGATGACTCGTTTATGAAATGGTCTTGCGACATGAAATCCCTGGAAAGGTTTTCGCCTGAATGGAAAATCTGACATATGAAAGCGACAGTGAATCATAATCCTCACGTTTAGTGGAAATAATCGTATCGGCGATTCCTTTGTATAAATTTCTGGAAAACGGTAATACATTTTATATTTCTCGTTAAATTTGTAGGAAATCCGTGTATTCTAGGCGAATGGGAGTGAATGAAAATCCTCAATCAACCTTTCCTTCTCTTTGACTATTTTTCACTAGGCTTTCTTACAACTCCTGCTGTAAGGAATTCACTTGTAAAATTATATTACGCGCCGTTTGCGAGCAATTGAGGTTTCGTAACCGAGACACCGCAAAGTAACATTGATTCCCTGGAAAAGTTCTCGCTCGAGAGGGAGACTTATGGCAAAAGTATCGCGAAGAGAAATTCAAGGATCGAGTGCTGCCTATACGAAGACATGCGTACGTGGGCGCATGATCGGAAGAAACTTTTTTTTTTTTCCAACAATGTGGGCCGTTTAATCATTCTCGACACGAGTGTCGAGAAATCGAGCCGATCGTGCGATGGCAATTTACTCTCTCTCTCCCTCTCGAGATTGCTATCGCTTTTCCAAGAGTCGTCGATTGTTTTCTAAAGTCGCACACTCCACCTCATCGTCGCTCCTTCAGTTTTCCAACCAACAATCATTAGCTTAAACATAGCTGCAGATAATATCAGCCAGCGTCGAAGAAAAATATAACATTTTAAAAATGGACGCCTTTTCAAATAGAAACTTTACCCTAAGTCTAGAGGAACAATACGCCATATGATAAACTTAGCGAGCTGGGAGTGCTTATTGCAAGAAGTAATGGGAAAAGTATTGTAAAAAAAGAAACGGGTTTATGGGACATTTGTGCTACTTGAGTATCGAAGCCTATCCTCGCTGAATGCAGGCCACTCATTTCTTTAACGAAAAATTCTATTATATAATGCACAACAAGAGTAAACTGCATTCGATCGAGTTACCCAGCCGGGTTTTGTTACTAATTCCATTGATCTTAACCTTTGGTATCGAATGCTTTCCAGTCACCCGACTTTGGTCATCCTTGAATCGGCTTCGCCGGATAAAGTTAGGAGATTTAACCTGGCAAGAAAATTAATTTCTGAACAGGTGAACGTACTTAATGACCCTGGATGCAGAAGGAGTAGTTTTGCGGCCTGAAATGAAGTCAGTGAATTTAAGACACGTGTAATTAGGTCTGGAGGGTAATTAGGTCCTCGGAAGAGGACCTTGAATTAATTCGCTTAATTCGAGGTACTTGACAATAATCACTGTGGTTTTCTCCAGACTTTACTTCTATGCGGCTGCAAATGCATCCTGGCGCAGTTCCCAGAGGTGGACGTTGCAGTCCTGTCGCCGAAAGTCCTGTCGCTAGATCCTGGACGACCTGGTCGCTTTCACAGATTGCCAAATCCTCGATCTGGTTCCCCGCAACCATTAGGAAACCAAAGACTCCGGAGACCGGTCACCTTTAAGTAAGTCAATTTTCATCGATCATCTTAGAATCCATTCCTGCGAGAATGAATAAGAAAATCCTCGGACGAAAATTGAAGAGGGACAAATTAATTGCTAAACTAGTTCCCAGGGATTGTCAAATTAAGTCCTGGGATTGTAAAACGCAGACGATCATGTATCGATAATGTTTAGGTTCAGAACCCTCGACGATCTGGCTGTCAAAAGAAGATATGAAAATATCAGCACATGAAACTGAAAGGAAGAATATTATTTAATTAATCCTGGAGTTGTAGGTGTAGGCGGGATTTTTATTTAAGTCTTAGAGAGCGCGAAGAAACATTTGTATTACTTAATGGATGTTTTTAGGGCCAGGATTACATGTTTAGATTTAGAACCCTCGACAATCTCGCAGTCGAAAGATACGATTATTGTCATCCCATGTGGGCGGCCTTAACTTCCGGTTAATTCCGGTAACACTCAACTCGGTCAGCTACTGTAAACCAGACAGAATTGAATATGCTCATCATTGTTGATGGGAATTAAGGGATGAAACTTGATCCCTATTAGTGACACTAGACCGAGATAATGTCGGCACACCTACTTTTATTCCACCTGATGTGCGAGATTACCCAGCAGACGTTGCAACTGATAAATTAGTGGCTGAAAGTGTCAATGTACAAAGATATTTAACATAGTCAATAATTTAATAAGTACACAGTTTTAAGAAATTTCATTTTACCATAAACTAAATTCCGATATTCTTTAAACTGCAAGAATTCCCTGCCACCTTTGTCTACGTTGTAATTTTATTTTATTTTTAATTGCGTGCAATACATTTAATTCCTTTTTTATTTTTATTACAGGCCTCGATTAACGACAACGGAGGACTCACTGAACGTTCCAAATTACCCGGAAATTCGAGGACCCCGACCAATCCCAATTCAGAACAGTCAGAATTCGGATCAGCTTTTCTCACCTGCGCAGATTCAATCTCCACCGACACAACAGGTGAAACCAGTCAACGAGGAAAGAGAAGACGACGAAGAAAATATTTCCCAAGCGATAGCCAATCTTAGCGCAGTCTCCGGTTTTCCACAGCCTACAGGTGAATAGCATAAACAAATTAATAACGCGATTATTATATTCAATTTCATGCTCCGTATAAATGCACCTCGATTGCATTTAATCCGCAGTTTAATTTTACAGTTAATTACAAAAAACTTAATTCTCGTTTCTCCTTGAAATCTGAAAATATAAATGCCACGCGGGAGACCAGAAAATCAAGGAAATTAATAATTTCTGAGAATGCTCGACCAGGGAATAAGAAAAATTATTTGGTAATTTATTTAAGCGTTACTGGTGTACAATTTAGACCACGATTTATTTTATTCCACAATGAATAATTAAGTCTTACATTTCTTCAGTGCTATTCTTCTATGGTTTGGAGAAATTAATTTGAAATTGATTTTTACAGGACGATCATCATCAGCACCTGAACAGTACCCAACACCTGCATCTCAACAATATGGCCCACCTCAGGGCCAGAAAGTGCCAAAATTGAGGAAACCTATCGAAATCCCCACAGGCCGTCAGCCTGTGCCAATTAAGCAATTTAGGCCTCAACAACAACAAGCACAACAATCGCAACAACAACCACAGCATCAACCACAACCACAGCAACAACATCAACGTGCACCGAGTCCACCTCAGTCGAATACTTATGAAACTCGAGGAAAGAAACCCGTAGCTCAGGTAATATTACGTGAAATATAAAAAAGTACCATGTCTAATTGTTAACCGACAAAACAATCGTGCCGATGTAAGAAATCCGACCCATCGACAGCTTTTCATGTCAAGACATTAAATGACAGGACAAAGAGCAGTTTTATTTATCTTTCCCGGAGGAAATTCTTTAACTTGCTTGAAGAAAGTCGGATTAAAATATCCAGTTAAACTTTATGATAAAACAAGAAAATATCCCAAAATATACGGAATTTAAATTTATTGTGTATTAAATTATCTTTATATCACTTGGGATTTACGAGAGGTACTTGGGTTGCGTGTACATTCAAAGGCATTTTTAGAAGGTTTAATCAATTATAAGAGATATATAAAAATGGGGGAATGTCAGGGAATGTTTTGGTAATAAGTTCTACAAGGAATGCAAATTTTTCCAGAGCATCAAGCGTTATCGCGAAGACAATGCGGACGGCTCCATAACCTGGGGCTTTGAGAACGACGACGGCTCGTACAAGGAAGAACTAATTGGTGTAGATTGTATAACACGTGGCAAATACGGATACGTAGATCCGGACGGAGTACGCAGAGAGTACAGCTACGAAACTGGAATCAGGTGCGACGAGACTCAGCAAGATGAGGACGAGCAAAATGGTTTCGTAGATTATCAGGAGAACAAATTGGTACTTCCCAGCGGAAAGACCATCGACTTGTCCACCATGGGGAAAAACACGCAAGGCAAGCGACGCCCGCAATCGGCGTACAGAAATTAATTCTAACCTGGCAAAAATGATTGCGAGGCGTAGATTTATGGTACATGTCGGTGATACACATCAATACGGAAAAGAGGTTGCATAATGGCATCATTTCCCAAGATACGGTCCAGCGAGCGAATGTAATTGACGTTTAATTGCGCCCCTTTGCGCCGAATGTTATTATCGCTTCCTGAGGCCTGCTACGTACACAATTTTCGGTCTAAATATTTTCAAAGTGCTGGAAAACCTGGAAATATATATGCGTGACTAGATTTATCCAACGAATGTTCAATCTAATTCGGCTTTTATATTTCTCTAATGTTTAAAATTTCGGAGAGTGGTGGAATTATATCTCGTTTTTAGAGTTATGCATCCTTCTTTGTCGTGATGATATGTTAAGAGAGGAGGGTAAGATTCACAGAAACCAGTGAACTATATGTTAAGGAGATTATTAATTTTATATCGTGTAGAAATAATCGTTGAGTGAAATAGATTGTAATTGTAGAGTTTGGATTCGGCTGTTTTTATGCATTTAATTGTTTATATCCGAGCATTGGCTTCTTGAGTACTTGTCTCGGTGAAGGCACATATTTTGTCGAGACGACTCCTCTTTTTTTATATAATGTAATATATCCTGCGATTAATTCACCGAGCCACCTTTTCCTTCTTTTGGCATTTGTATAAAATGAAAAGTGTACTTCTAGAGTACTTATAAATTATCACTGAAAGAATAGACTCACAAATGAGGCACGTCAAATTGAATGAAAATTGCCACAGGCCATAAAATTGGCATTGTAAGATTAATTATTAGATTGTGATACCGTTTACTTCATCTCTGTGAACAGTTCCATTATAAAAGTAATGTAAACATAATAATAAAGTTCACTATTCCGTTAGTATTGGATTTCTTTATGCGTTGTATACGAAATATCTGATATTCCAATAAAAACACTGAAAGAAGGTATACTAAAAATTAAATCGGCTTTCTTGACATTAATTAATACCTTTAATGTAACAGTAATGTAGCATACAAGTTAGCTATGATAATTTTACTTTATTTTCAATTTTCGGTAAGAAAAAGTAGTTATAGTTTTGTGTGACAGAGAATATGTAAATTATATCTTTAGGATGTGTATTTATAATATATCGTAACATTAAAATATATTCCTTCAGTCCCATGTTTTTCGGGGCTTCGCCCCGAATCTCTCGGAATATAGTATTCAGTTCATTTTTAAAGCTTTGGCTATAAATAGGGAATTCCGGGGGGCTTATTCGATTCTCGTAATAGTCACGACAAGATCGAGCCACACAAGTTGAGGTCTTCTCTTGCGCTTCTGTTAAATTTTCCTTCTTTCAATAATAATCAAAGATTTATAAAAGCAAACAAAAGGATAAGTAAAATTCCTTGAAACCATAAATAACCATACAAATTATAAGCAGTACAGTCATAGTAGATGACATCAACTTTTGTACAATTTTTCATGTTAATTTACCTGCAAAAATTAACTCCTTGACCAGGAGTGCCGCGTGTTAATAATTATCTGAGAGTATTAACTAGCTGGCAAAAATCCATATTATAACGAAATAACTTAAGTTTCCTTCTTCCTCATACAATTGAAAATTTTATCTCTGGATAGAATTATTGAAAATCATAATAGAAAAGGTACTTCTGCATGCAAGATATTACCGCAATAATCTATTACTTCTCGCGTCATAAGACTTGGTTCATAAATTTAATTTTACTGTCACGTCAGGCCAAGAATGCGAGTTTTCCTTGAGTTCAAGATCCCCGAAGTCTCTTCGTACAAAAGCATGCATTCAAAACACTTGTACGCTACCGTATTAATCTCAGTCCGATATCTGATATTGTCGACGACACCTAGATTCCCGATAAAAAAAAAACTACTAACGATGCTTAATCTAAAAATCATTCCAGAAAGTACATGCAGTGCAGAAGGATGAAGTACACGGAAATTTTCGGATCAATTGCCAAATCGAGGGTGACCTTACCTCTGCCAGGAATTTGTTAAATTATTCGAGTTGGCAAGGGCACGTAGGAATTAATAGGAATTTCCGGATGACGATGAAATTCTCGGAAGAAATCATTGACACGCGTTTTATTGGCAGGAGTCCGACAATTCGCTGGAAATTTAATGTTTTGCCAACGATTTGGCTAATGATTCGTTAAGGTAAATATGCCTAACGCAGAATTTAAAGAGATAAAAATGTAGTTATGTTAATAACTTGGTGATAAGCGGCATTTATCTATCAAGTGATATTGAATATTCGATCGATGGGTTTGGAAAGTACTCCACATTGGACGTAAATGTCCGAAACAGTTGGTATTTTATTGCTAATAATTGTTTTTTTTAATTTCTCGTTAAAGCGAGAAGCTCTTGCCTGTACTTTTTACCAATATAAATAAATATCGCCTGAAAGCTCTGCAGAACACTACGAAATGGTAAAGATAAAACTGTACTGATATATTAATTATAAGAATGTATGTACGTAAAATACTTTCTCGTGTAAACATACATGCAAGGCCGGAAGAAGGTAAGGCAGTCGAGAAAATATTGATGAATGGGCCTACTTGTCTTCTTAAAAATCCTCAAAATGAACACAAGCTGAACGAAATGGTTCCTTCGGTCGAAATGATTTACAGTGTTTTGCCATAGAGAATTATTTGTGGACGTATAAACGTAACCCTGCGATTATCGTATGTAGATCATGGCCGCTCGGTGGAATGAAGAGGTGCAGCAGGACGTACGTCGCTGTAAACGTAAGATATTTTTCAAGTCGTTAAAAAGCTTATAATTTACAGCAACATCTCCTCAAAGAACGGCTCAAGCCCCCGGAAAGCCGAAAATATTTTTAAACTCTCCGACACCAACAAATCAACCAGCGCGCCTCCACCAACAATACCATAAATTAACAAATGATTTTCTCAAAGCTGATTTTCTGCTAAAGAATGACAGGTTGAAAAAAGACCAAGAACGTGGAAATCATTTCCTTCGTCACCGTAATAAGTCACAAATGATTAATTTACATATGAATATCCCACGTGGCGAAGTAGTGCACGCGTGTACACAGGCCGACATGAATGTCTTCCCATACCCTGATCGAACACTGGTAGGAAGGGAAGGCATTCATGTCCATCAGTGTACTCACCCTCATACTGGTATACCCTCGTATACTTAAAAACACTAAGGTACACTCTTACGTATCAAATGCTTTACAGAGTCCTCCCACTCCCTGACCGCCTAAACCAACACAGGCGCAACAAACAATAAACGAAACAGCCAACACAGGCAAAGTGTACAGTACATTGCGTCTAGATCATGGCCATTCACCGTCAGGAATCACCGAGCAGGAGTTCCCTCTCCACCTTTTTCCCTCAGCGCTCCTGTCACTCCGTGGATCGGCCAATATTTTGGCATCTGTCAAGACGTCGCGCGAGAGGAATCTTCTACGGGGGGCAGGTCCTTATCAGGACCTTATCAGGCTCCTTGCGGCGCAGGAGGGCCCAGGTACTGCCACCGAGCACTAACCAAATGGCAGACAGAGTGCGACTCGCGTGCCGAGGAACTATATAAATAATACTTCGCACAAAGTCAGATCAGTTCGCCTGCGGCCACCGCACCTGCCACAACATAATGCGACATTATCGCACTTACCGGCGCTAGTATCGTGTCTCACTTGGAACCACATCACTGCCCTAGAGTGCTCCCGAGGGATTGATCAACACCTCCAGGAGGGAACCGGAAATCCAAGGAAACAGGAACACCGCGAACATGTCGCACGACAATCTCGGGTTTACCTCCAGCACCGTAAGTATCGAAAACATTCGACCCCCTTTTTTTATCCATTTTTAATCCACTGTTATCATTTTTCTTTTCCACGCCTCGGGTGTCCCTAATCCTTGCTTTATTCATTTTTATCCAATTATCGGGAGATACTGGAGCTTGCCTTATGAGATTCGTGCACAGGGAGTGTTCGACGAGATTTTTTCATGTTAATGTTTTCTCGCGGGAAAAAAAAAAGGTTCGTCCAACGAAATCCTTTAATTGACTGCATTTTGCTCCTTTTCGAATTCCATTTGCTCCAATTAACCGTATCTTAGGTTGCTTCGATCATACGAAGGGTTTTGAATAAATCGGAGTACTTTAATATTTGGTACGATCTGCCACTATGATCTTATCGATCAAACGATTTTGTCACATCCAACAAAAATATTTCACCGTCGATTTAATAAGTATATTGTATGGCTAAACCAAGAAAAAGTTTAGATTGGAAGTGTCGAATTAGGGTATTCGGAAGTTTTATTCTTCGTCTGAATTTTTAGATCGATTGGCTCGAAGGTTTGTAGTGCTCTTTTATTTGTTATAGTTATTTTGAGTCTTTCAGAGAGTTGCATCGTCGCGCTATTTTGAATTCGTTTGCCTCTCCGTCGCCGTATAGAGGGTAAGATTTCATGTCTAGAGTTTCGTTTATCAACATTAATCATCATTGTCAACTAGACAGTATTTTCATCCTTTCATCTCGATTACACGTGCGAAGAAACACTCCAGAATTAATGTTTAATCTTTGCGAGGTTCAGAGTACTCGTCGGGGATTTTCTATAAAATATTTCCTGACAGTGATTCAAGAATTAATTTTTTCTTGTCTTTGGTTAAATGTTTGACCCGGTTTTAATTAATCTTTCGAAGAAGAAATCTCGGACAAGAATCTCATTTTATCTCGGAAAGTCACCATATCCGAGAGTTCTTTTTGAATACCTGCACCTGTAGAATCTCATTATCTCTGGATTTTTGATATCTAATCTGACGTCTTCCTTTCGTTTTGATAATACTTCTGAAAGAATAAAAAATTCATACTCATGTAACATTTCTCCACGTGATGACTTCCACTCGGAATTTTATCTTTAAATGGGGAATGTTTAAAATATTTCGGATAAATCATTTAAGTAAAAATTAAATAAACAAAAATACCACCCTACAAGAAAATCACTTGTAAACTGCCACGAAACGCGAAACCAGATTTGCCTTATTTTGCATTTTTTTTTACCTTCTCGATATTTTGAAAAATTGTATACTTTCTTATTTCCGTTTTTCTCTGACAACATTTATTTATGAACCATTGACTTTAATATTTGAATTCATTTCAAGCAGGTAAAAAACTTGTTTTAAGTCTTATCGTGACGCGAATGTGTACTCTGTTTGTAACAATTACAAAAATTTCAATTATGGTGGGATTTGACTGCAAAGTTTACGTTGCGTATGTTTGGTGTACTCAGTTTCCATTGAACGGTAATTTTACACTGATTCGGGTTAAACCGATTTCACGAGTCTCGCATTTTGACAATCACCGCACACGTGAACACCGTACGCCTTACGTAAGTGCGCACTTAAACCAATTATGCAAGTATGCCTAAGAGCTGTCTGTACAAAAGTGTTACATGTAGTATTGCCAAGGCTGAACGGCATTCTGTATATATTTCCCATACGTGTTTACGATGCACAAACGTAAGTGCATCGCATGGAACACATTGCAGTACGTCGAAGTATAAACCTACATATTTATTATAATAAACCTTCACGTATTGCAAAAATAATACCATTCACTTCGTCCTATATATCTGCATTCATTAATTATCAATTCAGCGTCCACAAATGCAATTTAACATTTCTTTCTCATTTATTAAATACATCGAAATGTTCGAAAATGAGGGGTAAAAAATATTTCGTGTTTATATTTTCTAACAGATTAAAAAAAAAATTCTTTCTTTACAATATTTAACGATAGAAATAACATTTAAAGGGCGATTATGTGCATTCCTGGGCGCTTTGCAGTGCAAAGTAAAAGGAAAGTGATACGAGTCGCCCTTGATGAGAAAAATAAATACTTTAATGGAACGCGACTTAGCCCCATTCATGTCGAGTACTAAAGTCAACAATTTAATTATAACGATTAACACTGGCACGTGACAATGAAGTAGCGATATCGCTAAAGCAGAGTGTAAAAGTCATTGTGCATATATATGTATATTCCTTTGAAGCGCATTTAAGTCGCTTCATACTCGATCACCGGTGCAGTGTGTACATTAAAATGCGACCTAAACAAAATGAAGAACATCAAATAATAATCTCAATTAATTACCGGAAAATCAATACCGCCTGAGCATTACTCCGCATCAGAGCAATGGAAATCCATTTTCACTTGCCTTAAAATTATTATTCGGCTCGTGAAATTGTCCAAGCCCTTATATTACGTGTAATGTAACAAAGCAGGGTTTATTTTATAATGAGGAATTTCTGGGGGCGAAAAAGAAATTAATTGCGAGGAAAGGAAGACGCGCAAACGGTCCAGTTTACTGAAGGCGCGAGTACACCCACGTACTGCACCGATTGCTTGTCCGTAATGATCCGGTAAGGACGGTGTACTTATGGGCAGAAGTTCACGTCAATATCTACCGAGGAACCACGTGGGCTAAACGGGGTCTGGATTTAACGAGCTGATTACAGGAAGTTTTTAAGATCGGAGTGGCCCGACGATCAACGATCGTCAATCCTCCTCGCTAGACAATCGGACTCTTGCAGACCTTGTATCTCTACACGTACCGGCGAAGAAAGGACGCCTAAATATCTCCAGTACTCAACTTTAATGACCCGACTAGCATTGGACCACGCAATGAATACTTGAACCAGGGAATAAAATTAGACCGACCTATTAGAAGCTCCTCCGGGGTCGCGACTTCCTGAAGAGAAGCTGCTTATAGGAAACGTGCTCGAAAATTGGGAGGAAACGTTAATACTCAAAGATTAATTGATTCTCTCACAAAAAAACAATATATATACCAACTAATTAGTAATTAGTAATATTACCGTTTTCTACTGGGCTCACTTTTCTGCAACGACTGTAAGAGTTTCTTCGGGAGGGATAATTTTTTTATCGTGAAAAAGAGGCAAGCTAATCTTGGGATCTGATTCCTTCTTTTTTTTTTTAGGTTTCTTTCGTTTTATTTTTTAGACACATTGTGATAATTTCATGCTTGGGTATTTTTTATTGGCAAATTGAGTTCGTAATTTGCGTTTATCTCGCTGTGAGTAAATTCGATAGGGGAGCTTATTTAATAATTTATCTGGACAGCTTGGTTCGCATTTTTCTTTGTTTTAGGGCCTTATTGAGGTCTCATATATTGAAACAATGTGTGTGCAGCACTTGTTCTTCCGTGATCTTGCTTTCAGATATCTTCTGTGAACGGCGACACGTGCACAATATAGCGCGTTGTTTTACCTCCCTATCATTTTCTCGATGATAATTCTAACCAGTTATTCAGTCATTGAAAACAGGTATCCGATGTTGAACTCGATCGATATTTCTAAAGCAAGAATTTATCTAGAGGAGAAAAAAAAACGAGTTATAATTCCACCAATGACGTATCCTGCATATCGATTTTTAATGGAAATTATTAATCTCTGATAGACATTTTAGTACAACATACTTTTCCGTTAATTGACAAGAAGAGTTGTTTAAATAGCCGAAACATTCCAGAGTGTTTATCGACCGTGTTTTTCCATTATTTTTCAGCGTCTTTACGATCGCGGAAATCCACGATTAACAGCCGAATAATGTTAATCCCAAATGAGTATGCGTAAGGTGGCCGCTCATTATCTGCAGGCACATTATCGGTCATTTGTCGAGAACAAACGAGATTTAACTTCCAATAAAATTGATGAAACGCTATCTGAAGGAAAAATCTTCCATTCGTGCGAAGGCTCGCTCATGGCTTAGTGTAATCGGCAGATAAATGTTAAGCAACACTAAAAGAGCATTCCCGGTCTAAAATTGTTAAGAATTCCACATAGTTCGAGTCGTTGTCTCGCCCTTTAAATTTCCTAGCGATAACTGGTGGGATTACATTCCTTGGGTCTGATAAGAGCTGCCTCTCCCTCAATTTCTAGATTTTTAGAGCGGCAATTAAAATACCTCCATTCAAGACGAGAGATTAGAAAGAAATCGTTATTTCTTAAAGTCCCGTTAAAAAATTACCATCCCATGTTTGACGCAAGGATATCTGGTGACTTGCGGTTACGAGAAATCGATTGTTAAACTGACCTTCCTCAACGAGATAGTTATTAAAGATTGTTTCCTTATGGGCCTGCGTCAGTCCTTTCTCTAACAGGAGGAAAATTGCATTATTCACTCCGCCCCTCGGTAACTAAGAACCGTGAAATCCATCTCCCTGCAATGATGACGATAAACAATATAAAAAGGCTCTGTGTACTGGAAAACCACATTTCCTAAGATACTCGTACGCGGTAATCAAAGACGACCACAGGTTCACTCGAGAAAAACGATCCGTATTAATTGAGAATATCTATTCTCCTTGGTCTTGCGTAATTCGGTAATTTTTTTTCTTCTCTTGAATCGCATTGCGAGTACTGGCGTTAATTGTTAGCGTAGTGAATCCCTTACTGAAAGGATCTTCACGAAGCTGAAGTAAGACCTACGGAGTATGCATCACTGACCAGCCCACACCGTGTCAGGTACATAAAAGTGAATGTCCAATGAGCAATCAAGTACAGCGGCATTCAATAAAGAGGGAAAGTTTACGGAAAAAGGCACGAGAAAACATTTGTTACCGATTCCGTTACCGTAGAAAGCGAGGAAACGTTTGCTTAACCTTCGGTCTCTTCGCGCGGTTTGGAACGTGATAAAGAGGAGTTCTCTCAAACCAAAATTGTACGAGACGGAAATGCAACTTGACATCTCGCGTAAAAATTTCCCCGGAATTCTCGTAAAGATTTCCAATGTTTACGCAGGGGAA